GAACAAGTTACATTCTTTCTATAAAACAGTTAGCCTATTAAATCCTTGTAATCGGGTAGAGACATCCGTTCAATTGCAAGGCGAAACGCCAAGCTTCTTTGTAGCATACAAAACCTTGGCGAGAACTGCCTATCTACTGTTGCATCGAATCCTGACTGATGCGGCTTACGTGCGGCAGGACGGCAGCACTCGGGGGTCTGGCCTCATGTCTGCATGACAGGCTGTGGAGAGAACATGTTGGGGAATGCTACTCGAGCCCGTAGAGTCGCATCGATCAGAGGACGGAACACGGATGACAGATTAAGGGGATCGCACGATATACGCATCTGTATTAGCTCCAAGTGAAGGCAATGAGAAGTGCCTTGAGGCAGAGCCGTCGTTTTTCTCATGACGTCTAGGATTGTAGAAATGGAAAAGGGAATCGTGCTATAGAGCGAAAACGCCGTTTCACGCTATGAATCCTTCACAATAGTCTAACAAAAGGAACGTAGAAAACGAAAGACAGGTGCCTGCCCGAGCAAATTTAATACGTCACGGATGGCATTCGTCTCAAGATAGCTCATGTTTCTGTGCTTACTCGAACGTCTTGTCGGGTAGCCAGCATGTCGGCGGTGTTAATACGCTGCGGAGATGGTTCTCCTCTTCCATAGCCCCCAATGCTTCACAAAGAAGATATTACGGGTTATACTACTTGATTGGCTTTTGAATAAGCCATACACCCAGTGGCACATCATTGAGAATATTCTCTACAATGGTACCGATACCGGCATGCTGTAGTTTAGGGTAGCAAAAGATCGCACACTCGTTCGTGCCGAATACATCCCTGTAAGAAAGCCGGAAATTGCTTGCCGACTCGCGTAAGTCGCAACCATATTCTGGAAGGTGTCGTCTTACTGCATAGACAGCTAATAAGAGAACAGACTGCGCCTTGAGGGCTTCTGCAAGATGATGTGCTACACCTCCAAGCCTTTACACGTAATTTGGTAAACTCAGCTGTTGTTACATCCTTGATTTTCAGTGTCCTCGCTTTTTCCGCGAAAGGATTATCGCGCACATGTGTGTTGCTTGGGCCATGCAATCTAAATAGAACCCAAAAGCAAATATAGAAGCATTAAACGTCATGTTGGCTCGCTTGCGCATGACTTTCCACCGCTCGAGCCTTCGGCTGAGGCGTTCCGGGACAGCTGAGTTGGTTGGGCGTATCGGCGTTGAAAGGTTCCGCTTGAGTTTCCGGCTGCTCGGGTCTCTGGCAAAATCACAATTCATCGGGCTGTAGCATCCGTGAGATCCCTACTACATGTACAGACTTGACGTAAAGGCATTGATGGCGCAGCGTCTCACGGGAGCAGCGGCGGTGTGGCGTGGCAACTTTGAGCCATGACCAGCTTCCGTACTGGTATAAGTGTTGAAATTCTAGCAAGTGGGAAATTGGTCACTTGAGAAGCGACAAAGCGGTGTGGCTTATGAAAACAACATGAAAGCAGCAATAAAGGCAAACGAGGCAAGGAAACTGCTTCGTATTCAGCGAAAACGGATTGTAGGAGACTAAAGATAACCTGGCACGCGCCGAGCGGCGGGAATCTTGTGCTTTGTCGGCCAGAGGTTCAGATGATAAACATGGGGATATAATGGCCGCAGAAAAGCCATGCTGGCCGGCGGCTATTTTTCATCCTTCCAGTTCAACAACTTGACGTCAGTGGCCAATGATGCCAAGCTAGTCTATGTTTCACCTCTTCATATGCAGTATGCTTGCGAATTAATAACAGATTGTGTAATCACCATCTCTATATAGAAGCCGTGGCCTTGATCATGAAAGTTGAAACATGACCAGATATCCCCCCACCAGCCCACTTAGCGTAAAGAGTTGTGCGTATTACGGGGAGACTAGGGATATGACGAGCAAAGGCTGCCGAGAATCAACGCGTGTGATTCTTTTACTAGGAATACTAGTGCCATGTAGTGGCTGTTTCATGAGCCTATGAGCATGGACCGATTCGTGTAGACTTGATAGAAATACTAGTGACAAGCCTCGGTAAACTTGTAGTAGTTGGCTGGCCGACGTCGAGCCATCATGAATACTACTCTCGGCAGTCTTTGCAGCCTCTGCCTGTTCAACGGGCCGTACCGCTTTGCTTGTCGTTGGTTGTTGGCCAGACTTTGGCCTGCTGGCACTGTTATTTCTCACTTCGGCCATTGCACCAGATTGTTCGGAGTGTGGGGGATTTACCCGGGGGACCAGGGAGCCATGAAAGCGGCACTCATGATAGGGGGACTTTGGAATGTTGTTGGAGCCAGGAGTACGTAGCCAAGGCCCTTGCATATGAACCATTGTTCTCGTACAGGACGAATTGCTCCTCAGTTTAGTAAACGGCAGCTACATATACCTACAGGTATACAAGTACTGTAGGCTATTCCTAGGATCTCTATCCCCGGAAAGAAAGGATCTGCGGCTCCGGAACATCCGCTTGCTCCTGTGTTCTGATTCATATGTATCACTGAATGAAAGGGTTACATAAAGATCTTACTTGTAGTTCTCACTGCATTATCGCGATCAGCTGGACCAGCTAATACCTGGTATACGAGAAGGCGGTGATGCCAGCACTCTTGTTGTAAGACTGGGTCTACAAAGGTAGAATATGGACCTACGTCAGCTATATGGGGGAAAGAATGTTATATACTAGTACAGTATCTAGATAAGTCGGTGACCACGACCGGCTTTGCGGCTTCAAAGATAGATGCCATCAATAGCAAATTGCACCAATGCTTACAAGGTGGTATCATAGATGCGGTATGCGTACTATCGCGCACTGCACTATCCTGCTTTCTTCCTTTCACCACATGTAGTTATGTCGCCTTTTTACTTCAACTTGCCTTCTTTTCCATGTTCTCTATTGTCATATGTAATTATATCTTGCATCTCATTGTGTGGCGGGCTGAAAGACACAGGGCTTGGGACCTACACGTCTCAGTTAGGAATCACCTGCAGATAGAGTGGATAGTTCCTCTAGCAAGCGAAACTAGCCTCTGGAGCTGGCCTGGCATGTCAATTGAAGCTGGTGGATCAGAAGCCGTTGCACTAGGAGCGCTAAATTCGCTTGAGGATGGGCCTATCCGGGGACCCGTAGGCATGGGTGCCTGTCAGGAAGGAAATGAAGCGGTCATAGAGCTCCAGCAGGGCCAAGAAACATGCCGCTGCAGGGGTCGGATCATATCATGTCGCGGGAGGGAGCGGCATTTGCTTCTCACTCGCATATCCAGGAGCACTACTTCCTGGGGCTCGGTTTTTGAGACAAAGTCATTACGCCACCCCTCAGGGTGTGAGAGCAACCCAGCTATACGGTGTGTAAGAGGGGATGGAAACAGAAAAGAAAGAGTGACAGAAACAAAGTAATAGGAGTCCTTTTGACACGCTTGCATCACTACGGCTCCGTCTTTCTTTTCTTGCGTTTGTATCAAGCTACCTTAGGAGCAGGGATCACAAGGAGCCGTGTAAATGACATGATGCTACGCTGCAATATACTTGATCTCTAGGGCTGACCTTTCCGCGAGGCGTACCATACAGCAGCATAAAAAAGACGCAGGAATCCAATGCCGGCCGCGTTCAAGCGCGAATGCCGCGGGCTTCATACAGTACCTAGGTAGTCAAAGAAAGAAGGAAGCGGTTTATTAGTTTGATTACAAGAGGAGAGAACTTTGGAAGCGAGAGTGTCGTATTACACTTGGTAAATGCACGTAGCTAGTAATCATGGCGTAAGAAAAGCTGACTAGTGCATCCTTAACTTGAAAAGAAGACAGAAAATGCGACATGTGAAACAGTGGGTGAATAACGACATAAAAAGAAAGGAAGGAAAAAGGAAAAGAAAAGGAACACAGAAGTAACATGAGACAGCAACCCCTGGCCATTGCTTGGTACTCGCACGATGGCCAGGATGACTTACCGGCTCCCAAGCAGTGCCTGCAATAATACTGCACTGCACTAGTATAATAAGTATACATTGCCCATAGCCGAGCTACATGGGTCCTCTAAATGCTTTGCAAAGTTTCAACGCCCACGGCAATGCCCACGGCAATGATCCGTAATTACTTATTTAGGAAAATGGACAGCAACACTTGCTCCAGCAGGCAAGGATGGTCCATGATACTAGGCATTGGAGGGCCAGGACTAAAAGCTGGTATAATTGGTAACTCGGAGATTCTTGTACTCTATCAAAGGAGCAAGTACCAGTAATATAGGATAAGACATGCAGTCCGGCATCTATAATGTGGCATATTTAGCCCCCAATATGCAGTCCGCACATACTAGCAGTAGTACTAGGTTTCGCTGTAAATTAATCTCCTTACCACTTCGTACAACCGCTAATACATGCTAACGCCATGCAATGCAACTCTACTAGCACCATGAAGTGTAAAAAAAAAACAACGACGACTGACCGACCGTCATTCAGTGTGCCTGGTTGTACGAGGTCCAGGTACAATGCAGTACGGAAAACCCTTGCCCCCCTTTTTCCCACTCGAGTGGACTCATCTTTCAGGCCACGCACCGCCAAAGACAGAGATGGATGAGCGGTGCGTCCCTTACATGTATTGATTGTTCATGTATCAACTAACAGGCAGTAAGATTGTCGACACGTGTGACAAGTCCCGAACGGGCCTCCCCGTGCCTCTCGCGCTGCTGCTTGCCCCTGGTCGATGCTCAAAAGGCGGGATATTTTTTTGATTCCATGAAAATGTGACAGCCGACAGCGCGATGCCCGCCTTTGCCCACTTGTCGGGACGGCACTTGGTATAAACGGTAGCCGTCCTGCTGTTTGCGCTGGTCGCGAGTTGATGCATCCCGCAGTTTCTAGACGTATACCCCTGCTTCTCATTGTTTCCCAATCCCGAGAGAGAGAGAGACGCAGAGAATTCCGTTTTGGTTGTAGCTATTTGTACAGCTGCTTGCTGCCTCTGTTGCTTCTTTATATACCCACATCTGTTGTTGAAAGTCATCATCCACAACCATGAGCATTCCGTATAGGCGCCTCGACCACACGAAGCGCGAGATTCGCCTGCTGGAGATCAGCTCTACTCGCAATCTCAACGATCCGGTCGAGTGCAAACTCGTCACAACTCGCCTGACCGATGACCTCGAATTCATAGCCCTGTCCTCGTTGTACGGCGATGCCGCCCAGACGGAGCGTATCTGGGTATCTGGCCAGCCCGTCAACATCACAGCCCACCTCGCTGGGGCGCTCAAGAACATCCGAGCCGTCTTCTACCCGACGATTTCACGGCGTTTCCAGCGCACTCCTGCTCGGCGTCCCCACGGCGCTCCCCGATGGCTGAGACAGCTCTTCGGCATCAGCAATGGAGCAGGTCTCGAGTCTCGCTCGCTCCGCGTCTGGGTTGACTTGATATGCGTCGACCAACACGATGAGATGGAGCGGCAGCGCCAGACAATCGAAATGCGCCAAGTCTACAAGGCAGCCGAGCTGGTTATCGGCTGGGTTGGCGAGAAGTCGGAAGCCACAGATGCAACGCTGGAGGTGTTTTCTGAGATTGAGGACAAGATGCCTGCCCGCTTTGGAGATCCAGGTGACCGTGAAGAGCATCCGGAAGACTACTCTCCCGAACATCGCTGGGCCAAGAATATCCTGCATATGTGGCTGCCCAGCATTCCTGGCGTGGCCCCGTGCGATATGCCATATTGGCAGGGCTATCTCGATTTCCTCGGTCGCCAGTACTTCCAGCGTCGCTGGATCCTGGAAGAGCTTTCACTGGCCCGCTTTCCCTGCTTTCTCATTGGAGATAGCATCATTCCCTGGAAACAGATCCTTCGCTTAATTCGAATGATGGAGGAGTTCAAACACGAAGAGTCTGATGTCTACCCAGTGGTATGTTTCCCCCCCCCCCCCCCCAATCCCATATCTGATTTTGGAGCCCTCAAATAGCTAATATGAAACTCTCACAGTATCTCAAAGATTCAATCGCCGAATTGCCCCTCGAGACAGTCCACAAATTCTTGGATGAATTCGCGCGAAGGGAAGCCTTGGAGGAGGCCAAGATTCTTTTGGAGGCGGGCAAAAGCAGGGCCACCTCATCGACACGATCTAATGAATAGCTTTTTACCGCAAGAATTATAAAAATCGATAATAACCGGAACACACAACCGGAACACACAAAAAAGTACAAAACAATGCGGCAGGGGGGCAATAGCGGCGGCGTCAGCGGTTTTCATTCACAAGATTGGCATTTCGCAGGTTTTGGTTGTGAAAGGCATGGCAGGGACACCAAAGGTTGACTTCAGGCGCGACGAGGATACCCCATAGAAATTTGGTTTACATGACAAACAGTTTTCTTTCTTTTTCATTTTTTCTTGCGTATTCTTCTTCTTCTCCTCTTCTTATTTTTTTTTTTTCATATTGTCTCCTTTGTTCTTAGTATAGTTGTCCACGCAATTAGTCGCGTGTGGTTTTCTCTCTTTCTTTTATAAATCAGAAACTCAAGACAGACGAGTTTAAAAGCAACTGACACTATTACAAATTAATGCTATCTTCTCATCTGTTCTTATCAAATGTATCTTACAATATATGTCATGGTTGGCGGCGGTGCCTTATTTTCTCGTACTCTACTCCGCGGAATTCCGCGTTTCTTCTCTTTGGCTTCTTTGTACTGTCACGAGATGCTGTGCTATCATGACAGAGCGGTGAGAGAAAAGATCTATACAAGTTCCACCCTGTATGCTTATTACAAGATGGACCGTGGGGTCTTTCTCTATCAAGTAACTTCCGAACTATCCTTGGCTATCTTTTGACTGATTGTAGTAAATAGTGGAGGAACTTGCATCAGAATCCACTGCCCGACTCTTGGAGCAATACGATAGTATTACCCAGTAGTATATACATAAGAGAAGACTATTCGGAACTAGCCAAAAGACAGGGGCCAAGACAATCACGATCTGTGACCAAAGTAACAGACTGCATTCTGGAATCGTAGTAGTACCTAGTAGTAGAACAGCCAATGGCGTTGATCTTACATGGACCCTCATCCCAGCTGATGGGCAAATAAGAAGCTGACGCAACCGCGTAAAAGTTCCGAATTCGTGTCTAGCTCACCGACAATTTGAGGATTATATCAGCAAATATCCTGTTCATCTCGACCGTATTCAGCGATTGCCGGCCATGGGTAAAAGCTGAATGCCGCAGATTCCCTTTTCATTCGCCGGCGAGCATCATGGAGCATGCAAGTCGGAAATAGTCCCTCCGACACTGGGTAGTAGCGAAGCACGCTTTGGGACAGCCATACATTTGCGATGTCGTAATTCCATATACTACTAGCTATTGAATACTAATCCATGCTTCTCCTCTCCAAAGGCAACCGATGGTGTAGAGCCTTTGATGTTGAGTGGACCACAAACTGATAAGACGCAAGTTTTGTTTTAGCCTATTGGTAATTTTAATTTCGTGAATTTGCTACCTCGTATAAACAACTTTCATGTGATACCTAATCCATATAGCTGGTAGGTAGGTATTCTCGATTGTTTCATCAAGTGCGAAGCATCTCATCTTTACATCAAGCTATGCGTGCCTCTTTCGTTCGCTCTTCGAAGCAGCCTCTCTATAGTCTTGATCCTACCATCTAGATAGACTAAGCCTTGTGAAGTATTTTAGAAAAACCATATAAAAGCCCACCTGGTCGAATAAATAATTTCTTTTCTTGATTACTCTTTGATGTAAGCCCGGTCGTGGCATCGCGGAAACAGGCCAGGTTAGCTATCATGTTGCCGCCAAGCATCTATTAGCTAGGTGATACGGCAAGTTGCATTTTTCTTCATAACAATACTCTGGGTTGCGTAACTTGGTGGTGTTCTGACTCGCTTCAGAAGCTCGCCGCAGCACCACCTTCAGGGTGATATTCATGGCCATTGGCCAAACTCGGTCATATCAACTCCACCAAATATACAATATTCTATATGGTTGAGGGCACCAATAGGCAGGCAAGCCTTAAATGCAATATGCCACTTGTGGCGGGGTCGTGATGAAACATCATGGGTTGGCAAGCCTGTTTAGCATCCCACCACGAGAAATGTTGTGTATCCTGAGGCGCCAGAGGTAGTTTGCCGACGTTGCAGCCGATGTCATTGCAAGGTGAAGCCCGCCAAGCGCAATCCTGAAAGGTCAGATAGCCATGCGACCCAAAATACTACCATGAACAAACGATAACACTCTATGAGTAAAACACGAAGCGAGGGGTTGAGATCAAGACCGGGAAAAAGATGCAAAGCCGGGGAACCTGGCTTCTAAAAAAAACAGCTGAGGCATCGAGATCTCTCTCCGCCTTCGGCCACTCATATCTTGCTCGAGCATCAAATCATTCCAAGGCTAAAGGGATAACTGTCTCGTCTCAGGAGCATCCACGAGAAGACGAACAAAACTCTGAAGATAACTTGGTACAAAGATAACTTGGTATATAGCGAGAAGTAAACATATAGTGCACAAATATAAAGATACCTTATCATACCTTAATCCATGAATGCCTTAACACGGAGCTGGCCGTTGGCCAAAGAAATATCAACAGCGTAGAGCCACGTCACGAGGGTAGCAGCTCTCCGCACTCAACAATTCAAGAATGCAACCCTCCGTATGTTGTATTGACGTCAATTCTATGTCAGACTGAATTAGATGGCTGAAATACTTCTCGGAGCGAAGCAGTGAGGCATCACGCCTATATATTGAACGATATCTCCAGCGGAACGAGCTCGAGAATCAACATTGCATTCAAGTCCAACTTAAAAACTCTTCTCCTTTCACCATGATTCTTACTCTTCTCCCGCTCTATAAAGCAACCTTTGAGCAAGCAACTCTCTTTGGAGTTGTGATCTGCTTGTTTACCGCCTTGCTGAGCTATCTGCCAACTCGGCCTGTCAAATACTTCCCTGGACCCAAGCCATGGCCATTCTTGGGCAACTTCATCTACTACTACAAGGTTTTGCATAACTTACCCGTTGAGCTTCCCCAGATGGCAAAAGATTTCGGCGGCATCTGCATGGTGTGGATGGGCCGGAAGCCGAACTTACTCATACACAAGCTGGAAGATGCTCATGAGATACTTACAAAGGTCAGCATACAAAAAGATGTGTCTAGCAATGTGACATTTTATTTGTATCTGCTTCTTGAAACTCAGTCCATCACTAACATGTATATAGTGAGGAGCCATGACATCCAACCGACCGAGGAAGAATATTTTTCTAGAACGCACTTGGCCTGGTGTATTGCCCTTTGCTCAAGCTGGCGAAGAAATGCGATTCTATCGGCGAATCTTCACAGACATTCTTGGACCAAGACAGTCGCAAGAGGTCAGAAAATATCAGGACTACGAGACCAAAATGGCATTGGTTGCGTTTTGCGAACTCCCAGATGACTATGTGGCTCATATAACCCGGTTCGCAATGAGTGTCATCTTCAGTGCTATATACGGAACCAGGATCGGCCGACTCGATCATCCCGTCATGGTCGAGCTATACGATGTCTGGGAAACAGATTTGCATAGTACATTACAATCCCTTCCCCCTCCTCCCTTTTTTTCAGCAGGGAAATAATCTCACCATTTGACCATTTTTTTAGATGTTCGACCCGGACACCTCATCATAGACTGGCTGCCGATCCTTGAGAAGCTGCCGTTGCGCCTCCAGCCTTGGGTCAAGCTCGCAGATTCTTTGCACGAACGTGAAACTGCCGTTAACAAGGCCTTTCTCAAGTCACTAAGAAAGCGAATCGAGACCGGAACGGTGCCCGCGTGTTTTGCCATCGATGCCATGGCACATCAACGGAAGCAGGGATTTGACGACGACGTCTTGGTTGACCTTTTGGCCGGCTTGGTGGTCACTGGCAGCGAAACAACCGCCACAATGATGCAATCCTTCATCAAGCTCATTGCAATGCATCCAGAGGCTCAGCAGAAAGCTCAACAAGGTATAAATAGGCCCCGTTGACCCTCAGCATGTTGTCGTGAAAAGTCACCAGACGCTAAGAATCTACATGTACTTTAGAACTGGACCGCGTAGTTGGGCCTCGTCGTCTGCCAGCATGGGAAGACCAGCCAAATCTTCCTTATGTTCGAGCTCTTATCAAGGAGCTTCACAGATTCAGCCCCATTACTTCGTTTGCCGTCCCACACGCCTCCACTGAAGAGATCATGTACCGCGGAAACACCATCCCCGACAACACCGTCATTTTGCCCTGCCTGGACAATCTTCATCGGGACCCAGCACGGTACGATGACGCTGAATCCTTTCGGCCGGAACGATTCCTCGGTGATGACTTGGAAGCGCTCGTCAGTGCTAGACAGAGAGATTACAGGAAGCGCGACCACGTCAACTATGGCTTTGGTCGTCGTATGTGTCCAGGTATGTCACTTTTCTCGAAACAAATGTATTCTCTTTCGAATTACTCGGTTAATCTTTTTGCAAAAGGCATACAAGTCGCGGAGAACTCGCTCTTCATGCAGGTCTCCCGTTATCTATGGGCCTTTAACATTACGCCCAAGCCGGGGGAGCCTCCGCTGGACATGGCCGATTGGCAAGGTGAGTGGTGTCTTACTTGAATAAAGTGTCACACAATTGCTGATAGCTTTTCTCTCATCAATGTAGAATTGTTTAGCAGGAAGCCAAAGCCATTCAAGGTGAATATCACGCCGCGGTCTGATGCTATACTCCAAGTTATCCAACAGACGGCGAAAGAGGCGCGCACGGATATTCCTGATGTTGACTCTATCGAGATGGATAACTAAATAAATGTTCCTGAGGCAATGATTCGTGCGAAGTTGTATGGATAGCCAAAGAAGGAAAGGTTAAAAGCTAATGGATGAGTTTCAACTACATCTTTGTTCAAATGATTTTTCAACACTATAGTCGAAAGCTACCAAAGCTCACCAGACGAAACAATCTACACATCTCTCCAAATCGCTCTCCAGCACTGGCAGTAGTGAAAACGAAGTCATAGAATTGCAAGTCTTGAAATATATACATGAACCCTAATACTCCCATTATTCCCATAAACCAATAACCAAAATACAAAACACCGTTAGTTCCGACCCTTCAAAATCCACAACCAATATCAAAACAAATCTGTAATTATCCAAAACATTGTTGTAAATAAGTCAAACTAGGGGTATTCTTCTTCCCTACTATGGTATGTAAAAAAAGGATATGTCGCTTCGATGATAACTCATTCTCACTCTCGTTTAGTTGCTGCTGGGATTCTCATCCGCAAAGCCCTCTTCAGTCTCCTGCTCGTCGTCACCAACTTCAACAATCTTCCATCTCTTCGCCGGGCCCTGCATATCGGCCCATAAATCGGTAGGCAGGAATTCTCCTACGTCTTGTCGAAACCTCTCTCGTTCTGCTCGGTCCGTCTCAAGCATCTTGTCAACGCTCTCCTGGGCCTTGCGCAAGATGTTCTGAACCTTGTCCTCGACGGCTTGGCGACGCGCAACCTCCAAGCGCAGCCCGTGATAAGCGCTGGCATATCTTTCGTAAAACTCTCTCATCTGCTTCATCTCCTCCAGTTTGGTAAACACAATCTCCTTTTCCATCTCCCACCGGGATTTGAAGTCCTCTTCAGCAGCTAGGTAGTCGGCCAGGCGATCCCCGATTTCTCCCAGCGTAGTGTATGCATCAAGCATGCCCAAGTGCGCTCTCTTCGTCTGGTCCGTTTGGTCTCCCAGAGCGGCATTCTTCTGCTCGACTTGGGCGAGATGATCTTGAATATCCTGCACAACACCATCCACGAGCCTCGCATCTTGGATGACCACTCTCAGCATTTCTGCTCGATCCTCCGCCGTCTGTGGCTCAAGATCGGATCTGTTGGATTCCTGCTCGGCAATGACACCCGATATTGACACGCTCTCGCCCCCTTGAGACTGAGTCACCTCAGCAGCTTTCCTGCGGGCCAAGGCTGCCGCTCCTTCAGTGGTCCGAATCGCCGTGACACACATATCGAAGTGCTGCGTCAACGAGGCCAGGCACTCGGCCATGTTCCCAGAATGCTCAAACAATTCCACCAGCAGCGTCGATACCGTATCTTGTGGTGCAGGCGTGGGCGCAGTATCAATAATCTTCTTGATATCTCGAATGTCGGTTTCGAGTCGGAGCAAATCGCCGTCAAACGAGAGCTGGATCCCCTATAGCGCCGTTAGTCCAGGAACAGACAGAACAGTAAGTATTCAAACAAGTACTCACCTGCAGCTCCTTTATGCACTGCTTCATCGCGTCTCGCATCCCATGAACGCTCCCCTCATCCACAAAACCCAACAAGCTCTTCCTCGCCTCGCCCTTGGGCCGCAGCGCCGTCCCCACCACCGTAGTCCTCAGCATATTCATCGTTCCCTCCAGCTCGCCGTCCACCTGGTCCATCTTCTTCACCAGCTGCACAAAGTCCTTCTTCCCCCACTCGCACGTTGCCTGCAGGCTCTTGCCCACGCGCCCCAGAATCACCACCTGGTCGGCAATGGCGTTGCGCAGAAAGCCCGTCTGGGCAGCCAGCATGACCGTGTCCTCGTGGGACTGCCGCGCCGCCCTGACGATCTCGTCGGCTCGCAGGACGAGCGTCATGGACGACAGCGACCGCTTGGACACCAGCAGATGGTTGACGAGCGTGTCGACGGAGATGGCCAGCCGGTCGTTTGACGGCCTCAGCGACCCGGCCGACGACGAGTCGGGGCTGCGCCGAGTGGACGCTGCTGGCGACGCCATGTTGAGATGGCGCGTCGTCACGATCTGGAGATGACGTTGCTTGTCTCGTGTCTCTTGTATCGCAGAATCGAGTTTTATCTGTCAATGAGCGCAGACCCGGACTACATGATGAGCCGGAAGAGATGAATCGCAGTCGACGAGATGTCGAGGTGAAACGAAACGATGCCTGGAGCAAGGTAGCCGATAAGCTGCGCTCTGATAAGCCGGCTGGCGTCATACGGGCTCCAGCTCTGCTCCGGTTAGCGCAGTACCTGCAGTTAGCGCGGCTGGGGCATCCGCTAGGGGGCGTGGAGGTCGCCAAAACCAAGCCGAGGCTAATGCTTACAGCGTGTCCACGCAGTATCCAGTACCTGCGCCATCTCGCTGCAAGGAGGACGCCTAAACCGTTGGAGGTCCAGCGCTAGAATGCGTTTATACCTGTACTCTGAACACTTCTTCGACCACCTCCACTTGGAACCCAACATATCTCCATAATGCAAGAATGTATCCAGGTTGCTGTAAACTTTAATTTTGACGCGAAAGATATTCTTTCTTAATGCTGCTTATTAGAATTGTCGAGTAAAGTATATTCACATTATTATTTATTATTTGTATTATCTGTATTATTTTCTATCACACAAGTCACTATCTGCTTTCAGCCAGACTCATACGAAGAGCGCTAATAAATAGCTAGGAAGATATCAGACAAAAGCAATTGCAGGTTTATTTCTCCATCTCTCATAAGAAGCTAGCCTCTCATACTAAGCACTAATATACAAGAAAGTATTAATCATCGGATTAAATGAGCAGTGTATTAATCATAATTGAGCGGCGTACCTCCATAGCCATGGATGTTTCTCTCTCTCTCAACCAAAAATCGAAAGCATTCTAACGCATCAAAAACCGCCCACAATAGTCTACTCTACAATCATAACACAATTCTAGCCAAAATCATCGCGCGCATAATTCTATCCACGCTCAAAAACACCAATCATCGCTCTTTACTCAAGCTGAAACAGAATCACTCCATATCCACACCAAGGCCAATCTCGCCCGCGCCATTCTCCTCGCCCAGCCGCACACCACCAGCATTGTCCTGCGCATTATCCAGATCCGCCTGGCCCTTTTCGCCCATGCCGTCGAGCGATCCGCCCTCCATGACAGTCAAGAGCTCCAGCTCCTCGTCCTTGGAATAGACGCGGATGCCCACAATGCAAACGGCATTCCACGGCGTGGGCATCTTCTCTTCCTCGGTATCGTAGTCGTCCCGAAGAGGAGGCGCGGGATAGGGGAACTGGCGAGGCCTGCGGGTGTAATCGTCGTCGCTGTAAAGCTCTTCCCAGTCCTCGACAGGAGAGTCAGAGGAGTCGCCGTCAGACTCTTCGACCACCGCGGGAGGTTCGGGCTTCTTCTCCTCCTCCTCAGCAGGCTTGGGCTCTTCTGCCGCTGCATCCTTCCCTTCACCAGCAGCAGGAGGAGCTCCGCTAACGGGAGGCACGTCCTCCTTCTCATCCGAAGGGAAGATGCTGGACTTCTCAGACTTGGGAGTATCAGTAGGCGAGCCGCTGGCGCTGGAGTCTGAGTCGTCGTTGAGTGCCAGCTTGCTGACATCAATGTTGACAATGTCTCCGTCAAGAGGCGTTGAGACGCCAGAGACATTCTCAGACTTGTTGGTCTCCTCCTTGACCTCTGCCTTGGCAGCTGCTTCAATGGCCTTCTTCCTGAGCTCCTCCCTGAGCTCCTTCTTCCGCTCCTTCTTCTCGCCATTCTTCTTCTTCTGCTTCTTGGTCACGTCGCGGCTGATGTGACGCCTCTCCCACTGCCGTCGCCGCTCCTTCTGACGGTGCGTGGTGGCCTTTTCTTGGTCTCTCTTGTTGCGAATCTCAGTAACCTTTTCCATATGCTCCCAGGCCTTGCTGTGAGCCAGGTCATACGCGTAGCCCACTTGCGCAAGCTTCTCGTTCTCGACTCGCTTCTGGCTCTCTCTCTTGACAACCTCTTCGACTGATGGCAGTTCCTGGTTGCGCTGGCCAGTCACCTTGAGGTATACTGTGTAGTTACCAGAAGGAAGATCAGGAAGCTCCACAGACACCGATCGCTTCATAAAGTAGTTGCCATGAGAGCGCACAATGTAATCTTCTGCGTCGGGCTGGTCTTCATGATGAAGGCGGAAGTGAAGACGGAAGCTGTACTGTCCCTGGAGACCCTTGAAGTATCTTCCGTCCAATTGCGACAGGACGAGAATGAGAGGAGAGTCCTTGGTCAGCTTGATGCGGAACTTTTCGTGATATTCCGCCTTCCATGGGACGTCGACTCCGATCCATCGCTGACAGCAGCGCCAGTCGTCGTCTTCCCTGAACAGACGAGTTCGGTCAAAATGGGTATACTTGCGGACCAAGTCCTCAAAGGTAATCCAAAAGACGGAATCGCTGCCAAACTTGTGGCCCAGCTCCTCTTGGGCCTCAGCAGTCCATTCCTTGGAACCGTCGCTCCACGCTCCCTCCCAGAGGCCCTTGCGGATTTCGCCCCAGGGGTTGCGGAGCTTGACCAGTCGCTGGCCTGACTTGAGGGTGCGAGCATCGGTGACAACGTAGGCATGAGCCTCGCTGATGCCATCCCGGTGACCATAGCCATAATCCAGGATACCAGCAGAGCAGCCAAACATGAACTCCTTGTTCACCTTGGACAGCTCGTTGTCCCAAAAGGCGTCAAGATCCAAGATGTCAGATGCAAGCAGCTCAGTGGTGACTCCACCAGAGAGATCCTCTAGACCTTCTCCGATCCAGCCACCAGAAAGGGAGGCATAATCACCATGTGCTTTGGCGTACGCCTTCTCAAGGAGTGGCACCCAGGTCTCATTTTGATCTTTGCACTGGGCAAAGAACAGAGCCTTTGAGCCCGTCTGGTACGTCTTCCTGTAAGTGCTTTCGGTCTCCTCATTGCGATCGATCTGCTGGAGAAGGTCTCGCTGCATGCTAGGCGAGTCCCAACCAGGGGACTTGAGATACAGCTTGTCATCGACAATCGAGTAGACCCATTCTCCATCTCGGTAGAAGAGAAATCCGTAGATGCCAATTTCTACCAAACATTAGCATTGTAATTATACACCCAAGAATTGAAAGCGCGTTGACTCACTTGTATCGTATGCTACACAGCATCGAGGAACACCATTATCCGCGCTTGCCAACGCAGTGAAGCTGGACATTAGCCAGCAATCTCCAAGGCCTCCCTGCTTGACGTCGCTTCCGCTGACATCTTTCAAAAACGTGGGCTTCTCGAAAATCTCGTGGACTCTCTTGACAGCCTTGGGGACGACCGCTTTGGAGCCCAGGAGGGTAGTCTTGTTGATTTCAAACTTGTCGCTGCCGATGTAGTTGAGGGTGTTTCCCTTTTCGTATCTCAGATCCCAGTCCTGACGGAAACCGGTTAGCTACGATTTATGACACAACGACCAGAATCCGCCTCGGTTCACTTACCAAATCCCAACCCTGGTCACGATATCTCATGTTAACCCGCTTACACTCCTTGACAATCTTCTCCACCTTTCGTCGACATTCTTCTGCAGCGCGCTCATATCCTTCGGAGAGCAGCTCATTGGGTCGGTCTAATCCCGATCGAGGCGCGACCGAGTCGAACGGAAGGATTGAGAGCGCCGTGTAGAACTTGCGGTTTGAAAACTTCTTCCAAATCTTGTTGATGGACTGCTGGGGAGGCAATCTCTTCTTTCTCTTCTTCTTGTTGTCTTGGTTGTTGCTTGAAGAGGATGGCTGCGAGCGCGGACGGCGAGGGTCGTCCGACTCGTCAGAGGAACTGTAGCCGTGCATGGCGAAAGGATCGAATGGTCTATACTCTAATTCTAAGAATCAAAATTGCAAGTGATTGTTCTAAAGAGTGACAGATCAACTGTCAAAGGAAAGACGACACACGCAACGATATGAAAAGGAAGGGCTGGAGACGAAATGACAAGCAAAGGCCGGTGATCGGGGGGGGGGACGAATAAATACTGATTACGCTTTACTATCTATACAACCATTTAAACTTTTTCTCTTCCCCCGTACAGTGACCTGGTTTCCAACGAGGCGCACTGGCGTGGCTTCGCGACTCACCGACTAGGACCCTTGGTCTAAGAAGCCTCTAGTAACCCATGCCTAGACCCAGCCCTTTGCATCCGCCGGATTAGAGATCTGTACCTGTGGGGTGCGCTATCGCTCGGGGCTGGGATGGGAGCTGCCGTGTTGGATACTGTATGGAGAACCCCGAATAACCCACGAAAGAAGCCACTCGAGCGTGACTTGGGTGAAGCCATCTACCGAGTACTTTAGGTCTCCCCGCTGCTCGCTATCGGACCAGGCTGAATAAACACTTCTGGGAAAAAAGCGTATCACCAAAGGATTTTCCCGAACACACTATTTGTTACACTAACGTGTCTGTTTTTGGGCTTCGATATAAGGTCCGTCCGAATTCTTCCGGAGTTGCACTGCTTTGATGATAGTGAGAAATGCCTGAGCCCAGACGATGTGATAGTACTGTGCTTCGTTTGATTTTCCAGCCAGTGGCGTGTACCGTATGTAATCACGTCTTTTTGCCTGAAAATAGAGCCTCTTTCTGGCTGATAAATACACGGGGCTGATGGGCACGCGAACGGGACCTTGACTTGAAGGGTCTTCCACTAACACATCCTTCTCCACAACGAATCGTGTTCAATTCTGGGGTCCAAAGGGTCCAAATGCCCCTGACCGCCCAGTCCCACAGCCGCCAAGTGTCTAGCGGGATGGAATGGATGGCCAAAGGGAGACATTTTTTTTTTCAGGGTCCAAACACCACCATTACAGTCAACCGGCTGTGTCACTCATCCAGTAACTAGCACCCTGATTAGGCCTGTGGTTGAATCAGCATGCATACCATCGCCAATCTCAAGGCAGCGTGCTGTGCTGTCAAAAGCACGGTAATCGTGATGGACTTACTGGCCCGTCACTCTCCCCATCGCATTCTGTTGCTGACCACCAAAAGCTCGACCAGCACGGTGCATAAGTGCAGTCTTGCTCCCTGCATAGAGAAGTAAGGGCTCGTTTTGCAGGCTGGATTGGCATGACATGGATAATGCAGCAGGCAGTCGCGCACGCTTAGTGGTAACCGAAGCTCGCAATGAGACCAAAGTTGCCACCTTCCGACGCCGGTGAGGACTAGACATGTCGCTTAGACAGTATGAAAACCAAGCTGAGCACGGGATGGACATTCAGCAATTCGATATCAAAGGGTCCTCTGATCCCTTCCTATTTTGCCGTCTTTCCCCTATCATGCCGAGACAATCGTATGCTCAAATCCAGAAATACAGCCGTTTTCACGGTCAGGGTGACTGTCATCTTTTCACTATTAGCAGTCGTAGGCCCAAAACCAAAAGTCCAGCCATTTTCACAATCAGGGTGATAGGCCTCACCATCAGCAATTAGCAATCATGGACGCCGAATCCCCGACAGGGAAGGCGGTGCGCCTGCGTCAAAGCATGGCGCTTAATTCATGCCGCTCGATATCCGAATTCCGGCTTGGGCAAGTGATTCATAGCACAGGGTGCCCGATAAAGGAGCGGTGGGAGGGATCTCACCACACTGAAACGCCACCAGTCGAACCGCTAAAGGGCTGATAGTATCGCCTGGGACGCACGAGAAGGGGAGATGCAAGTCGCTAATGGCGGCAACACCGAATACTGTACTGAGAGGCGCAACTATTCGTCAGAGGCTCAACAGCTCAAGTAGCCGACATGTAGACAGTACTCCACCGTCAAATGGCGAACCAGAGGCTATGGAGAGCCGAGAAACGTCGCTTCAACCTCTGGGGAACGTCTCTGGACCCTGACAGACGCCACAGGCCCCATTCCCCACCATCCAGTGCCGAAGAGACAGTGCGCAATTTGATTGAGCGTGGAGGTCGTAATCCCGCATGTTGGACTGCAGCGGGCGTCTAGTGTCGAGAGCTGAAGGGAACAGTCACACGGGCAGCCTCGTCTCGGCCGTCGTGTCCATTTAGGTAGGTAATAGGCGTAGGCAGCCAGCTCTCCCCTAAAGTCAACGAGGGCTGGCGGCATGTAGGACTGAGCATTGGAGACAAGATGAGGCTGAATCTCTTATTTTAGAAGCAAGAGGATCGAAAACACAAAAAGCAGCAGGCAGGCATAGTCGTGACCAACTTGGGCGGTGGGCCACGAAGAGGCAGCCACGAAGAGGTAGCCACAGCGGGCGCGGTTTCCGGCAGACACGGACCAGACCCTTCCAGAATCCCTGCATGGCGATAAGCTTTGCGGACGTTATCGGCTGCCTCAGTAGGCGAGTGAATAGTCTGTTGTCTAAGTTAGAATTTATCTGCGCCCCAATTAGCAGAGTCAGTGATATTTGTAATCAGCCGCATGAAGTAGCCTACGGAGATAGTCGTTCTAAAGATCAGTGATTATCGGCACTCACTTCATATGTAGCTCCTTGTAAAACGATATACAGTGATATGATAATACAAAGATGTAAATCCGAGGATAGCGAATTCAACATGTGTACGAAAGAGAAGAAAACAAGGCAAGATACATAGATTTCAAATTTTGTTCACAAAGATTCCATCATAGAAAGAAGTGACCAAGTCTCGGCGCCCTCTATGTTGCGTTTGATATAAGCTACAACCACACACGCGTATAAGTCGCACAGGTAGTTCACGTCTTAACAATCAGCAAAATTGTAAATCTTTTGCGCTCCAATCATCCATTCATACTCAATGACTACTACTCGCGACAGCTACTTTATTGCTCGCTGTTTTCGAATCAGGATCCTGCTCCTCCAAGTCTCTCGATAATGCCCCTCCTTCAGCTTCCACATCACCACTCGCCTCTACAACCAGCACCGCCTGAGCCCTCCGCTCCATGCGCCTCCTCCACGGCCCATAGAACAAAACAGACCCAATGCCAACAATAACAAACAGGCCGCAGATGCTCCCGCCAATAATGTCAAAGTGATCCCCAATAGCTGACACGCCGTCCCAGAACTTGCCGCTTGGGTTGGCCACATTCTGCGCCAGCGACAGAACCTGGATGATGCCAATAAAAGCAGCGACCACGACGGTAATGCCGGTGAGGACGATGGAGTAGTATAAAATCGCGACTGTGTCTCGCGAAAAAGCCTTTGATGTATACAGCGCCATCATAAGAGCGCCATCAGTGCTATCAACAAGGCACATGCCAGCTGCAAAGAAATATAAGCTAAAGTTAAAATATTTTCCCATGTTTCAGAGTTGAATACACAAATGCAAGACGACTTACACGTAAAAAGAATAGGAAAAATGAGAATCAGCCAGATGCTCGTCCCCTGCACAGCTTGTATACTCGCAATTCCCAAAACGGCAATCTCAGAGCTCGTATCAAAGCCAAGGCCAAACACAACTCCAAGCGGATACATCTTCCACGGCCGGTCAATCGTCTTGAAAAGAAACTTCAGAGAGCGTATCAGAAAACCACCGCCTTCCAGTTGAAACTGATCGTTGGTTTGCATCGCAGTAGCATCACCATCCTCGTCGTTCAGAGATTCATCGCCATCGCCCTCACTCACAATGCGCCTCCGCTCTGCGAGAACCTCTTTCAATCTCTTCACAAGCTTATAGAGCACCCAGCCATTCCCCAAACACAAAATGATTAGCACGGCCGCACTGACGCTCGTACCAATAATGTTTCCTATCCTCTGAAAGCCATCGAAGCGCTTCCTCAAAGCGCCACTAGTCGCCGCCACAACAATGCACGTAATGATGACAATGGTGCTATGTCCGAGCGAGAAAAACGTTCCTACAGTGGCCGGTCGCTGTCCCGATGCTATAAGCCGCCTCGTCATGAGATCAATGGCAGAGATGTGGTCTGCATCGAGGGCATGGCGAAGGCCCAGGGCGTATGAAAGCGCAGCTGGAGAGATGAGTGCCGTGTGGAAGCGCAGGACAATGGCGACGGCGGTCCAGACAAAAATGTTCACGACGATGAGAATGGCAATGATTCGAATGCTGTTTGAGGGGATTGTCCGAAGAAATTTCGGTTTTGAAGGGAGTTTGATGGACGGAAAGTGGTGAGGAGGCATGATGGCGATGATGTCAAGAATCAGAATATCGCAAAGAAGTTTACAAGTATACTTGGCCTTGGCGACCTATCTCGGGAAGAACAATGACCATATGAAGTATTCACTTCTTCAGCTGCTCCATCCCGTGCATATAACCCCTCTCTTCTCCGTGTTAGGGTTACTAACAACGGCAAAATGATGCAGCGGGTGTGACAGCATTTTTCATTGCAGGTGATTGACGTAGATATCAGCGTAGCAACACCAACCTTAATCTCCTAGACCAACAAGCTTGAGCCCCGCCATTGGTAGCTGATAAGGGCGATTGCGGGAGCTTAATAGATAGGCGTTTTATGCTGTAATGCGCCAAATAGCGCTTACACATGGTATCTAGAGATAGTAGTGCAAAGGCAGATGGAATCGACGACTATCTGGCCTATTTTGTCTCAGTCATTGAAGGGCAGCACAGCATATCCTTTTGTCTAGACAGCCATGAATGTCGTTGGACACCCCTGCGGCTGAATGAGTTGGATGCGGGGAACACATGTTGCTAGTTTGCACGTACCTAATCGATTAATACTATTGGGTGACATTACACGCATATAACATGCATACAAAACAAGCAGCTAGTAGATCAGATATCATCTCATCTACAGCCACGGTCACGACTTCATCATCACAGTTCCATCATACCTCCAATCCAACAACGCCAACCCTCCTCGCCTCCTCATTCAACGCATCAATCTCAGCCCTCACCAGCGGAATCCCCGTCCTCTCCCTGTCCCTCTGCGTCAACTGCTCAATCTCCCCCGGGAAGTATATCCTCTCCACGCCCGCCGCCTTCTGCGACCCAACCACGCGCTCATACAGATACTGCATGCGCTCCCGGAACTCCGCCAGGTCCATGAACAAGTCCGGCTTGATGGCAACCAGGAAATGGCCCACGTCGGCCGGCTTCGACGGGTCGTACGGGTTCGTCACATGCCCTGCAAACGCAGACCCGGAGAGCACCCCCGAAAAGACATCCATCATGATGGCCAGCGCCGAGCCTTTCGGTCCTCCCATCGGCAGCATCACGCCGCCCAGCGCCGCCTCGGGGTCGTCCGTCGGCCGTCCCTCTGCATCCAGCGCCCAGTCCAGCGGAATCTTCTCGCCTCTTCTCTTGGCCTTGTAAATCTTGCCCCGGGCCGCCACCGACGGCGCCATGTCCAGGATGAAGTTTTGCATGTCTCCTTTACCAGGGGCGCCGCACGCAATCGGCGACACGCCCATGAGCTTCTCGCGGCCCCCCCACGCCGGCAGCGCAGGACTCGAATTCGTAAAAACGAGGCTCATCATGTCCGCGTCCAGCGCCTGCTGCACGACCCAGGCGCTCATGCCGAAGTGATTCGAGTGCTTGACGCTGGCGAGCCCAATGCCGTAGACTTTTGCTGATTCAATGGCCGCCGCCATGCCCATGTGAGCGGCCACAAAGCCAAAGCCGTTGCGGCCATCGACCTGTGCAACTACCGGCGTGACCTGCTTCAGCTCGGGCTGTGCTCCAGCATCTAAAACGCCCTGGCGAATGCGCTCCATGTATGACGGGATGCGGTTCATGCCGTGCGTATCGACGCCTCGCAGATCAGCTGCCACGAGACACCGCGCTACAGTGGCCGCATTATCGGGGGAGACGCCGTTGCCTTTGAGGATTTCCTGGACGAGGCGCCGGGCCTCTTGAGCGGCGACGAGGATCTTGGGAGCCTCTTCTGTTTCGGCCATGGCTGATGATGTGAATTGAAGTATGAGAGAGAGAGCAATCAATTCAACTTGGAGATGGGCTTTAGAGATTAATCAAACTCATAAAGTTAAGAGTCATGGAGTATTAATACCAGTAAGCCATTTACATCTTTACTGGCCCGTCTCTTATCCCACTGCGGGCAATCGTGTTAGCGATCGCGGGGCTCCCATTCGGCGCTCCGACAGCGGTCTCCGGCCGGGCTGCGGAGGTGAAGGGCGGTGCACAGTCAACAGTTGGGATCTGCTAAACTCGACAAGGAAGAGATAATTGGCGATGGACTTGTTGAATACGTGACAGGATGGACAAGTCCTACGAATGAAGCTGCACAGCCAATGCCTCGGCAAATTTGAGCTACAGTATTGAGTCACTGATATGGATTCACCCCGCAGTGTAAAGAGGCACGTCAGCTTGTCTGCGTATCCGTATTCGATTTGCTAAAGGAGAACAGATGGACAGCAAAATGGCTATTACAATTGGCAAGGGGGAAAAAATGATCAAGTATGACCAAGCTCTACGAAGAATGGGCAAACAAAAGATAAAAAAACAAATCAGTCCAGTGAAGAACCAATGCGTCATCCGGAACTCGAATCCGGGCCTCAACTTGACCTGTGAATGGAAGAGTTGAATCCTAACCCCTAGACCAATGACGCTTATTTGTTGCAGTTGAATCAACATTTTTAGCCTATATAGCTATTGCATTATAACATCTGCCTCTAGCCTACCCTAGCTCTCATCAACTTCAATGAGATAAACTGCTTTGCAGTAAAACACCGCTCGAGTCGATACTGAATTGCGGCGTCTTTATGTTTCATGATCTTCAATCGCTCTACTGAAAAAATAAAAAAATAAAAAATAGTAAATGCGAATCATGGTAGAAAGAATGTTGGCATACCTGCAATAATTCCTGAGTAAAGCACGTAAAAACTACAGGCTGCATACATGTACCTGTCAAGACTATTGTTATTTCAAGAAAACCAATAAATAAAGTTCCAACACCTCTTCTATTCAATCTATGCAGACCTAATGCTATTTCACCTCTCCATCCTCTCAAAACCATAACCTCTTCACCAGCCTATCATCCTCCCAACCTGAATATCACAACTCCAGAACAACCATCACCAATATCAACTCCTCATCCACTCCTTCATCTATAATACTCCTCCGGCTCCAACTTCCCCTCACTTTCACAATCCTCCCCCCCACTCACCGGATTACACCTCGCCCCCCTCCCCTCCATCCTCACCGCATAATCGCACCCCCATCGCGCACTCATCCCAAACGCTGGGAAATCCGTCGACACAACATGCGCCCCCGACCTCAACGCCTTGTCCCGCCTCGAAGTCGAGCAGTTGTGCCCGAGCACCGTGTCGAGCGGCTCGTCGGCGCGGGTGCGCACCCAGTAGTTTGCGCGGACTTGGGCTTGGATAAACTCGACGTTTGCGTCGGTGGATGGATCGTTGTGCTAATTCAAGGCGTTAGCAATCACTACATGATGTTTCCAATGGGTGAAACTTTGGTCTTCACCTTTTGAAACGCACAGTCGTCCTGTCCCGGCGCACTATTCGTAAACAGCACCCTCCCTTCCAAACTCGGCCTCCCCTCAATGTACGCATCCCGCACATCATTCACCGGCCCATTATCCATCAAAAAGAAGATCCTCCCCCTCACACTATCCAAATCAGGCCAGCCATGCTTCAATATCGACTCCTCCAGCGTCAAGCCGTCTCTCCTTACATCATCCGGAGTAAGTAGCTGCGAAGCCCCAAGCACGGAGCGAATCTCCTCGTCGACAATATCCAACAACTCCGTATTCCACGGCACAACTTTCGCACCGCCCAGTCGCTCTCCCAGCTTCTCTGCCGTCTTAAACTCCATCATGATCGGCAGAGGCACGCTGTCTGGATGAGCGTCCATCCACCCCTTGATGACCCGCAGACAGGAAACCAGCGTCGAGCAACTGGTGTGATAGTCCACGTCTGGGATATGCAGCACTTTTGTGCCCTTTCTCTTCAGCGCCGGGTCGTTGGGGACGCCTAGGCCAGCAAGCCTGCGAATGAGCGGCTGGCTAAACATGCCGCCATCAGGATCCGCCAACACGTCTATTCTGTAAAACCACTCCCAGCCTCATTAGCAACTCGTTTTCTTGTTCGCCACTCCGGTGATAAGTACTCACTCTAGATTTCTCACATGCAGATACTCCAGCTGCACATCCAGCGCAGAATGCGAATACTGCAAATCAATCGCCCCCGACGCAAACGTCGACTGAAGATCTCGCTCCGCCTTGGGCGCCTCAATATGGTAGCTGTTGTGCGATCCAACAACCTGAATATGGTTCATCCGCACAGTCCCTTCTGTCCAAACAAGCCCATTCTTGAAGAATTTCCGTGAGAGGCCATTATGAGAATGATCATTTTGGAGTACAATCTGAGATTCAGACGGAGCCGCCACAGCCCCAAGCGCGACTGGACATCAACAATCAGCCATCAGCCCTCCAATCCAGCAATATGAATAGCAGAAAAATCCAAGTAGCTCATCCATCACTCCATTGAGATAGAATATCAAAAAGTATCACAATATCAAGCTTAAAAGAGAAACAGAAAAAGAAAAAGACTTACAAACCGCACCAACAAGATATCGCAGTATCATCCTCGTAGCCCCTACGTAAGTACGTATACATGTAGTCTCCACTCCGAATCTCGGATCTCCCGGCGAGTAAATAAGTTCAACCGTAAAGAAAAAACATCAACAAATCTCATAAACCAACCACTAAAAATTCTTCTTCATATGAAGTGAAAAGAAGATTAAGTAAGATCAGAACCTTCACTGGAAAACCCAAGTCGAGGGAGGGGCGGGTGACAAGTCAGACACAAAACGCCACCAACTCGGACAGCGATGACATCTGAATCGCTCAACTGATGGAGCCTCGTTTTTGCGGTTCTCCTACTGGCTGCTGCGCCAACGCTCAGGTCCTTTGTTACTAAAGCCATCTGGTAGTGATGATCATTGATACATACATAGGTACTTTTCCCCCCTCTCCTTGCTGTCAATTCTCTCACAGCCACCAGCCACGTTTCAGGGCTGTATCTTGGCCCTAGGAATTCGCTAGGCTGTACACCTTGGCACTGTGTCTCAGATCCAGCCACCACTTTTCACGCATCTTGTGTAGCACAATCGAGGCTGGAGTCAGGCTCATATGAATTGAAGGTAGCACCAATCCAGCCACATACTAGCGCAAACGTTTAATCATCTCCTATTGTTGTGAAATAAACAAGTAGTAGACGCATTCACAGCATAAATGGCTATCACTTGAAGATCTAAACTATTTTACTTTGGTTTTTAGTCTGCCATAGAGGCGCGACTCTTTTTCCATCGCTGGTCAAGAGAGACAAAGATTACAAAAGACACATCCCGTGGTATACGTTGCAAATCATACATGACACATCACCATTCAGCCAGCTTGCTGCTCATCTGTCTTGCTCGGCCACTGCGCCGAACTCTTGCCCCGTCCTCTTTTTGACCCCTGCCGCCCGCTTTATTAGGTTCTCTCTGAGAGGTCCTGCCTCTATCAGCGCTCAGCTCTTCTGTGCCATCTCTGCTCTCTCCTAGAAGCTTTCGGCCTCTGGCTCTCCGTTCGTCGTTGGAATTGAGGAACCGATGTACCATCCGGTGATCCAAAATCCGCTCTTCTTTATCGGATGGCCCCGTCCTGTTTGTCTTGGGCCAGGCATAGCCGTAAATCTTTGAGTGTCGCTCGCATCTTGGGCAAGATGATCGTGTAAAGTAGGCATTTTGCTGGACAAAGTAGTCACTGCAGTTGGAGCACTGGATCCAGGCCATGTCAGGCTCTGAAAGGAGCAGTGGCGTAAGGACATAATCCCCTGGCGTTCGTACTCGAGACGGAGGCGGCATTGATTGCTTGAGGATTGTCTTTTGGCTTTTGCCGCGTCTTGGCTTGCTGTCGACGGCCACCACCTCGATGGTTGGCACCGCCTCAGTTTTCGCCTCGGCCTCGACTTTCGTCTCCACATGAATCCCAATGGCAGTCTTGACTTCAATCACCGGCTGAATTTCTCCTGGCTGTTCTTCATCTGGCCGTGTTTCTTTGGACTGTGTTTCCCTTGGTCGTGCTTCTTGCTGTATCTCATCTGGTTCGGAAATGAGTTCGAATTTCGACTCTACTACGGGTCCCCTGGTCGCCTCAATCTTCATCATGAAAGGATAATACATGTCCATACATTCGTCAGTAGGCGAGGGGTCGTTCAGAATAGAAGAAATGGACATGGTCTTCAGCTGTGGCGGTCTCGGAATCGTACGAACGGGGGCCGCCGCTTGAATCATATCAGGAGACGCACGGCTGCCCATGCTATGAGGAGGAGAAACAGGCTCTATTGTAGTGTTGCCCGCATCCTGATAGGCAAAGTTTCCATTCTTTTCATCCAAGGATGGCACTGAGAATATTTGCGACGTCTGGGACGTCTGTGTGTCTGGCTCAGGGCTCTCTTTCTCAGGGGACGTAGAGTCCGTCTCTGGGGCGTACGTCTGGCCAGGAGTTATGCTTCGAGTGCTTGACGAATCAGCAATGCTAGAGACCGCACTGGGTATAGAGAGCAGACGCGAGGACGCATCTGAGGGTTCTGATGTGAGCTTGAGCTTCTTGGCCGGCGTGATTGGTGGAGTCGCAATCGCTTCCATGGTGCGTTTTTGGCCGCGCGGTGTCGCTTCTGGGGTAGGCGAGGGCATTGCCGATGCCTCGTGGGTGCCTGCTTTTTGCATCTTCGGTTTCGTCTTGTAGATGCGCGGGCGCATGTCGGGAGTCACAGACGAGGTCCGTGAAGAGTGGCCGATACTATCGTCTCTTCGTCTCCTACGTAGGGAGTAGGTTTCCTTCAGCTCATCCCCTTCCACGCTGATTTTCACGTTTGCCGCCCCGTCCTCTGGTGCCCACCCATTCCTCAGCTCCTGTTCGCATGTTCGGCATAAACATTCGCAGTTATTATCTCCAAAGTAGCAGTCGCTGTAGGTTACGGTAATCTCTTCGCCGACCTCAATGGGCCTGGACGCCACAATCTCGATTGTAGAGTGACCCGTAGTCATGAGCTTGGCGTTTGCGCGGCAATCATGGTTGGCGAATCGCGCGGGCCCCATGAATAAGCTGGTGCATTTCTTCCTGGAGCTGACGACAATGCTAAAATCCTTCTTTCGAACTGTGATTTCCTTCTCCTCCTCGGGCGTGATGTTGATCTGTATGCCGGAGAGGTACTTGATTGTCTCGTTGCGCTTGATATATCGTCTAGCAATGACGCACGCTTCGTGGGAGACAATGGTGTATCGGTTAGTGGTGCTGACCTCCCAAGGGCAATCAAGGCTGTATATCCGAAGATAACGTCGCAGATGCTGCACAAAGTCGGCCTTTTCCTTATCCGACTTTAGGCCATTGACAAACCTCTTGAGCCCATCCGACGCCAACAGGCGCTTCTCCGCCGCTTCGAGGTCCTGGTTGACAATGACTTCCTCCTGGATGATCTTGCCAATGTCCTCCTCCCGGATCCCCCGTGACGGATGGTAGGACGAGCGGTTCTTGGGAACCGTAGCCCAGTAAAAAGCCTGCGCAAATCGATTAGCTACTGTTCTTGATGACAATAAGCGATATTATCGCAAATGAAACTGACATGGTCGACGAGCGCGTCCGTCAGAATGTCGTCGTAAGCGGCCAGCTGGTTGAGCGTAAGTCGGTGTTTTTTGGCCGTTGCCACGGCAGCCTTGGATGGCGCCATGTGCGAAGATGAGATTATTTGTTGATATAAAGATATATCGTGTAATGTATATATACAGGCGAAAATCTCCGCAGGGCAGGCGACAGCCGGAAGAAATCAGAAGAAAAGAGTGAAAAAGCTCAGATGTTTGTTGGCGACAAAATGGCGTATTCTGAAGGAGTGGATAGAGAAGAGCTCAAGATTCCCTCATAACTCTAATTTCCACCCCTGCCCGCACTGCGCCGGCCGGCCGTAGAGAACGAAAACGCAGCAAAGTGCTTTGGAAATCTCACAGATCGCACAAGCCGATGATGCAGCTTTTATTCCAGCGACCAGATTCGTGGTGGTGAGCGCAGGAGGGTGAGTTGCGCTGTTCAAAGAAGCCCCGTCACCTGAAGCGCCTCGACGTCATTACTCTCAGCCGCTGGCCAGCTCAAGGGATCCTGCGTATAAATCAGGAATAGCCAGTAGGAGAACAGAGAATATTGAAGAAGCAGAAAGAAAGCAGAATGCACAGTTTGTGCGCAAGTGACGTTGTCGAGAGACGAAGATGACAAAGAACGATGATGAGGGAGAAGAAGAAGGAACGAGGCTGTTGGTACTTGAGAAAAGTCTCATGACACGCGAGAGCCGGCAGAAAGTGAGAAAGAAGTTCGAAAGGGGCGCATGGCAGGAAAGAGCAGCTTCACGGCCGGCCACCCGCTAATCCCAATCCTAGGCCCTCACTAATAAACAGCTTGCATAGCAGCCAAGATCCAATACAAGAGGCCAACAACCACGGCCAAAAATAAACCGGGACAGCGCGCAAAAAAAGCGAACCCTGCCCAAATGGCTGTCCGGGCGACGGATGGAGAAAAAATGGGCGGTGCTTGCCAAAGGCTCCAGTTTTCCCGTTTCTGCCATTTCCGTTTCCAGACAGGCTGGAGAACAGATTCAGCCAGGTCTCAGAATTTGGAGCGGATCATGGTGATACAGCCGAGGATTAGCCAGCTGCAGCAATTCTGCGTGCATGGAGCTCAGGCTTGTTTCTACGCTAACAAGCAGCAAGCACGTGACATCGAAAAGTCTCAAATCGACCCATTGGTGGGCTGGTGATGGCTTCAATACCGCTGAATGAGCGTCTACGAACGTTACGTTGAGAGCCCTCACCACAGCCTTGCTGTTGTGCCGTCACGATGATTCAATTAAAGGTACGCAACTTCAAGCATCACATATCTCTTACGTCTCTTGGTTTTACACAGAGGGCCTATGCTAATCATTCACGGCTTCAACACAGACGATGCTCAACTGCATCGACAACTCGGGCGCCGCCCTCGTCGAATGCGCCCTCGTCGTCGGCCAGAAGCGCGCAGCCAGAATAGGTACACTCACCCCATCTCTCAACAACTCGCCCTCTATCACTCAGTCTAACTCAACCTCCAACCAGGTGACCGCATCGTCGTCGTCGTCCAGGAACAGCGCGGCTCCTCCTCCTCCGGCATGGCAGGCATCTCCGCCGCCGCAAAGGTCAAGCGCGGCGACATCCGCCACGCCGTCGTCGTCCGAACCCGCTATCCGACCCAGCGCCGCGACGGCACCGTCGTGCGCTTCGACGATAACGCCTGCGTCCTGCTCAACAAGTCGGGCGACCCCGTCGGCACTCGAATCAACGGCGTCGTGGGCGCAGAGCTGAAGAGGAAGAAGTGGAGCAAGATTCTGTCCATGGCCCCGATGCAGGCATAAGAGGAGGATGGGCGTGGGCGCTGGGGGGAGATGTGCTGGAGCATAAGGATAAAAAAAAAAGGATACCAAAAATATGGGAGGGTGATGCTGTCGTCTCGATATATGACTAGAGACCATGTACGATTACGAAATACTCTCTGATGGCATTTGCACGGCGTTACGAGATTAGATGTAAAAAAGAAAATATGTTTTGAATTGAATAAATCGAAGAAGCCGGTCTAAAAGCTCGACACTACGTACTGTATTTCATCTTGTCGGAAAGATCTTTGGATCATCACAGGCATCACAGGCAAGGCAAAAGTTTTCTCAAGAGAAAAACCAAAATATTTAATTCCCAAGGTGTGACAATGCAACACCAGCCTAGCAATAATAGCAAATCGCTTCTATATATGTATATGATCCTCCAAACGCCGCGTCACCTGTATATCCAGTTCGGCGTTATAAAGCAATCCTAATAACTCGTGAAGATGAAATTCCACGGCATTTTGTTTTCTTTCCATTCCCATCCGCGACGCCAGCCCTGAGAGTACACATGAACTAAAATAGAAAGGAAATAGAACAAGAGACAACATCTCTAAAACAGGTCTAATTAATTTTCCCTTTCAAAAGACCTCGAATGAATCGGGGGTATCGCCAATCGTGAACGCATTTAATCGAAAATATGACCGCACTCGCAACAGACGTAAAACAGTTTCTGAGTTGCCGCCAACCAGGTTAACTTTGGGTCCAATGGAAGGGGAGAAGCGGGAAAGTAACAAGAGAAGCTCCCTTGTCATTGCGGGGTCAAAAGGAAGAGGTGCTCGCTCACCATGCCAGTATCAGCACTACGCTCCTGAGACTGAAAGAAGACAGCTTCTTGATGGCTGCATCTCGGGCAGGCCTTGTTGGAACGCGGGAGCTGTAGTTGCAGGAAGACAGAGAAGCAGAGTCAGCCAGCTGGTATAATCAGATGAAGAATAAAAAACAGAACAACTGAAATCCACTGGAAGGCCCTGCCCATCCACCGCAGCTCAGCTTGCCATTAGTACAGACACCCAGGACGACAAAACGCGAGACAAAAAGTCGTCAGAGCCATAAGAATGAAGATGCTTCTGATCATCCTTGTCGAGAACAAGAAGAGGAAGAAAGGGTTCTCGCTCAAAAGGTGGATGCCCAAAAGTACATGTGCGTAGAAATCGTAAGGGATAGGGTGTGTTTAAAGGTCGACAGCCATGGCATCATTGTGAAAGTAGTAGTCGTTATCATCCGAATGAGCCGCAGCAAAGTCGCTCATGTCGCTGCTGCCGGTGGATTCGACGTCTTCCATCAACTCCTCGTCGTATTCATCAAAGGGGTCGGCGGGCAAGGGGAGGCTGAAGTGGCCATTGCCTAGGTCCTCAAACTCGTCCTCGTAGGCATGGCCGGGGTGTCGGGTAACGCTGAGCTCGGTGCTGGGCTCTCGGCAGGTATCGCAGTAAACAACGACGCCGCAGCCAAGGCAGAGGACAGGCACAAAATCACTAGCAGTAGTACTAACCGTGGGATCAGAAGCAACGTCCTGAGTCACACCGGCCGTCTCGCCGGACGAGTTGTTGAGCACGTTGCGGAAGACGCAGGTCGACTGGGCATCTTCGGTGTACTGGCAGGTTCGGCAGGTGAACTGCAGCTTGTGGGCGTCTTCGTCTTCCTTGGGGTACAGCATGTTGGAGCACTCGGAGCAGAAGCGAAATGTGATTTGCTCGAGCTTCTTGGGGCCGGAGGCCTCGAAGGAGGCGGTGGACTGAGGAGTGGCCATTTGTGCGAGTGAGTTGAGAAGGAGAAGAGAGAAGATGATGAGGTGGAAAGAGTAGAGAAAGGAGAGGAGACAAGGTGCGCGTCGTTGGTGGCGATAAATTGCTGGTCGATGCGCAGCAGCCTTGCCGTTGTCGAAAGGATTGAAGAGATGAGGAAGTGGAATAGGTAAGCCGAGATTGGCGGCTGTGGTCCAGGCAGATAATTTCCAGCGGCAGTGGGTACGTATCCTTGGTAGCGCGGGAGCTAGGCGCTAGTAGTGACAGTGGACTTGCTGGGAAACTCCCGAAGCTTTAGCGAGTCCGCTGCGCTGCGCTGTACTGCGCTGCGCTGTGTTGGCTGGTGCTTGGAGGTCGGTGGGCTGGGTAAATTGGCCGGTAGACAGAGCCCAATGTGAGGAAGGCGGGTTTTGACTCTTTTTTGCCTTTTTGGAATCTAGGCACTGAGGGAAAAGTTTGCGTGGTCGCAATATCCGAGGTCGTGAATGGAGGAAAGAAGAAGAAGAAGAAGCTGAGCAAAAATGCTGAGCGTAGCTGTTGCGTAGTAGCAGATGCTCGGCCTGAGGATAGTTGCGTATCTTGTGTCTTTTCGTTGTTTAGAGCTGATCTGGTGAGGAACCAGGCGTCAGAGAGTAGAGTGCTTGAGTGTCGAGTATTTCCTGTCTTGTTTTGCTTTGATGTGTTGTTGTTGCTAAAGAAGTGCAGGAGAGGTGTGCAGTTGATGGGTGCATGTTCTGGGGGCGGGCAGAGTATTAAGACGGACGAACAAGGTTCACCCTCTGATGGCCTGATGGCGGTACCGAGCTCCGGTGCGCCGTATCAGAGGTACCGACGCCCTGCGTACTCTGTACCCCATGCAGAGCCGAGTCTGCGTGCCAGCATCGGCCAAAGTGGCGGGCATCCAAAGTCAAGTGAGAAGCGCCGTTGTAACGCAGCATAGGTAGGCGCACGTAGCCTGATGTAGGTGCATTTCCGCCGTGACCAGCTGCCACACACACTGCGAGCGCTAGTTGCGTGTACCTTGCAGTGCAGGCAGCCACACAGACACAGCCCAAATACTTGATGGTATGTGGCTTTATCACGATGAGTCAGGTTGGAGGCTTATAGTATGAAAGCATATCTCTCTATTGATCAAATAGAAGAAGAAAGACTGTGCACTTTGCTTCTTTCTTTCTTGCAACAGATACATGCGGCCTCGGCGTCCGTCGGCATGGGGACGGCGATGCGTGCCAAACATACACGAGTGAAGCTCTTTCTTGCTGCACGTGGACGTATAAGAGAAGACTCGGGATAATGATGGACTGCCAGCCCCACAGCATTGCGAGCTTGGCCAGGACTCTTCCGCAGTAGCAGGTGTATAGGTACTTTCCTACAGCAAAGATTACCCTCATATGTCTAATTTAGTCTTGAGTGCATAGCAGCCATGACTCGCTTCGAGCTTTTGGCCTGGGGCTGTCACACGCATATATGCAGACTCTAGAACGAATGCGCCGCCGCTTGAGCTTGGCGTGGCTGTACCACTGGCCTCGACATGCGAAACCGAGTTTGATATTGAATTTATAACTCTAATACTACTAATCCAACGCTGTTTTTTGGAATCTCAGATCTCAGTAGCTAAGAACTCTTCACTTGGTTTCCGGAATCAAGATGGCGAATACGACCTGCCTTACCCGGGATACACGCGATTCGCTCGACTTCCGGCGTTGTTAATCACACCACCGCCGGGAGTCTTGCAGCATACCCGCTGCTTCTATTCATTCAAGAAGCGCGGAACAAGGTTTGATTTCCACTTCTTTACATGCATTTGCTATAGACTGTATAGTAAGATATCAATAGTTTAACTGCCCTGGGTACAGCGTAGCATTGTATGCCGAAATGATGATTCAGGTTACAGGCTGTGCTATTCCGTACATACCGTGCATGTATATAATCCTGCCAATGCAGCATCTTACAGCAGGCTTTGTCTTGGCGTGAGCAGGCCGGGCTTCTTCAGACACAGCTCGCGTTTCTACGCAGATGTCCATCCATACAATCCAGACCCGCTACGAGATACTCCTTCGGTACTTGTTTCCGTCAAGCCGGGTCAAGCCCTACTGATCTCTGGTTACTGGCATATTGAGTTGCATTATCAACTCAATAAATGATTGCGTGTAGGAGAATTCGAAACCGTATATCAAAGTAGCTGCTTAGACGGGCATGACGCTGGTCAGTGGTAGGATTGGCCGGGTCCCCAGTCGCATGTCATCAGTCAGCATTAACGCTGCAGATGTCAGAATCCTAAAGCGAGAGTCTCGGGGTGGCGGCTAGGCCCGTCCGCTGGCCTCAACGTGGTGGCATTGCGCCTTTCTGCTTTGTCTATAGCACGGCGGCTACAGCCATGTCTCGGTCTGCATTGAGTGTTGAGTGCTGTCTCGACCTTGCATCAAGTGGTAGTCGACCTACTGGATAGAGGTCCTAGTAGAGGAGCATTAACACTGACTGACATGCTGCATCTTCCATCACCTTGATAGACATTGATTATAGCGACTGCAAAGCGGCTATGGATGACATAAAACGGCCGGGGTTGCCCCAATCTGGACACTTGCAGATGGTCTCGTTGGTGCGGCGACGGCAGTTTGCGATTAGCGGTGCGAGAAGCTTTTAGAAAACGGCTTCTTCAGCGCTTCATCTATGATCTGGCTCGAGCTACAAAGAGGCATTGATTGACTGAGCAATCCAACTGCGCGCATTCTCTGTCGCCCCTGGTGATCAGCTTCTCCTGCGCAAGCCTCGATCGTCGCTCCCATCGTGACCCCTCCCAGCCTTTTTAGGCCCTCTGAGGCGCATCCCGTGATCATCCTCACCTTGAGCCGGAATGACTCGCTCACTTTTCCTCTCGCTGAGTGACTGAGTGACCGGACTGAGCAGGAGCTCCTAGAAGTCTCGCCCGTCTCTCGCCTCCTTTGCCACCTCAATCCACTGCATATGCTGTTTAGCTGTGACTGAAGCACGCACGTAGTGAGGTAAAATCGCCCGTGTTATACAGGTACTTGTAATACCGGCCTGAGACGTGCTGTCCGCGCCGCCCATCAACACACGCCGCCCTGGGCACAGTTTCAGCAAAGTCGTACCGCTAAAACGTCAGTGCCCCTCCCCCTAACGCCTCCAGAGCTCTAGGGCCAATCGAGTGCTAGAACCAGAGCCCCGCGGCCGTGGGTCTCCCCCAAACTGGCCTGGCAAGGCTCAATTTCAGAGCCAAGGTTGCGCTGTATTCAATCCCAGAGCCTGCCATGGAACGTCATCAGGGCCACACTAGGCCATTCCCATCCCGCCCTTTCGTTTCTTGGATTCGGTGATAATTGCTTGTAATCAAGTCAGAACAAATCAAATCAAATCGAGTCGAATCAAAGCCATCCATCCATCTGCACCAAATCAACACCACCACCCATTCACTCACTGCCCAGCTGTATTTGTACCGCACGCTTCCCTCCGTTTCCAGAGCTACCTTACCTTAGTACTTATATAACGACTCCAATCCGTTTAGCCTCTTCCCCCGCAGAAGCGAAAGCGCAAGCTTGCATCATAATATCCATCCCCATTGGCTCCACGCGAGTTGCAAAAGCTCCATCCGTCAAAAGCTGTTTGCTCCCTTACCAAAACTCCACTTGCAAGAGACTCTCTCCCACCTTGCCTGCATTGATTGCGACGACAGAGCATCTCTTGAATCCAAGTAAAGTTGAGCCGAGCTCAAACAGATCCAATCACAATGGTACGTATGCCCAAGTAGAGAAAGGGCGTTGCTCATTACTACCCGACTCTATTACTCGTCAACCCGCGACTGGGACAAGCCATATGCTGACCCAAACACCATTGTCTCGGCACAGTCTGAAACCGGTCTCCCTCCAAACTGGGAGGTTCGACACTCCAACTCCAAGAACCTGCCCTACTACTTCAACTCGGCCGAGCGAACCTCACGATGGGAGCCCCCCGCGGGCACCGACAGCGAGAAGCTTAAGCACTACATGGCTGCCCACCACAGCGCCGGTTCGCGGCCCGGAGCCGTGCCAGGCGTCCCCGAAGGCAAGATTCGAGCTGCCCACCTGCTAGTCAAGCACCGAGACAGTCGACGGCCGAGCAGCTGGCGCGAGGTACGATATGATATATAGCAAGCAATACAGCTAGCATCGAGTTTTTGTTTCTATGGAACAGGAGCTGACAATAACACTTCTTTTCCCTTAAAACAGGCCGAAATCACACGATCCAAAGAAGAGGCCATGGAAATCATCAAGGCCCACGAGCAGACCATCCGATCTGGCGCCTCCACGCTTGGCGACCTTGCGCCCACCGAGTCCGACTGCTCGTCTGCCCGCAAGCGAGGCGATCTGGGCTATTTCGGCCGCGGCGAGATGCAAAAGGAGTTTGAGGACGTTGCCTTTACGCTCAAGGTGGGAGAGCTGAGCGATGTTGTGTCGACGGCGAGCGGGCTGCACTTGATTGAGAGGTATGTGTTACACGCTAGAAAAGCTGGTATAATACAACATGAACCTATATTTGCTGACATTATTGATACTAGGCTGGAATAAGTTGTTGCTTCAAAGCACTTGTTGCACCAACGAGGAATGTAGTATACCAAATAAGCAAAAAAAAAAAGTAACGGAGAGGAGAAAGATAGGAAGTAGGTGGAATGATATGAATGAAACGCATGGATACTCTCGAATATCAATTTCCTAAAACCAACGCAAAAAAAAAAAGAAAAAAAAAAGAAGAATCAACGCTGAATAGTAAGGACACAATTTTCTGTAGGCGGCGCTGGATAAGTAGCGAAAAGACATGTACCATCGCTGGTAGAAGCTAAAACGTCGTCTTGTCTTCGTTTCATACGAACTTTCTCTTTACGCTATACTTGCTCTATCAAAGTTTCTTGTTTAGCTTGGAGTAAGTTCTTGAGTGAAAAAAAGCTGAATATGATTTCAATATGATTCTTTTCTTCTTCATATTCACAATAAAGTTTGCTTCATACTCTCCCCATCCCCTAATCTACAAATGTGGTATTTTGTGAGAGTTGATACAAAATATTGGCCGCTCAAGAAGGCGTCATTCATGACACATGTCGAACGTAAATAAATATGCAATACAAGCAAGATTTCCCGCTCTTCTCCTTCACATGTCATCCTTTTTATAGTTTTCTTCATATCCCTTGCCGCGCTTGATTCTTCGGTTTCATGTTGTTCTTTGAAATGGTATCCAGAAACAAAAGTCTTTTTTTCTCTCATAAAAGCGAGGTTGCATCGTTAATCTAGGTAGTATAAAACCAAAAAGAGTATTGTCGTCATCGTCAATCGTCATCATCGGCTTGCCAAGCCAACAAATATGCTTTTAAACGGCTCTACCGTCGTAAAAACCACCGTCATCACGCCAAAGACCGTCATCGAGAGGGCTGCGTATGGCGCGGCGCGGCTTCGTGTTTCGTAGAGGTAGGACACGCCCATTGCGGCGCCGTTGATGCCGATGGCTATGCCTGCGGCGACGGTGACGGGGCTGTCTGTTGTGGAGGTGGTTTGGTGCCATGATTTGGGGAAGAAGGGTATTGTGTTACTGGAATTGACGCTTAAAGAAGTAATCGTGTTGTTAGAGTTGACTCTCAGAGAAGTGAGATGGCTATTCAGGGGCGATTGTGTGGGTAGCGACTCGGCCGTGATTATTGTTTCATGAGCTGTTGGAACTGTCGCCATCTCGTCGTCTTCATGTCTGCTCACACCCAGTTTGTCCAAGATGAATGGGTACAGAAGCTGTCCTAGTATGCCATTGCTCACAACGAGCATTGCGTTGACGGGGCTGTTTCCACCAATCGCCTCCGTGGCAGGCTTAGCGAGAGCAAGTGTTGTGCTTCTGGCCGCGAAGCTGAGCGCCTCAGACGCATTGAGGCCTATGACTCGACTGGCGAGAACAGAGAGGAAGACGTTGCCTGCTGCGGCCGCGGCACATAGTATGATGGAAAGAAGGCCGGCAATGCTAAAGATTTGGTGGCGACATTCAGAGAGCTTGAAGCCCCATATGAGAATGCCGCATTCGAGTATCGAGAGCGCAGCATCACCAGCGCCGAACCAGCCAGTTGGGTTGTTTGGTATCCGCACGCCACTGATGGCAGATGTCCAGATGGCATACAGTGGTGTGCCCCCACTGAATGTCCTCAATGTCCTGGTAAGGCCGCCGGGTCCTAGAACGGAAGACTTGGCCCTGGTGTATCCCGTCATGAGCAGCGTGGTTATCAAGACGGGATTCATCATTGTTGCGAGCCCCCTTTTCAATGGCATAGAGTAATTGCATAGCTGGGAGTGCTTGAAAGCGCGCTGGGATCGAACAGAGGATATCCAGACGAACCAGAGGACAAAGCCGTCCAGGAGACGCTCCTCGTTTGCGGCAACAGCAAGAGGTAAGCCGACGGTGAAGATGAGGATGAGCGACAGCAGAATCGGGTAGTGTCGTGAAAGAAAGCTCCAGGTGGAGGATTCGTCATTGTAAGATGGCGCAGTTTGCTCATTTGGACTTGTTTGTCTCTCGGAATCTGGAATCCGCGGGCACGAGGCCCTGCTTTGTGCTTGTGTAGCTGGTAGGGGTGCAGTATCTTCTTCAAAGTCGGCCGAGCTGATCTCTTCGTCAAATGACGACGACGGCGCAATGCTTTTTTCGGAGCTGATTGAGCCTTTTCTTGAAGATTCCTGCGGTATTAGCTTTGCGATTCCGCTGATGGCCGCCACAGAGAGGAAGAAGACGGCGACCCAGGACACGATATTGGTCGCAACTGGAAAGCCAAGAGGTAAGTCAAACTGTTAGCAGCATCAGAAGTCAGTCATCTTTACTTACTGAACGAGCCAATTACCCGCCCAATCTCGCCGCCATTGAGCATCTCATCTTGGTCCAGCATGATCATCGGCACAGAGAATCCCGCTCCCAGGTGGGCATTGATAAAGTCAACCTAAAGAAACAATCCCGTGAATCAGTAACAGCAAGCAAACAACAATCAGGGGAGTACTAAGCCGTCACGAACTCTCTTCTTGAGCCACCTCCGATAGAAGTCGTCGCTCCTCTTCCACATGGCCCAACTCGCCGTGCTCACAGCAAAAATCAGAACCAAGCCGACAATAGTCGAGAAGAACTCCAAGCCCGCCGAGCCCAAGGTCCGGCTCAGGCCCCAGATGAGCAGCTCGCTCGCTAAGCAAATCGTCGCAACCAGCAAATATCCAGCTCCTTCAGCAATGGCATTGTTCCAGCGAAGCCGCCAGATGCCTGGTCCGGCCATGTCGTGGGAGATTCTCGCCGCGGAGAACAAAAGAATGGAGGGCAGGATTGCGGCACCTTGATGGGAAAAGCAAAAGTTTCTTGTATGATAACTTCGGAGAGATTTTTTCTTGTGGTTTTGTCTCGCTTTGGTCGATTTTCTCCGGCCAGCTGTCAGGTTGGTGTGGTTTCTCTCTCAGACAGCTGATGGCAGGCGGTCAAGACGGCAGAGCTACTTCCGAGTTGTCTCTCCTTGACATGCGAGGACCAGCTGAAATACTCGCCATTGTGCGACAGCCATGGCAGGGCAACAGGGCAGTGGATGTGAATGTAGGTCGTCTGGGCGTGACGAAGGATCCCTGGCCGCTGCGAATCTTGGGCTACGTATCTGGTGCATCACGCTGGTCACAGCATCATAACTGGCCTTGGACCGACTACATGTACGCATGCATAGGTATGTACGAATTGCTGCACAGTTAGCTGGCCATCTGAAGGCAACGTGGAGTCACAGAGCCGGCAGATGCTGGATCATCAACCTCACTTCCGGCCAGTCATCCCATTTCTCATCTACAGGTATCTAGCATCGGTGGCAAGCCGCAAGCCTTACCCCGTTGAGGACCGCTGGGCTGTGTCTAAGTGGCAGGACTTGCCGGCCTTTGCAGCTCGGTGGACGAGACGACGGGCTTCCATGTAGACGGCCGAAGTTTGAGACATGTGTCCTACATCCGGAAGTCGTGATCCACCTCGGACGCATACCGGGCTGGAACCGCCGAGTTCGACAGGCTGTCGTCTCTACTGCCTTTCAAGCTTTTATTTTGACTTGCGGCTGAAAGATGCAAAAGTCCTTTACTGCCAGAAAACGGCCTGGGCGGTTGTTCAGCTTGCAGCCATGAGCATGGAACACCACCAAAACAGAACTGCAAGATATCTCCGGGTGGCCACTCCATCGTCAAGGCGGCACCGCTCCCGCCGAGAGTAGTAGTGGCACATGGTGCGAGTCACAGATACTGGATATAGCATCATGATCTGCAAATTGCTTAGATACGAGTCCGAGGAAATCCAAGAATGAATGCCGCTCGGTACGATCCGCTGCCCACGGATCCTGTTCGTGCTTGAGCTGACCAAGATAACACCCGGAAAGCAGAAGCAGAGGCTTCAGCTTCTCTTCATTTTTGGTTGTCGACACAAACGGAATTCAGATGACACAGAGTGGGGATCGAAGCTTTTCGGGTCACGGCATTGGTGCTGCGAGACGTCGGACGAAATCGATACATGCACGCAGGGCTAATAGAAGAGACGAGCTGGAACCTGGCACTGAACAAACGGCGAGTCGATTCCTCTGTTCTGCGCCCGGTAGCGGTTGCGCTCGGGACGCCACGGAGGAGTGCATTGCTTTGCTGTGTGTCCGGTTGGAGGCACAAAAAAGAAGCAGCTGGAAGGGTGAAGTTCAAAACCATCGGATTCGGGTTACTGTGTGTATAGACCGTTCAAGTCGCTGATACGCTGATGCGGCTGGACACGTCGACAGCACCACCACCTGTCAGGCGGCAGTGGCGCACCCAGCGTGCAGCTGAAGCTGTGGCTACAGGGGCCGTGGCATCATGGCTTTACAGGGGGCCTCAGGCGCTTGGGGCCCAATCACGAACCCCTGGAACGATATATCCCGAATTGAGACCCGAAACACCGCATGTAGTACAAAACACTACACCTTGAGTTGCAGACGCCATCGAGACGCTGAGCCATCGCAACTATTGCACAGCGCACGCAGCTGTCGAAACAAGAGCGTGTGATTTGGTTGTTGATACGCGAATACGAATTGATCTGCCTCTTGCAACTTTCAAGTGGGCGTTTGGACGACCTCAGCTGCGAGCTGCGAAAAGAGGACTGCTTTGCGCGAAGCATCAAATCCTCTGCGAGACCTATTTCGAGGTTCAGCAACAACGGGAATAGAAGCCTGTGGATCATTAAATCGACACAATTCACGGATAAGGCAGTATCGAGAAGCCTTCGACGCAACAGACGCCCTGCTCGTGCTCGTTGTCTTGTGCTCCCCGTTCTCCTCTGCCCCTCACCACGCAGCTCCTTGTACGACAAACTCTCCCCAAGACGGGTCTTCTGGAAGCGCCATCTCGCTCAATCACAGGCTCAAAATGGATCTGGAGACCAGGGTGCAGGCTGAGGCCCTGCTGCTGAAGGCTGCCCGCACGCATGGCGTCCAGGTACGGCGGGATGAGGTGCAACAGCATCTCAGGCACGACCACTACGGCGCCGCATTGGCTGAATGGGCGAGTTTGCATCTCACGACCGATAATCTCCTGTCACCTGATGAGTTGGCAATGTACGTATGGAGACACAGCTTCTATGAGGAGAGGAGGCAAGAATGCCGCTGACATAGCGACCCATGATGCAGATACTCTGCCCTGGACAGGAACGGCCAAGTTGATATCCTGGCCAACCTTCACGACCTCTCCGAGGTACAAGGTGTCACCGAGGATGACATCAAGGTCGCCATTGACGAACTCAGGAGATCAACGGAGAACATAACCAAGCAGAGCGAAACCTTGCGTCAGCAGCAGGATGCTCTATCGCGCCTTGTGAGAAAGCGAGCCGAGAATGATGCTCGAAGGCGAGATCTTGACCTTGATAGGCAAAGTAAAGCTGAATCGGAACGGCAACGAGCTGCTGCAGAGGTAACATTGCAACGCAAAAAGATGATAGACAGGCTTCCTACTGACGGCCATGTCCTTATTAGGTAGAGGCGGCTTCTCAAAGTCTTGCCTTTCGCATTTCTGATCTCGAGGAGCAAGGCACGCAGGCTGGATCCAACCTCAAGGGTACTCTGGGCGATATATTTCGTGCCGATGATAAGCTGCTGGCCAATCTACAGAAGCTGGGCTGGGAACTGGAGCAGCCAGATCCAGATGAAACGCTCAAGATTGACAAGCTGCGTGAGACATGCTCGCGGTTAGCCGCCCATACAACACCCGTCACGTCACACGAGGAGAATTGTTTGCTAACTGCTAGTTACCTACCAGACTGGTGAAGATTACGGTTGAAACCGTTCGGGCCAAGCTAGATACCACCTACATGGACACTCTTGTGGAAGCCGAGCGCTCAGGGCGCGTGCAGCCTTCGACGCATGACGAAGTCCAGGCTCTCGAGGCAGAGGTTGATTCTCTGCACTCGGAAATACTCTCCGTTGCTCAGATGTCTGTGGAACAGCAGTACCTTGAGCAGGCTCTCCAAACGGTCTCGACAGAAGGCGGCCAAAGTGCGATGCGCACATCCAAGGCCCTGGAATATGTGAGCGTCCATAAATGATTTCTGTCAATGTTCATGTTTACTAATATAAACTCGGCAGATTAACAAATGCCTTGATCACTTGGTTGGCCGCCTTGACCAGATCCAAGGTCGCATCGAGACTCACTTGTCGCACCAGGCGGCCGCCGCGTCACTCATCTCCACCGCCAAGATGGAGATGGCCGTCGAGATCTTGCCGCCTGTGAAGCAGTCGTCATCATCTGCCCCAGCCTCGATATTCCCCACATCTCCGAGCAAGAGCAGTAATCCTCCTTCACGGAAGCGCTCCAACACCGTTGGCTCTCACCACAGCCGCCGTAGGTCGTTCGGTGTCGCGGACGAGCCCCCACTCGACACACTCATGTACACCCTGTCAGTCCCCTCGTCCGTGTCTGAAGAAACCGACGGTAGGGCACAGATCGTGGCTTTGTCAAAGATTCTCGAGGAGCGATTGAAGAAGACGGATGAGATTGCTCGGAACGCGCAGGAGACGTTTGAAGTGGGCGCGCTGGCGCAGCTGAACGACACTCGGCTTGCTATCCAGCTTGTGCGGGACAGCGTGTTGGCTGAGAGTCCGTTTAATGAGCCGAGACTGGTTGATCCGGAGATTGGGGGCTCCATTACGCTCTTGGCGGCTGATGTGGAGGGTGCAAAGGATAGGCTGGCAGTTGTCGAGGGTCAAAGGAGAGACCGGAAGAGCGAGAAGAGGGACGAGTTTGTTGAAAGATGGAAATAAGCTGTGGGAAAAACCCTCCGATGTCATTCCATTTGCGGATGCCCATGCTGCATTTCAAGGGGCTATGCCTGGTATTAGAATCTACACACTGTCTTCTAATCGACGCGAAGGGCAAGAAACTTGTTCCCAAAGCTGTATCTTAAAAAGTCCGGGACGAATCGCTATTTTCTCTTACCATCACCAGCCACTGTACTGTCTGACCGAGTGAAATAGATGACTACCATACAAAAATCCACCCATATGTCAGTTACTATATTTGTGAGTAGAGTCGTAATCATCTGTCAATGGAGATGGAGTCCATGCCCCTCCGGGTAGATCCGACGTAACCCGGGCATGCATTTCTCACAATGATTGATAGATGACAGGCCGCGTACTCCGTACAAGGACCTCTATTAGGGACCTTGTTGACGAACAATGCGTACATGCTGGCCAATCAACACAACGCTGGATATGGACGTTTCCCAGAGCCGGGGATTTGATAGGCGAATTAGCCGCGCAAGACCCTGTATCAGAACAAAGCACGCGGTTCTCGCATCTTCCATCCCCCCATTCAACCATTCCCTGGCTAATAGTACATCTCATCGTACAGTATAGGTATAGCAAATGCAATGTGATATAAGCTGCATTCGCATCCACTGCAGAGCACTGTTTTCACTCAGTGACTCCGCTTCGCGATGCATGCAGTCAGCTTCCTTCACGTATGACCGCCCCCGCTTCTCACTATGTAAGTTTGCTGCATACTTGATACAATATGCACTATGGCGATGAATGTGCCTCATAGTAAAGTAGGTGGTTTCTTTACCATGATCGCGGAAGTGCTTCCTAGTTGCCGGTGTCAAAGTAGGTATGGAGGGCACGTTTTAATTCTGCTGCCTTCTGGGGGACCTGCAGTAGGATGTAAAGTAATCGTAGATTTGGAAAGCCACATGTAATATTGACCTATAATATGCCTACCGTGTACTCAATTTCCACTCCATATCAACAACATCTACATCATATCTAATAGATTTAATATCAACAACATCTGCACTATATTTGATAGAAGAAAACAGAAAAAAGGAATAAAACACAATGCTCTCCGCCGGCATCCTCGAATCCCGCCTCAACGCCCTCTACAACCAACTCGAAGCCCTCCGCCCCGACTCCTCAGACGCCGAACTCCTCTCCTTCGCCTCCTTCTTCGCCAAAGACTGCGTCGTCAACTTTGAAAGCATGCGAGAGGCCAACGAGCCGACCCGCGGCAGAGACGGCGTCGTCGCAAAACTGCGCGATGTCATGAAGCACGTGTACCTCGAGCAGCGGACCGTTGTCAGCCAGGCGATTAGCGAAGCCGATATGCGCGTGTTCAGCGAGATGAAGAATCGATATAATGTGCATTCGGAGGTGCTGGAGGACTTTCCCGAGACGCTTGTTGCGACGTTTGACGATGAGGGGCTGATAACGAATTTCTCGCTGTACTGTTGTAAAAGTAATGTCTTGATTATGATCCAAAAGGCCACTGGAAACGGTCCCTTTTCAGCGCAAGAGATGACAAAGTGAGTACATATAGCAATCATGTCACTTGTAATATTGAAAGTATGTACTAATTATTAGATGGTAGATATCCGCCTCGTCGTTGTCCATAAGCGGCGGAGCCTAGAAGCCGATTTCTAAACAGTCAATTACACTGCATTGCACACGCATGAGTATAAACAAATCTTAGTTGGAAGTGATGATTGATATCTATTAAAGTCTAGCCATGTAGAGTATGAATTAGGTACCTAGATAACGACCACCGAATTAAGTGAGACCCGGAATCAAAGTCATCCTTGTCTCTACACCTCAGTCCCCAGTACTGAACCACCGGTTTTTTCTATATCATCCATTTAAGCCTTGAATCGTCGGGCAATGCGAGAGAACTCGAAGCTTCGCTTGGTAGCAGCAGAGAAGCCGCAGCCAGTCTTGCCGTTCTGGAACTGGGCACCAACACCGGAGCAAGTGGCACCGCCGTTCTGGCCAGCACAGCAGCCAGAAGCACAGTCGGCATCGCTGAGGCAGGCACCAGTAATGAACTGCTGACCCTTGCCGTTGCCGAGGTTCTTGGCACCAGCTGGGTCGCCAACAGCAGTGTTGAAGCCAGCGGGAGCAGCAACAGCGCTGTTAGTAGAGCCGGAGCTGGAGCCGCTGCTGGAGCTGGGCGCAGGAGCAGGGGCAGAAGAAGAAGAGCCGCCGTTGGCATTGAAGCCACAGCCAGTCTTGCCGTTCTGGAACTGGGCGCCAACACCAGAGCATGTAGCGCCACCGTTCTGGCCGGCACAGCAGCCGGAAGCACAGTCAGCATCGCTCAGGCAGGCACCGGTAATGAACTGCTGGCCCTGGCCGTTACCGAGATTCTTGGCACCGGAAGGATCGCCAACAGCAGTGTTGAAGCCAGCGGGAACGTTGGCAGAAGTGCCAGTGTTGGATGTAGAGCCGGAGCTGGAGCCGGAGTTGGAGCTGCCGGCAGCAGCACTGGGCTGAGGAGGAGCACCACCGTCACCAAAACCACAACCTGATTTCCCAGCCTGGAACTGAGCACCGAGACCCTGGAAGAAGTCGAGTGTTAGTGGAAAGGCTGGAGATTGGAAACTGTTGAAGGGACAGCAGTAGACTTACAGAGCAAACACCACCACCGCTTATGAAAGCGCAGCAAGTCGAAGCGCAGTCCTTGCTGGACAAGCACTGGCCGCCAATGAACTGACCACCCGCGCCATTTCCAACGTTCTTGGCACCAGCAGGGTCACCAAGGGCGTAGACAGAAAGGGCGACTAAAAGATGATATTAAAAAACAAGCTCATCTGGGTCCATGGGGGTTGTCGACTTACAAGTAAGAGCTGAAGCAACTGACAAGCGAACCATTTTTGCGGTATTGTGTGTTGTGTTTGTAAAAAGATAGTGGTGAAAAGCTCCAAAAGAGAGAGAGTTGTAGTTGTTTTCGTGTTTTTGAAAAAGGATTAAAAAGACGAAGCAAGCGACACCAGGTCGAAATTGAACTCTGAAAGAAAGGAAGGTTGGGAAAAAGAGGCACCTGGCCTGAAGGAGTGAAGGAAGTTGAGGTGTTGGTGACTGGGAAGTCGTGATGGTGATGGAGAGAAAGAAGAAGCGAAACTCCTGGTCCCGGACTCGCGCTTCTTCTTATACTCGATTGACGAAAGCATGAAAAAGCCCCATCTTGCCTATTTCTCTTCTTTCCTTCTTTGCTTCTCTTGTTTCCTGGCGCTAAAACTTTGACCTGGGCGTCTCAACTCCCTGCTGTTTTCGCGCGACCAGCCGAGAGCCGAATCAGATGCCACGGACAGACTCATAGCAAGGGGGCCCGAGTCCCCCGAAACCAGGGCGACGTTTGACATCTCTCATCTTTGCTCGTCTATGCGCCTTGGACGAGGGTGCGACTGGCCTTTGCTGGGGGGGAGAAGAAGCCGCCTTGACTGTGTTGTTGCGCATGCTAAGCAGTAGTACCAGTAGTTGTGGAGAGAGGCCAGGGGAAGAGAGTTTCGGGAGGCGTTTTCTGCGACAAAGCCGGGGTCGAGTTCATGCGCCGACGGTTTTGTGGCGATCGGGCCGCTGGGCGGTTTCTGGATTAGCGGTTCTCTAATTCTGATATTAGCATCGGTATAGAGGAGTGACCATGCTTGTTTTCTGATCATTTGGCGAGGTTGCGAGGTGCATGTAGATACACGATGGAAACAAATTTCAAAATAGGCTGCAGTTGTTTCAATATGTGGGTGAGATCTGGTAGATGAAAAGGTTTCGTTTTTTTATTTTAAAGCCCTTGTTTTGCGAGGCTGATGGTGATCGTGCACTTGGACGCAGATTTTGTTTTGTGATACATGATGGATGCTCATTACAACACCAAATTGCTAATTTGGCACGTGTCAATGCGCCAACGCGGAGATGCAATGAGGCGCAAGCTGCGGATTCGGGACAACTTCATTGGTAGTGGTATTAATCTTGGAATAATGCTGGTGTTATGAATCGCTCCATCGAATAGCAAGCAACAATTTCCAACTTTGAATCCAGTCCAATCCAGTCCAATCCTCCATCATCGAGCGCTGCCGCCGTCGTGATTCTGTAAAAGTTGCCGCCTGCTTCAAACATCAAAACTGAGCATCTCGTCCAATCTGCCCCCGTCGACACGGACGCATCAATTGCGCGCGCATCTTTTGAGACGCTCGACAAGTTTCATGTTTGAAGCGCCCCTGTTTGAGGATTTCGCTGAGCCCCGGTTTCTGCTAGCACCACACTACTGTACTACTAGCGGAATACGGGCCAAGTATGATCCGGGCCGCGCTGGAACTGGGGTCGAGCTACTAGTACCTACTAAGGTACCTAATTGCATGTGCTTATTTCTCCAAGTATTCCATCCATTGATGACAAAACGAAACTCCGCCAAGGTTATTGCCAGTGCGTGCTTCAGGTCTTAGATCGTAGCTGACACGCAAGGATTACTTACAAACGTCAGCATCTGCATCGACTTTTGGAACACCAGGCAATGGATCGTGATCGTTCCGAGCCTGTGCACGATCCCCGCAAACCGTCCTTCTGCTTTGGGCTGCTTTGCGTTGATTCAAGCTTACATGTAGACTCGGGAGGCTTGGCGCCGATGCTTTGGGCGAGAGGAAACAAGCATTAATCTCGTAACTTTATTTCGGCGCCAGCCTTTCCGGTTACAAGTCAGCTGGAAGATGTCAGCCTTGTTGACTGATTGCCTTTTCTGTGCTTGAGTGTTTTATCACGGGCCAATTGCTGCATATTCTGTTTGTAGAAAGACATTACTACGGTCTCATTCTTCAATCGGCTGCCCTACACAAACAGCCATCGCACTCATTTCTAGTAAATACCAGGCAAAATCCTCCACTTGACTGCCTTTTTATACTTTTCCCAATCCTCTCCATACTTCTCTGCGCACGCCGCATCATCCCTCCCCTCACGATGTATCAGCAGCGAAGCGAAATACAGCACATAGAAATACGTGTAAATCATGCCCCATCCTCTTGCCGCCCCCTGCACCACTTGTCTGCCATCCAGCATCGTGACTACACTTGCTCCCGCCGTAGCAGCAGCCCCAGCGGGCAGAATCATGTATCCTGCTATACCGGTAGGAAGGCTGAATGGCGACGCCTGCAGCCAGTCCCCAAAGTAGTTGATGTGGCGCGACACTCCCCACCATCCATCCGCAAGCAGTCTTGTCCCTCGCTTGGTTTGTATGAAAGACATGTTTCTAACGCTGGGGTGGTCTGGCTGCGTGCGAAAGATGCGTTTCTGCGAGTTGGATGCGCGAAAGATGTATAACCCAACGGCAAAGACGGCTGACACGACGGAGATTCCTGTCCAGCCAAGCTGCAATGGGAAGACAGAGAGGTAGCGGGTTTGCGTAGAGTAAAGAAATGGCACCCAGACAATGTCCCCAAAGGACAGCATGAAGCCTAGACCATCAGTAATTGTATCCATCATGACCAGAATTCCCGATTCGGCATATTGACCCTCAAGTGCGTAGTATCCCTGGACTGAGGCAACGAAGAGAATGCTGTCAGACACGTATCCGTACGTGCGGTACTGCTTCGCAACAAATGCAAGATCAAGCAGAATCCAGCCCGTCAAACCAGGCCGCATCTCCAACCAGACTTTGAGATCAATCTCGCCAAAGAAGGGGAGTGTGACGCGAGGGTTGAGCTCACGGCCGATGAAGAAGTCGTACATTATATTGCCGGTTTGGCCGCCCAGCGCGAGTTCTCTCAATTCGCTGTTGCCTGACTTGACGCTAAAACTTTGCACGTATACGAACATGGAGATTGCGAATGCGAGGATAAGATTGGCTGTGTATATCTGCAGATAGTTTTCGTCGATAAAAGTCCAGAGAGGAAAGTCGGCGCCATATAGAAGTGTTCCTACGGCGCATGCAGCCAGCTGAACAAGACTCGAAGAAAACGCTTCAATGGGTTAGTTTTTCGAGACACATTCATAAATCAATTATATATCATGGTGAGCTTACCATTCAGCTTGTACTTTAGTGGCCGCCCTGATTCCCTCAGCTTCGTGCCATAGACCTCCTGGCCCGGGAGCACTCGGTAAAGCACCAGGCTGAGCAAGTAGTAACTCATCACCCAGCCGCTGACCTTCCAGCTAGCAAAGCCCCAGATTCCATCCTGAGGCCACGGAATTTGATCTTTCAGCTGCTTCAGCGAGAGAGACCGAGGCTCAAGGAGCGCGGGGGCCGGACAGCCAGTGATGTCGTTGCAGGTGAAGTAAAAGAAATAGAGCAGAACGGGGAGGCCAAAGACTAGCGATGCAGTGCCTAACCTATTTCACGAGTTAGATAAAAAGAAACACAGTCTTTTAATATCATCAACCTACGGGCCACCGAATTCATATTTGTGTTTTGTCGCTGCCATTCTTGCCTCTGGGCTGAAAACCAGTGCGGATAAATGGAGTCTGCGCTGCTGCCCTGAATGTTGCCCCAGACCAGATCAGCGTGTCTCTTTCGAGCGTCTTAGTTCTATAACTGCAGCGCTGTACAATATGAATTGAGAATATAGTTTCTTGTTGGCGACTCTTATATATACATGTTTGTTGCGTATTGGCGATTTGATATATACGCTGGCGATTACGAATACGCACGGCAAAGCGCTGCCCCATCTGAGCTGATCCGGATCGATCGCGCCCGGGGACTAATTTGAGTTGCTGGACGAGCTCTCATTGGATCGAATTTCAGATCCACAGTGTCCGCGGCGACCGGGTAATGAATAGCTGAGACTTGACTCAGAGACCGGAAAGAAGACAGTAATGATGGCAGTGCTCGGATCAGCGTGGTGCGTGTTCTGGGCGTGTTCGGAAGTGGACTTTGAACTTCAGACTTCAACTGTTTGTCGTGTGACTGACACAGCCCGTTACTCAACAGCTTCACTGCGCCAAGCAGCAAAAAGAATGGCAGCAATCTTACTACACAGCTGGGCCAAGGCAATGAATGGGTGATTGTAGTCAGTCGCGTCTTCGCAGTGCTACTGCAGATGATGCAAATACATTGTCTGGCACGGGTCAATTGACAGAAATGAATAGAGGCAGATGCTGTTTATTTTTCTACGGACAACACTACATACCTATGAAATCACAACGTCGATTAAGTACCTCTACCTACAAAATGGATACCTAATACCACAATTTGGATGCTCGTTACGCGAGAATTTTGCCAAAAAAAGAGGAAGAGGGGGGAGAAAAGAGAAAAGAGTTCCAAAGAGATTTTGAATAGGAAAAACATAAGGGAAAGACAAGAGAGAGAAGAAGAAATATGAGAAAATAAAAAGCAGGCCGGAGGGTATGAGGGAGGTAGGAGGACAAAGGACAAGGGTGTCGGAGGAGGAAGAAGGAGAAACAAGGGAGAAGGAGAAACAAGGAAGAAGGAGAAACAAGGAAGAAGGAGAAATAAGGAAGAAGGAGAAGAAATAAAGAAGAAGGACAAGAAATAAGGAAGAGGAAGGGGAAGAGGAAGGAGAAGGGGACGGAGGACCATGGTAGGGAAATAGGGCGGTGGATGTGAATGTAAGTGGTTTGGGTAAGGTTGACTGGTCTTCGCTTCACCAAAGCTTTTTGGTTACTGAACTAGAACACCACGAGAAGGTGCCAGTCGTCGTCCTAGGCCAGTAGGACCACTTGGTCCTACTGACACCTCGGCACAAAGTCACTTGACTAAGGCTTCATTGGCAGGGTGAATAAGGATGCTGGGTAAGGATGCTGGGTAAGGATGCTGGATAAGGATGCTGGATAAGGATGCTGGATAAGGATGCTGGATAAGGATGCTGGATAAGGATGCTGGATAAGGATGCTGGATAAGGATGCTGGATAAGGATGCTGGATAAGGATGCTGGATAAAGATGCTGGATAAAGATATTGGATAAGGATGCTGGATAAGGATGCTGGATAAGGATATTGGATAAAGATATTGGATAAGGATGCTGGATGGGGATGGTGGGTAGCATGGAAATTCCGATGAGGTTTTGGGGGACTCGCCCCCAAAAGATCGGAATTTCTTTCCCCCACCATACGTTGGCGGTGATGGTCGTGGTGTCTTGGTGGTGGTGTTGTGTGTGTGAGAGGTGAAGAAGAATCGTTCAACTTCCACGGGGAATCGGGGGGTTTATATAGTCGTGTCCTCACAGCTATTTTCCTTACTGCCGCAGCGTTAAGCAGGCCTCTGCGAGGAAATCGAGTCATTTTGGAGGAGCCGCGTCATTGCCTACGCACTTTATCATGAGCGAGCAGCTTTACCTCGGCGAGAAACTGGATCAATGGCTTGAATTTTGAATAATTGGCGCGGAAGTGGATGATGGGCGAGGAACTTTATCAATCACGAAGCTTGATATTCGGCGAGACTTTATCATTGATGAGGGAATTTCGCATTAGTGAGCAATTGGACTATTGGCGAAGAAGCTTATTGTTGGCGAGGGATATTATCATCGGCGAGACTCTATCGTCGGCGAGACTCTATCAAGGGTGAAACTCTATCAGCGTAGAATTGGACCACTGGCGAGGAAATCTGTCTACGGCGAGCCTAGATAATTAACGAGACTTTGTCAGTTACGGGAAATTTTTTATTGGCGAGCAAGTTGACTGCTGGTGAATAAGACTTTTATTGGTAGGGAAGGCGAGACTTGATCATCAGCGTGATATTGGCCTTTAACTAAGAAGTTTACTATTGGCGAGCAACTCTATCTTGAGCCTTCTTGTTGTTGAGCGCGTAAATCGGCTTTTCTTGGCCTGGGTTTGGCCGAGCAAGCTGAATCTTATTGCTCTCAAATAATCCTATCTATGAGTCTTTGAACCGAGTATTCTGTGCTTATGACTCTTACATGGCCGAGCGTGATAGCAAACTGAGGCCCCCCCTTTTTCTTCTCCACTAAACGTTATTTTATGCTTGCTCCAAACTTTATTTTATGTTTCTCCAAGTTTCGGTATCTTATCGACCAGTAAACCGACTGATAGCCGGATCGGCTATGCACTCTCTTCCTGTATAGAGGTGCTGCCCTTCAGTTTGCGCGCGTGTTCGGCCTTGTCTGACTTTTTCTGCTCGGACCGCGCTGAAAAATTTTGAGGCCCTAGAATTTTGCAGTAAAGCAACTGTGATGTACCTAGGTAGTTCATGTATGTTATGTCGTAAGCATCGGTCCGACACATGTACTTACGTGGACGCTGATGGTGTGGCTCTCGCTCGGAACCGAAATCGTGCCACGCAAACCCTCTTCCGGTATCTTTGTCTTTCGGATCCGGTCAATGTCCCGCGCTTCTTCACACCCGGCTGAGTTAGTCCCATTAGCTGGCTTCCGAGTTGTGTCGATATGGATGTTGCATATGCGCAGTGAGGAGAGAATACCTTGGCAGTTTGGTAAGAATGCGTTTGATGTCGGTTCCGTGACATGATCCGGGATACTGTGTATGTAAATATACCTATATAAATGTAGAGCCATGTTGGTTGCCTTTAAACTTAACCATCTATATTCTTTATAACTAAGACGCTTCTTCTAAAATGATCATGGAAATTCCAAGTGTCCAAATCGCAGCTCTCATCAAAGACCCTGGTCCCAATGCAGTGATAGAAATTCGTCAGGACTACCCTGTAGCCCAGCCCGGAGACAATGAAGTCTTGCTGAAAATGGAATGCTCGGGAATATGGTGAGTTCAGTCATGAGAGTGCCGAAATATTGAGCCAAAAGCGATACCCTCTTTGATCAACTGCTAGTTGTGGCAGCAGCTGACTTGGTATTGCCTTTCGCCGCGCTTTAGTTACTCGGATATTTACGTTTATACGGGAAACAATCCCCATTACAACGAAGTCCCCTGTCATGAAGGCGTCGGCCAGGTTGTGCAGCTTGGTCCTGGCGTTACAGATACTCTTCTTGGCCAAAGGGTTGGACTTGGATGGATTTACAGCGTCTGTGGCCACTGCTACAATTGCACGGCGGGTCGTGACAATTGGTGTGTGAACCAGTGCAACACTGGCACTGATAAGCCAGGGACCATGCAACAGTACGTTGTTGCAAACGCGGACTATTTGATGCCAATTCCAGATGAGCTACCCTCGTTCCATGCCGCGCCATTTCTCTGTGGTGGCATTACCATGGCGGGGGCTTTATCCCTCTGTGATGATGCTCTTGAGGACGGTGATACTCTTGTCATCTCTGGATCGGGAGGCGGCTTGGGACATTTGGGACTTCAGATTGCTTCCAATCCGAAGAATCAAAAGCATTCGAATATTATCGCAATCGACACTGGATCGGTCAAGCAAAAGCTGAGTCTCGACCTTGGAGCATCGGCTTTTATCGACTTCAAAACAGAGGATGTTGTCAAAAAGGTGATGGAATTGACAAATGGTAAAGGCGCCGACGTGGCTATAGTGGTTCCAGAAGCAACTGAAGCCTTTGATCAAGCATTGAAGTACCTACGGTTTACCGGAACGATGATATGCGCTGGGATCACCAGGATGGATTATCGCTTCCCGATATCTCCGACTGATCTTGAATATAGAGGTAAGTGAGGCTACTGGCTACAAGGGCATGATAGATGAGGAAGATTATGCTGATATGGCGACACAGGGTTGACTATCAAGGGCTGCCACGTAGGAACCAAAGAGCAAATGAAGGACCTGCTGATATCAGCTGGGAAAAAGGAAATAACCCCGAAAGTGGAAGTCTTTGACTTTTTGAAAATCGACGAGCTGTTCCAGCGCGTGAAGCATGGCGATGTCGTCGGTCGTTTCGTTGTGCAAATACCACAGTAATACTAGCCAGTATGGGCACTACTAACATACATGTGCTTACCCACAAACTCGACCATCTTTCCCCATATTTGGAAATATATGCAGACAAAAACATGAGCTGTACTATAGCGCCTTATTTGTTGCTTGAGATACACAAATGTCATGGAAACTATGGCTCAAATTGTAACTCAAACTTTATATCCGTGCCCACAGTGATCTCTGACTTTGCTCTTCATAATCGAAAAGGCTGCTAAGAATTTGTACCAAGTACTATTGGAGGCCTGGCGAAGAGTGTCTTTGCTTGGCAGCGATGTCCTGCTTCGTCGATTTTGGTAACAAAAGATCCTAAATGATCCGAGCCTGTGATATCACCGTAAGACTCCTCGCCAGGTATGTATTCATTGCCATTCTCATGCTCATTGCGGGTTATTTGCTGGCGCTGTTGTCTCGCAAGGCCCATAGCCGGCCGACGTAGTGTATCCGAGCTAGTATCATTGAGAGAGTCGTGCAAAAGCTTCCTCACTCTTTGTACTGACTGTAAACACTGAGGCAATTCATCAAGCGCATCAAACACGATTCGACAAAAGCTATCAAACGCGTCTTGTGCTATCTCATCTCGCTTCAGATAGATTAGCAAAACCTTGGCAGCAAGCTGTAGTGACGCAAGAATATGATGCGGATATGGATCCAGGCTAATCAATGAGTAGAGTTTGCGGCTACGCCGAGTTTCGCTTTTGCCGAGGGCAACCTGACAGCTGAGACCAAAACTTATGGTGCTAAAGATGACGTGGACAGACTCGCGACGGACCGCGTCGAAATTTGGAACAATATCCATCCGTTCAATAGAGGCAGCTAGGGTACACAAAAGGAGTAGTCCCATGTGATAGTGCAATTGCAGAAGGTCTGCAAAGTGTTAGTTTAGAAGTTGTGCGTCTCCAGATGACTTACACGTACAATAGCATAGTCGAGCATCTTTACTGAAATACATAATATGCCTCTCGCAAGCTGCAAGAAGTGGTTTAAAGGTCCTATCAAAGCGATTGAGGGCCTCCGCAATGAGGAATTGCAGTCTGGCGATGACGGACTCTCCGTAGCCATGGTTCATAGCTTCTCTCAGAACTCCAATGAGTTTCCACACATATCCCTTCCAGGTGGATGCCCGATGGACAATATATAGTGTATCATGGCTTGTTGGAACAAATTCGTTCTGTCTCCATGTCTCTGTGCTTTCATGGAATAGCTGAACTCGAGCTTTCATGAGGCAAAATACTGGCTCCCCCTCAAAGCCAAACACACCACTGCAGAGAATAGAAGGGCACCCTCTAGTCATTGACGAAGAAGTATCGAATACTACTCCGGCCCAATACATCATATTTTCGGCATGAATGAAATCTTCGTTGACGGAGGCGTAATCATTCGGGCCTTCTCCATCGTTTTTACCAACCGATAGGCCAGTTCCAGAAAATCGGAAATCACGTCGTTTTACCCTTAGCCTATGGATTTGGCGAAGCGCCATATCGATGCTAACCTCGCCAGCCGAGTGAGCATTTTCGGTATCTATGGAAGCCTCCCCAGATACAGGAGTTAGACCAAATAGGTACAAAGCAAGAACAGTTTGGTAGCTCAGCTTGTCAAAGACGGCCATGACTCTCGACTTGGCGTCGTTCCAGAGATGAGTGCTGAGCACAAGCAGCTGTTGGGTATCAATTGTATCATCCGCCACTAATGGAAGCCAGCGGCAAGAGAAGGCGTGCACGGCTGATATCAATGCTAACTGAATCGCGCGATCGCCTCTTGGGCAACGGTGGGTCATCTGTATCTGGCGGTCGGTGCTGCAGGCACAATTTGCCCAGTCAAGGGACACAACTAGCTGCAGCATTGTGAGGCCAGTCATCTAGTTTGTAATTAGTTTGCCGAATGTGTAATCGCCGCATATCAAAGAGACTACTTACATGATCAGGCACCACATAGGGACTGCAGTCAGGGCCGGTCCACAGAGTGAGGACAGGCTCGAATATGAGAGTAAAGACTGTCCATAGCCGGTCATGTAATGCTTCGGCCTCGATTTGCTGGGATAACTCAGAACTAGGTATGAGTCTATATTATTAAGTATCAGTAACTGGACAATCAGCAGCAGTAGATGAATAAGTCGGGACAAACTGCGTATAACCATCATTTTCTGCGGTACCAGCTGGCTCTATTTCGTGATGCTGTATCTCTTCAGGAGATTCTGAGTTATTGACTATCACAGTCGCTCCCGTTTGAAGACGATCCGATGCCAAGCGGCGAGAGAGCTGGCGAGTCCTTGGCCTGTTCACACCTCTTACTGCCGTTGTATTCGTACCTCCTCGGTTCCGAATCCACTAGAATGGATCATCAGGAGGAAACTTTGGTCGGAAGCAAAGGATCAGACTTACCTCATAGGTACATGGCAGGGCTCGCTTCGAACAATTTGTGCACTGAACTTGTGGCGATGGTGAGCCAGCGTCGGAACCACTGGAAGATGCATGATGGCGCCCTTGTAATTGAGAAGCATCACATGCGATACGCTTTCTGCGGCAGTAGTCGCAGCTGGAGAACTGACGCCTGCGCGCAGATTCGGATCCGGATACGCCTCGGGCCATGGCGGAACTGCGTAAATGCTCGTGCAATTCTAATTATAAGCAGTTTTATTTAAGCAAGGGAGTAGCGGAAAACTGGAATTCCGGATCCGAACAGCAGCATCATCTCGGATTAGTCAACGTCCCACTCCACCATGGCGTGGCGCCAAACGACTTATACCAACCGCCCGTCGAATCATGATAAGTATAAAACGTGAAGACTCCTTGGGATTTTTCCTCTCAAACTGTCTAAATCTTTTTAAGAAATACCATTTGAAGATATCTCAGAATTGAACGATTTCTGAAAACATGGCGCTGCCCTTTGACGAATGGCCCTCGATTCGGGTCAAGACAACCGACACTAGCCTCTTCGCCCGCTACGACGGCACCGGCCCGGCCATTTTGCTTTTACACGGTTGTCCGCAGCATTCTGTAAGCTGATTATACTCTTTTACTTTTGCTTCCCCCTTGGTCCTTTAAAGGATAGCTGTTTAACATAATGCAGCTCATGTGGCACAAAGTAGGCCCGCTCCTTTCTTCCAAGTATACCGTCATTGCCCCGGATCTACCTGGCATGGGCCAGTCGACCCTAAGTGAAACGGGAACCTATGATTCGGCATCAGCGGCTGCAGCCATCATAGCACTGTTAGATTTCTTGCATATCCAGAAAGTGGCTGTATTCGGCTATGACAAAGGTGCCTCGGTTGGATCCGTGCTGGCATGGAAGTATGCAGATCGCGTGGCATCCCTAAGTGTTGGAGAATACGCTCTTCCAGCGTTTGGACACGAGATTTTCCAAAACCCGGATCCTTCTAAAAACATATATGGGCACTGGCACCTAGCTCTCTTTTCTGTTCCTGAAGCGGCCGAATTCCTTATCCGTGGACGTGAGAGGGAATTTCTGAACTGGTATTTCTGGCACAGTTCCTATTCCGCTGGCGCTCTCATATCGCCTGATCATGTCGAGCGCTACGCAGCCGCGCTCTCAAAGCCAGGATACCTGCGCTCAATGACAGAGTTTTTGAACGGTAATATTTGGCGCGAGATTGAATATTTCAAGTCGCTGAGAGACGATCCAATTCGGATTCCCTTGACTGTGCTCTGGGGAGAGGCCAGTATGGTCCCGGAGGAGTTTAGCCAGACTTTATGGGGTCCTACAGCGACTTCTGTCAAGACGATGTATGTACCAAAAGCTGGGCATTGGTTAGGTGTGTATTTTACTGGAAATTCTCCCCCGTAAAGATATGCTGTTGACAATTCCTTAGCGGACGAAAATCCAAAGTGGCTGGCGACATTTATCGATCAAAGTGTTGCAAGCTCGGCTGTTGAGCCATCCGTCACCAACCTGGCGTATCTGGAGAATTTAGTCACCATGATCTAGGCGATTACTATTAATAATTTAAGACTTTTCAGATACAACCTTTGTGTTAATGTCTATATCTTCATGCTGCAATCAAGGATGCTAGCCCTCAGTGACAAGTACACTTCACCCATCCGAGAAATCACGAGAACAGAGCTGGTCAGAGTCGTTGAATAGAATAAAATATTATGCGATATGTCTATAATGGAGCCTACGATAGGTAAAGATAGAAAGCAAGAAAAAGAAATTACGTTTAGCTTAAATTACCGCCCTAGATGTTTGTATTCTCATCAACTTGTTTAGACACAGCATGCTTAGGTATGCATTTGATCCCAAATCTTGAGTTTATCCAAAATGTTAGCTTCCATAAGCTGCAAACTGCCCCGCCTTCTCAGTAAGCTTTAAATATCTCTGCATGCCGATTGTCTTATCAACATATAACCTTTTTGCTGATAGTTACATGTACTTGCTCACCTTGGCCATTATTTAACTATGGTCGTACGAGCCATCAGCGAAACTGGGTATATTGCAGAATAGGCAACTCTCCTGTATACCAGTATGTCCACGTCAGCTGCGAAAGCTGAGGCTGTTGTCACTGCTATCAGAAGAGTGACATCTTCGCCAAGGTAAAGTCAAAGTGAAGTTAACATTAAATGAAGAAAGCTGGAAATTTATATTCAAGCTTAGTTTACGCCTCAAAAGCGGTATTCAGCGCCACATATTGTGTCATGTTTAGTCCCCGAATTCCAACTCACGCATGAGTTAATGTAGTTCCAGCTACTAAGTAAAAGCGAGTTAAGCTATCGCGAGTGCTTCTTTCTTATGGTGTAGTGTCCAGCGCTCGTATCCACTACCATGATTTAGCTTCACAGAAAATTTCCTAATTCGGTAATCATCATTCACCAGCAGATGTCGTGATATCAAGGAATAAACACTGCAGCCAATTAACTGGTTCAAAGAAATGTTTAGCTTGATAAGTAATATGTAAAAGCTGAGTTGATTGGTCGAAATATGACATATTATTGATGCACCAGATCTATATGACATTGACTACCAAACTGTAACGAGTACTGAGATTCTCGCAGCTGTCTGTGTAGAACAAGTTAATAATACCCTGGCCGATAAGTGTAGCTATGGAGTCTGTCTATTGACGACATATTTAGCTTTTATGGCCTCATATACATGAGGAAAGAGGACGCCTTGGCTCTTATTCCATCACGTCATGTGTATCTATGATGACGCTCGTCTGAACAACTACACATTTACTTCGGTATCTCTTACTTATATTGTTGAACGAGTACGTATTTATATCTGGAAAATCTTTGAATTTGGGTATAGATGCACAATTGATCAGTTTTAACAATGAGTCTGTTGCTTAGGTCTGATAATGACGGCGTCGTGCCTTCGCCGCTCCCCGAGGCTGCAGGCTACGTGGTTGTTGTTGCAGTTGGTCTAGTATTTGCACTCGGTATGTTACTTCTCGCAAATAGAGCTTGATTACCAGAGCTAAGATGAACAGGAATGATTGGAATAACGCGACTATTAAAGAAAACCCTCAATGAAGATAACTCAAACGTTGAAACGTAAGCGAGATGCCGCCCACCTCAAATTCTTTAGCGGCGACTGACCGATAGGGCGTTACAGCTTCATGGTAGCCAACAGATCAGTAGGAACGGGTCTTGTTGCCTCTGCAGTAGTATCTGTACGTTAAAACTTCCTCGCCCAAAAGCCACCGTGCTGACAAGCTCTAGTCGTGGTTATGGAGCACAGCTTTGCTCAGCTGTGTGTTGGTGACATATCTTTATGGAGTATCTGGAGGCTTCTGGTATGGGGCAGGCTGCTCTCCGTAAGTGAAAAATCGTTGAAAAATCACAATACCTGTCACAAACTAACTGTATGTGTTCAGAATGATAGTTTTCTTCGCCTATCTCGGGGTCGTCTGCAAAAAGCGTATACCACAAGCCCACACAGTCCTTGAAATCGTTCGAATCAGATATGGTACGTATAAGTGGCTGCGTATATCTTTGAATAGGATGTTGATAGCCATAAACAGGTACTATTGCGCATCTTACTTTCACTTTCTTGGCAATCGTCAACAATCTTTTCAACACGATCAACATGATCCTGGGCGCTGCAGCCGTGATTACTTTCCTGTAAGATTTGTGAATCGATTTTCAGACAAAAAAATCTCTATTAACGTTACATAGAACAGGCATACATATCATGGCTTCCACATTTCTTTTACCTGTTGGAGTGGTGTTGTATACACTTGTTGGCGGCATAAAAGCAACGTTTGTGGTCTATTGTTAAAGAGATTAAACGCATAGCTGACCATTTTGACTATAGTTTCTTAACGGATTATATACACACATTTGTCATCGCCATTCTATGCTGCTATTTGACGACAAAGGCTCTCCTTCACCACGATGTCGGCTCTATTGACGGATTGTACGACCTCGTTGTCAAGGCGCAGCCTTCACATGCAGTCGATGGGAACTATCAAGGGTCACTTCTTACAATGAACTCTCAACAAGGAATATTCTTTGCGATTATTCTTCTTGTATCAAACTTCGGTGCCGTTATTGTAAGTTTGACAGTCATTATGGTGTACTCGTGGAAATTAACATGTGCAGATGGATACGAGCTACTTCATCAAAGCATTTGCCGCATCCCCAAAAGCTGTTGTCCCAGGCTATGTAGTAGGTGGATTTGCCTACTTCTCCATTCCATGGAGCCTTGGTACTATAATGGGCCTCGCAGCGTTGGGATTAGAAAGCTCTCCTATATTTCCAACATACCCTCGTGTGAGTCTCTGTTCTCGTTGCAAACTCAATTTTTACTGACATCTATCCGTCATGATAGCCAATGAATAGCTTAGAAGTCACAAATGGTCTGGTACTTCCTTATGTAGCTGTGGCAGTCGCAGGAAAGGGCGGAGCTGTGGCGGTCTTGCTTATGACATTCATGGCAATCACTTCAACGCTTTCTGCTCAGGTTATCGCCGTATCGTCCATCTTTACATTCGACTTTTACAGAACATACATCAACAAAAATGCAGGCAATAAAGATGTCATCAGATGGAGCCACTTGGGCGTCGTTCTCTTTGCCTCCATCTCAGCTGGCCTAACTGCGGCGTTTAACTACGGTGGCATCAATATGGGCTGGACCCTCTATATGATTGGTAAGAAGATTATTCGATGTGTTGTACTTTAAATTAACATTGTGTTAATAGGAGTTGTAACATGCCCTGGTATTTTCCCCTTGGTCTTGACGATACTTTGGAACAAACAAAGTGGCTTCGCAGCTGTTGTTTCGGCGGTAACTGGCTTGGCTACTGGTCTGGGCGTTTGGCTAGGCACAGCGCAAGCTTTGTTTGGTGAAGTATCCGTGGATTCCACTGGGCAAACACTTCCCTGCCTTTACGGAACTGTCGCCTCCGCACTTAGTCCTTTGCTTTACACGGTTATCTTGTCATTCATTTGGCCGGATAACTATGACTGGGCGCGCTTCACCGAAGAAAAGCTGCTACTAGATAGCGATGTGCCGACCGAAGAACCTGAAAGTAGGCAAGGCGGAAAAGGGGGTGTCCTTAGCAGTTCCTCTGAGATTGTCTACGACCAAACGGATCTGAGGTGGAAAAGATATGCGTTGTTTTGGTCGCTTTTCTCATTCTTTGGTCTTTGGGTTCTCTGGCCGCTGCCAATGTATGGAGCGAAATACATATTCAGTAAAATTGTGAGTTACACCCGCGCCATACTAATATGCAATATCTAATCACATCAACAGTTTTTCAGGTCGTGGATTGTGGTGTCGCTGATATGGCTTTGGACAAGTCTGCTCATATTGGGCGTGTATCCGCTATGGGATGGCAGGAAACAAATTTTCAAAGTATTGAGAGGCCTACGAGGCTAATTACAATGTCGATATACAACAAACGCAAGTTATCATTATTAGTTTCCCACGAAAAGAAAAACCTTGAATAGGAAAGCCATCAGTTTTGTGTGCCACAATTAGTGAACCGCTCTCTCTTGAAACGGCTGACCATCGTCGTAAGCGTCAACCTTGTACTTTCTAAAGTCGCGTGCAGATATCCCTTTCTCAAATAGGATATCTAGCTCCTCATAAGATCGTTTGAACGTTTCGGGATATCGAAAGAACGCCCATAGAGTAACAAGCAGTGATGTTCCACCCCAGAAGTAAGCTGTCTTGCCTGCCCACCCCCAAGCAGTAGGGTTAATCATGTAAGGCTCCAAAACAGCTCCAATAATGTCAAAAAGCTGGTGGGCAACCTTGGCTAGAGCCACACTCTGTACTCGCAAGCTGACAGCAGACACTTCGCTCGATGTTGCATACGCTGCGGGGCCCACGGAGATGTCGTAGCAAAATACCCATAGAATAGTGAGTGCTACTTGTCCCCATTTTGTTCCTTCGTTGGCATGGACCGTAGCCAAGATGCCGATGAGAGTATTCACTACAGTCATGAAAATCATGCCCCAGAGGTAAAGATTGCGACGACCTAAATGGGCAATGAGAACTGAGCCGATAAAGGTTGCGAGCAGGCCAATGGCAGTAGCGGCCACAGAGACTTTGTAGCTATTGTTTGCAGATAAACCTGCTTGTTCCCAGAAATAAGTTCCCGGGTTCATCATAAAAATACCATTAAAGACTTGACCAGCGAATGACAAACAGCAAATCTCTGTTCGGCGGAGATTGCTGCCTCTGAAACAAGCGAGATATGAAGACCCGGTTCGTATCTCCTCTTCATAGTTGACAGTATGAATGATCATGGCTAAATGTTCTTTGACTTTTATGTCAGTCTTGGAACTAAGCCGACGGATGCTGTGTTCTGCTTCTTGGAGACGACCCTTGCGAACAAGATACCACGGAGACTCAGGAGCGAATAGGCATCCCACAAAGAGCGGAACAGGCCAAATCCATTGGATGGCGAAGGGGATTCGGTAGGACCATTGTGAATCCAAGTTGACAAGGCCGTCAAGGACACCAATGGCGATGAGCTGGCCGATGATCTGCATGATGTTGACACCGCTGGTAAGAAACCCACGCAGCGAGATGGGCAAGCACTCTGAGCTATACGCTGGTCCTATAGACGCAAATGTGCCCCAGACCATGCCGCAGAAAATCTCACCAACAAGAAGCGTCGGTAGGTTATGAGCGCTGAATGGAATAGCAACAAAGCCCGCCATAAGAACAAGGCCAACCAGCATAACTCTTTTGTAGCCGAACCGTGAAGAAAAGAAGCCGTTGAATGAGGCGCCCAGGATAATGCCCACGATACTTGCTTGTGAGAGACCTGTCTGCCATTTGGCGGGGATCTGATAGCCCTTGCTGACAGGCACTCCGTATGCTTTCTGAAAAGCTGGGTAGCCGTAGAAATTATTGATGAGTGCGTTATCGTACCCATACATGGCGATGGACAGAGAGAAAAATGAAGCCCATGCCACGCCTTTCCACTGTAAACGGACGGCTTCGAGAATGCCTTGGGAGTGCTCTAGATCGGTGGCCTCTTTGGCTCCCTGGACGATGACACCCCATTCTTTTTCGGGAGCAATGTCATTCTCGACGGCTTCAACTGCCGCTTTATCGTCTGTGCCATGAGGGTCATCAACGGAAGCCTGAGCCATGATTGGAGCTGTGCTTTTACAGTTTGTGATGAGCTGTTTGATGCTTCTCAAGAGAGTAAAGGGCCTAATGGCATTGATACTTTTTACCTTACTTATACTTTTCTAAGATGGCAATACGTCACAATCCTGAAATATAGCTGGTATTGGTTCATGTCAAGGGTGGTCATTTAGCTGGATGCTCTGCGGAATTCTTCACCAGCCATCCAATGGCATTATTCCCGTATCATCACCTCCGCCATGTAGTGTACTAAATTTTAAGCGACATGGAATGTAACCATACATGCTCATTGATGGGAGGTAGAAAGAGGCTATGAAGCATCTTTTGAGCTACCATGAGACTAATTATCCAACTATCTGCAGCTGTTGAGCACCGGTATCTTACAACGCTTGGCGTGATTCACATATAGTTCAAGATTACAGTGCATACGTTGATAAGAAGTACGCTCATGAGACACGATAAGGGTAGACGGTTCATGATGCCGTTATCTCCCCGAAGGGTTCGTATCTCATGATCATATAGCGAATGCAGCTACCAGCAGTAGCTTACACCCTCTTTATATAACCCGGCTGCTTTTAGCCGAACCTCAGAACTACCCCAGATTTCCCAATGAAGGAAGATTATACACTTTTGGCTATCTATCGTGTAACGTTTTATGAGCTGCGAGTTCCGACGGCTGTTCAACCGATCACCCCTTCTATCATCATGGCTCTATCTTGGGATAATATTTCGACCGCTAGCGCATATACGAATGCCTCTAACCCCCGCAGTGGCGCTTGTCTGGAGAAACAAATGGCACGCCAAGAATACATAATAATGGGTATAAACGGCTATAACACGATGTAGATCGCAACCCCGCTTCAGTTGACAGGCGAGGAGGGCGCCGAGGATAGCAGTTGAGTCACGATAGCTAAGGTGGGGGACAGCATGATGCCAGAAATGTCTCGGTAGTAGAGATAGAAGCCGAAGGACATTGCTTGTTTCGATTTCTCTCATTTAATCTAGTCAATTGAGACAACCAAGTCTACTATCTTTGTTTTGAGGCTGGTGCTATCATTACAACCAACAACCAATATCCGCCGTTCGCCATGCCGTTTGACGCTGTTGGTGCTGCCATTACTACTTCAAAAGATGGGGCGGATGCATTATACAACCCCTCATATCCCGACTTTAGTCGATTCAACAGTCGCAGATCGGTTGTGTATAGCACGAAAGGCATTGTTGCAGCTTCACAGCCCCTTGCTGCTCAAGCCGGCCTGGACATCTTGAAAGCAGGCGGCAATGCGGTTGATGCGGCGATAGCCACGGCGGCGGCGCTCGGCGTAACAGAACCAAACTCGACTGGAGTGGGCGGAGACATGTTTATGATATTCTGGGACGAAAAGAAGAAGAAGGCGTTTGCAATCAACGGATCAGGGCGCTCACCAGCTGCGTTGACGATTGAAAAGTGTCGCGAGATTGGCTTGAGCGGGAATTTACTGCCGCCCCAGCATGCAAACTCGGTTACAGTTCCTGGCCAAGTTGCCGGATGGTTTGATGCAAAGGATGCCTATGGAAGTGGTAAAGTTACTATGGAACAGATTCTGAAAGCGTCGATCGAACTCTGTGAAGATGGCTTCCCTGTATCAGAAATCACAGCCCGACACTGGGTAGAGTGTGAGGGTTTACTGAAAAAGTCCTCCCCAAACGGCGCTGAAGTTCTCTTGGCAGACGGTAAAGCTCCAAGAGCTGGGCAAGTCTTCAAAAACCCTAACCTAGCCAGGGTGCTTCGAGAAATTGCTTCCAAAGGGAAAGCAGGCTTTTATGAGGGGTGGGTTGCAGAGTCTATTACGGAGACTCTCCAACAACTTCAGGGTGTTATGACGACTCAAGACTTGAAAGACCATACGACTAGTTTTGTTGAACCGATATCTCAGGCCTACAACGAGTATAAACTATGGGAGTGTCCGCCTAATGGTCAGGGTATCATTGCTCTAGAGGCGCTGGGAATTATCAACAGCCTAGAGAAGGAAGGCAAGATTCCTGCTCTCAGGAGTCTACAGCATAACTCTGTTGAGTATGTTCATACTATTGTGGAAGCTCTCCGATATGCATTTGCCGATGGAGATGCCTATGTCTCAGATCCAGAGCGTTCTGGGCCGCTCTGGACAGGTTTCCTCGGCGAGAAATACCTCGCCGAGCGAGCGTCTAGCTTCAAGTTGGATGCCGTTGATACTACCTTGAAGCACGGATACCCCAAAAGCGCTTCGGACACTGTATATCTGACTACATCGGACTCGGAAGGGAATGCGTGCAGCTTCATCTGCTCACTTGCTTCCAACTTTGGTGGCGGAATTGTTCCAAAAGGCTGTGGCTTCGCTCTACAGAATCGAGGCACGCAGTTTCAATTGCGTGATGGCCACGTGAATACGCTCAGACCTCGCAAGCGACCATATCACACGATTATTCCCGCCATGGTTACAAAGAATGACCGTCTTGATCTCTCATTTGGCGTCATGGGCGGCTTCATGCAGCCACAGGGCCACTTGCAAGTCATGCTCAACTCGTGCGTCTTTGGCTTCAACGCTCAAGATGCTTTAGATGCCCCAAGAGTGTGCATTCGACCCTCACGCACACTGCCCGAGTATGCAACGGCAACCGACTACTCCAAACTAACAGAGAAATCCATGATATGCTTAGAAGAAGGATTTCCAGTGGAGACAGTTGAAGGCTTGCGCAAACTGGGACACGAGGTTGAGCTTATAACGGGATGGAATCGTGACCTATTTGGCCGAGGACAGGTAATTAAAGCAAATTACGACCCAAGTGGCCAGAGAGTCTACAATGGAGGGAGTGATTTACGCAGTGATGGACACGCAGTTGCTTGGTAATATTCTGTATATCCATAGATTTACATTCTTCACGCTAGATTCATAATAGACTGCTTCAATACTGTCGTCCCTACGGGCCGAGACAAACGCCTTCTTCAACGGCCTCTTTCATGGCCAATGTGGCACCACCGCAGTCGCGGACGGAAGTGAATCCTCGATCAAGCATCGGTTTCAAAACCCAGGGCTGGCGAATGAGACTTATCCTCTCCGTCATGTCCCGGTATGCACTTAGGCTCGCCTCGCCGGGGACTACGGCGATATGCACGTGGCAGTCAATGAGCCCTGGACATACGTGCTTGCCTTTGAGATCAATGGTGATTTCTCCATCGGTGGTACTGGGAGTTGCACTTTCGGTAGTGTCTATAGAGAGAATCTTTCCTCCAGATGTTTTGATTGTGACGTTTTCGGCTACTCGCTCTTCAATGGGGTCGATGAGCTTGGCGTTTGTGAAAATATATGTAGTATGGGCATCAAGCTTCCAAGGCTTGATGATCTTTGACATGTCTATGTTGGCCATGGTTGATTCCAGATGGATATAAGACAAGTTGAATTGCGATGAAATCCGGAAGTGTTGAGACTGGGCGTAGACTATGGAGATATCCAAGCAAAGACATACACCCTACACGCAACTTTCATTCCTTTTATACTTGACGTCAAATGTCATACTTACTGTATTTGGAGGGAGACTAGGCCTTTGGCGTATAACTTTATAAAGATGCCTCGGTTCCAAAATCTCCGCTGCTAAGACCCCGCGCTCTTCCGTAATGCTGCCACTTACAACACTCCAGATTAAGGTTTACGAGTAGCACTTTTCGACAATTCTTGGCTCTTAACATGTAGCAGAGAAAATGTATTCATTTTTCTAAAACTGTAATCTGTGATTGCTTTTCTACCCATGATCGTAATCTCAGATATTGATTGTCTTTGCTCAGTTAGCAAGTCCAAGAGCCAATTGAGCCGGAAAGTCTACTTACAAAAAGTCCGGTTGAGCAAGCGGAGGCGGAAAAATGATTTTTTTTTTCCCTTTTCCGTCTGCGGCAAACGACTTACACGGTCAATACTAACCGATATAGTGTCTCATCTTACTTCATATCTTACTTGAGATTCAGCACTATCAACTGGAAGGCAGAGCCGCTTTTTATATCACATAGTTGTCCAAGTTTCAACCGGTAAACTCTGTTCATAATGATATCGTTCGTTACCTGGAGGTCTTCAAGCTTGGTATGAATGGGGCGACTAGTGTGTCCGGTTTATGCAGACATGCACGTACAATTATATATGGGCTAGTTTAAATCTTGATTATATATACATTCGTATTCTTGTTTCTTTTTGGGTATACTGTTTCTATCTTTCACCTGCGAATTCCATCTATCTGAATCGTGTATTTTCATTCCACCGTCACCTAGCGTATCACCACTTATTGTGTATTTCTTCTCCGTTGACCACATTGACCAAATCTCTTATAGGCTCCAACGTTTCGCCATTTCCAAATTGCACCACCTTCTGCATCACTTGTCCATAATTATCACCAGGGGATATCTTTCCAGCAATCAACTGTTGCCGCGTCTCAGCACCGTGTGACGTCCGAACAGTCCGGCTAACAACCGTATTCATGCCCTGTAAAGCAAGCGTTATTGCCTCTCTTGCAACAGCCGGGATACCAGCAACGTCAAGCGTATATATCTTCGTTGAAGCGTAATTCTTTTGAATAAAATTAACAATGTTTGGGTTATATGCGCTGCCACCACAAAGAAACAGCTCGTCAATATTCTGTGACGGCGCGAAGCACTTGTAATGATCTACGATAGACTGAGCCGTGATCCTCGTGATTGTGGCAACAACGTCTTCCGGTGAAAGCCCCTTATCTTCTGCTTTGGATATAAGTTCATAAGCTAATGAAGCTCTGAAGTCGTCACGGCCAGCACTCTTTGGAATAGATCGCTGAAAGTAGGGATGAGAGGAGATGAAGTCGTCCACAATCTCTTCATCTACCTCTCCTCGCTTGCCTATTTCGCCATCCACATCGTATCGTTGCGCACCATTTGTATAATGGCGAATAGCAGCGTCGATGTAAATATTTCCAGGGCCCGTATCAAAGTTAATGAAGCCATTATTAAGCTCGCCGCTGATATCTGGGGGTATAAAGCATACGTTGCCGATGCCGCTAATATTTTGACAGGCTCTTAGTTTGGTAGGATGATGCAGAAGCAAGGCATCGAAATCGGAGGGAGCCCCTTGTGGGCCCACAACGGCCTCGCCGACTCGAAAATCGGTCACCGTTGTGATTCCGGTACGTGAAGCTATAACGGTACCTTCGTTCAATCGAAGAGATGTCCTCGTTTGGTGTACTGCGGGATAAGGAATGCGCCATGCTGCTTGCGCACGACAACTGATGATGTCTATTGTAGATTTATCAATGTCGTTGGTGGCAATAAACTGCAATGCGGCCTCGGCAAACGCTTCCCCAAGAATATCATTGACTTGAGCAACTTGTTCTGGCGAGTTAAAGTCATCAGAAATCATGTCCGTCAGTCGCTTCTCGATTCCAGGGTCCAGTAGCGTCTCTCCATATTTCAGCAGCTCCAAGCGGACAGGCTGTGCCGGGTTTTGTTGTCTGAATCGGCATAACGCGAACTCTATGCTCTCCTGAACCGCCTGATGAGCATCCAGAATCAACTGACGCATCTCACGGATAATATGGGGCCATACCATGGATATGCCACTGCTCAAGCCCAGAACAACCAAGTCCAGCTCGGGATCAGTGTTTATGATAGAGCCCATCTCGATCTTCTATCGCCTGGGAGACCATTGTACGTTGTCAGATTACTACCTTGAAAATTCTGTGCTATCAAGGACTAGTAAGGATGAGGCTAAATGGAGATCTTGTCGTACCATTGGTAATGCCTGCGGCGGACGGACGGGCCCTCTGGTTGGGCGGTATAGCCTTTCAGCCGTGATCAGTCAGCAGTGTCTAGATCTTGTACATAAGCTAACAGTTGTCGAGAATCAATAGCTTCAGGAACCGGCCGCTGAGTGGCAATTGTTTAGCGCTGTCTGCATGTGATTACAGCCATTTGACGCTTTGTCCCAAGTTGGAACTGTGATATGCTCAGCGACTACGATATCGGAACTCATCTACGATAGCGCCAACTTGACTTTAAATGTGCTGAAACGAAATGATTATCGATTAGAAAAGTATAGGTTAATAGAAAGCTTTCAAAAATGCTCTTGGCAAGCGTTGATTGCTTGCTTGCTGGGGGTAAATGAATATCCATCCAATTGGCCGAGATCGGCAGTTGAAGGCGCTGTGGTTGTGGGCTCGGACAAACCGACATGTATTTTTAAACTCTTGCGTCTTTACTCATGTGGTTCAAAGGCATAAACTTGGCAAGTTTGCCGTTAGAAGCGCCACTAAATTGAGAGCAGTTTTTGCCCGCCGTTTCCTAGTTCAGCTTCCGGTGCTGATATTCGGGCCGGCTTCCGTAGAACAAAGGTTAATTGATACACGTATTTGAAGACAGGCATGAATATCTTTTAAAAAACTATGTAGGAATTGTACACTTCTGATGAGTGAGATACATGCCGTTGATAGACTCAAATTAAAGATAGAAGAACGTATGCGTGCACCAACGATAGCAACACAACATGGACAACATGGACGACTGTCTTCCCAGAGGAGAGAGTCAAAGTGGATGAACAAACCATGTCTACGTGTGCCTTTTTGATTCTATATTTTGTCATGGTGTCTCGGTGAATTGCAATTCTTGGCGGTCATCTCTTATTATAGCAGTCGAGTAGCTCCATAAGACGATAATGTACATGAATCTAATCCAGGATACCTCATGTATCATTGTTGAGACTTTTTATTTGAGATTAATTTTCTTACAAGCATAAATAACAAGACAAGAAAATTTTCTGCAGTATTGTTCCTTGTGCAACATTCTTCATTAAATGAAGGCTGTCGTCCGTTTATGATAACTCAGCACGAGTTAATATGAGAATATGAAGACAAGCAGTTGGATATGGATACACGTATATGCAGACACCAATTATAGCTCCCGCGAGTTACCACAGCTAGCCTGTGACGATCGGTATTGATAGCTTCAGTTCCGAGTCAGCTTGATGCTATCCGTATATGATGTCACGTAAAGGGTGGCTATGATCATGAGTCAGTTTATCACACAATCGATGTCTTAGGCTGTGCGATGCCAGAGTGAGCACTGATTGGCGGAGCCGCAGTCTCTGCCATTCTTGGCGAGCAGCTGATGCAAAAAAGGGAGAAGGGATGGATAATGTGAGGATAATTCACGAAAATGATGAGTATGCGCACCATTAATGCTATGAAGATCAATATGCAATCTACATGTATGATGCATGTCGACACCAGTAGCTGTCGCTGCCTGCACCTCACCGAGAATCTCAGTGGCTGATAGCGGCCCCTGCCTTAGCCGCTGCAAGGGACCTCTTTCCCCTGTGGCCGGTGCCTTGTGACCACTGAGACTCTCCCGATTAGCGGACCAGGGGCCCCGTTTAGGCCTAGCTGCAGCGTGCCAGGCACTGACCGCCCGCATCATTCAGTTGAACTGACGCTATCGGAGCTGAGCTGTGCTGCGGTATTACGGCATGCGTTATCTCGTGCTGGCTTATCCCATTTTGACTTTCAATACCTTTCTTCCATCATCATCATCACCATCCTTCATCTCTCCTTATCTCTCTCCTCCTTCTAATCACCTCCCTCCCTTTTCCTCTTTCCCGTACCCATCTCGATATCACCACCACGATGGCTGTCCTGAGCCGATTGGCCCTCACGGCCTCGTTTGCCCTCAGCGCCTCGGCTGCTGGGCTCGGATCCTGGCAGCAGAGCCCGTTGACGTCTCCCTCCTCGCTCTCGTCGTCGCAGGACTCGAAGCCGCTCATTAGCACCGAGGCCCTGCAAGAGGCCATCAGCATCGATGCCCTCGTGAAGCGCGCTGAAAAGTTCTACAAGTTTGCCCAGAGCTCGGAGGAGGACTACGGCCATCCGACTCGAGTCATTGGCAGCACTGGTGAGTCGTCAGCCAACTGGTAGCGGTTGTGACATCAGCTAATAGCAATTATCTTACTCCAGGCCACGAGAGGTCGCTCAACTACATTGTCAACACTCTGCTCGACCAAGGCGACTACTACAATATCTCTACCCAGGAGTTCCCGGTGACGCTGAGCAATGTCTTCGAGTCCCAGCTTGTTCTCGGCAGCAGCGTGTCCAAGAGTGCTGTTCCTATGGGCTTGACGCCGGCAACCAAGGACAGAGAGCCTGTTCATGGCCAGCTGGTGCTCGTAAACAACGACGGCTGCCACGACTCCGATTACCCCAAGAACGTCAAGGACAACATTGCTTTTATCCGCCGAGGAGCCTGCGCCTTTGGCGACAAGTCCATCGGAGCTGGAAAAGCCGGCGCCAAGGCTGCTGTCATCTACAACACCGACCCCGAGGAGCTCCATGGCACGCTGGGCGAGCCAACCAAGTACCACGTTGCGACATTCGGCATCGACGGCGTGGAGGGCACCGCCGTTGCTGAGAAGCTTGGCAAGGGCGAGTCCGTCAGCGCCATTGCCTACATTGACGCCGAGGTCAAGCAGATTCAGACGGTAAATGTCCTGGCACAGACGGACGAGGGAGATCCGGACAACTGCGTCATGCTCGGTGGCCACAGTGATGGCGTTGCCGAGGGCCCTGGCATCAACGACGATGGCTCCGGCAGCATGTCTGTTCTGGAGGTAGCCGTCCAGCTGGCCAAGTTCAAGGTGAACAACTGCGTTCGCTTTGCCTGGTGGGCCGCCGAAGAGGAGGGTCTCCTGGGATCCGACTTTTACGCCGCCAGCCTGTCCGAGGAAGAGAACCAGAAGATTCGCCTCTTTATGGACTACGATATGAGTAAGTGTGCCTTGTAATAGGCATTAAGGAGACCAGCTACTGACTAGCCTTCTTTTAATAGTGGCCAGCCCCAACTTTGCCTACCAGATTTACAATGCAACCAACGCGCTTAACCCTGCCGGCTCTGAGGAATTGCGAGACCTCTACGTCGATTGGTACAAGTCCCAGGGACTCAACTACACCTTCAGTATGTTTCTATCCGTGCCTCCCGCGCCGCTTTTTGACTGGAGATTAACCAGTTCATAGTTCCTTTTGACGGCCGTAGCGACTACGACGGCTTCATCCGCGCCGGCATTCCTGCTGGTGGAATTGCCACTGGTGCGGAAGCCGTCAAGACCAAGGAGGAGGAAGAGATGTTTGGTGGTCATGCCGGACAGTGGCTCGACCCATGCTACCACCAGATCTGCGACGACCTGGGCAACTTGAACCACACTGCGTGGGAGGTGAACACCAAGGTAAGCTTTTCTATGGGAGGCAGTCTATTAGTGGCATAATACACATTTGCTAACTGTTCTACGCAGCTTATTGCTCACTCTGTTGCCACCTACGCTCTGTCTTTTGACGGATTCCCCAAGCGTGAGCAAGAGACCACGATTAACTCGTACAGCGAGACGATCAAGCAGCACGGTCCCAAGTTGATCATGTAAATGGGGGATGTTTATGTCATTTCGAATGCTATTTACGGATGCGCAACTATATTGGAGGGAGATGAGAACATGGCATGGAGATTTTGGATATTGTAATTTTTTATTTTGGCTACAGAGTACATGTAGACTATTCTTAACAGCGAGCATACCTGAGAAGTACTAATTCAAGCTACTGATATTGAACTCATTCATATACGCACAAATGAGTTGCTTTGTAAGAAGTTTTCATACTTTAATTCAAACGAAAGAAGCAGAAATATTTAGAGAGATGCAAAATATATGTATAAAAAAGTATGAAGACAGACAATTTCCAATATTTCCCCCAAATGCGTTTTCCCCATGGCGCCGTTCGCTTTATTTCCAAATGATGTGGCTACAGTAAAAAAACATAGAATAAAAAACCGAAGGATGAGCATATTGTGAAAGAGAAGGGACTCGCTCTCAACGTAATAGCGATAAATCAATGATCAATGGTGGAAACTTTTCCTTCATCCCCTTGATTTATCGGTCATATACCGCAGTATAGGCGGCTCTCATTACAACTTCACCTAGGCCACAGCGTGCTCGTTGACGCCGAAGCAGCTCCCCCAGAAGTGTCATTTGACCGTCTTCCGTCGAATGCGGTGCTTGAGCGGGTTCTTGAATTTAATCATCTTCTTTAACCGCATGGGCTCCTCCGCGGGAGTCGTGCTCGCGGGAGCAATGGCTGAAGCATCCAGCGGCACTGTAGTAGTATTGGGCGTCGTGTTCATGCCGGCGCTGCTGCCGGGCGGCAGAGCAACGACCGGCTTCTGGAGAATGACACGCAGCATCTTGCTGGTGCCCTGCTGGCCCGGGTCGAGTTGCATGAGCTCCACGAGGTCGTCGCTTACTCGCTGGGCGAAATCAAAGGTGTAGAACTCGTTGTCGCGGAGTTCGAGGGTGAGGACTGGGAGAGGAATCATGGAGAGGACGGGGATGTCGGCGAGATTGTAGCCGGAGAAGATGGACCAGAGCCGAGGCTGGGGAGCCGCAGCATTAGCAGCGGCAGCGGCAGCAGTAGTAATAGCATCGCCGTCGGATGTGGGCTGCTGGCCGGACTGCCCCGACGTGGATGTTGACGCTGAGGCTTCCGAGATGGACGAGGCTGAGGATGTGCGGTCGGCGGGTAGCCGCGGCGCATTCTGGGCTACGGGCGCATAGTTGGGGATGGGGATGGGGCGCCGGGCCATGGATCGCGCGCCAAAGGAATCTCGCAGCCGGCGCATGCGGAGGGAGAGATCGCTGTTGGAGGAGAGCAGCCTCGTCATCCGTCGCTCCAGGCCGAGCCTGCTGTTCTGCGCATCTTGTTCGCCAGGACTGGAGTTTACTTCGGGTTAGCTTGAATGAAGCCAAAAATAGCAACAAGACAAATATCGGACGCTTTGTGTTTCTACAAGATTACGCGCTGAGTGGGCTAGAAGGGGAAGGTGTATGCTTACCACTTTAGGATGGTCATCATCATGTTCATGGACAGGTTATGCCACCGTATCCTGGCGGACAAGCTCGACAGTTTCTGGGAATGCTGCGCGCACGAGGCGATTCGCGCGGACAGGTTTTCGCAAACCTCAATGGGCACGATGGCCTCTTGCAGGTCGGATATGGCGAGGACAGCGTCGGTCAGCGTGGCGATGAGGTCGTCGATGCTGATCCAGGTGGCGCGATCGGGGTAGGGCAGCTGGCCAGCCTCGAGAAGGGAGAAGTTCTTGTAGAGAATGTGCACCGAGGAGCGGCACTGCTTGACTTCCTGGAGCGCCTTGTTGAGGATGACTGTGTCGCGGCCAGGGCTAGTGTTCATCTCGTAGAGCGAGTCGATGGTTTTGCCGCCAATGGCCAGCAGCCCGATGATGGCGGTGGTGACGCAGAGCTGCTCGAGGATGGGCACCGGGGCCGCAGGCGGAGGCGTGGTGGCCATGATGGATCTGTCTGTCCCTTCTCACTGGGTAGCAGAGATCCCCTTTGTCGAGGTATAGGGATATGTGCGTGGGCGTATGCGGGCGCAGGAGTGTCTGCACTGCCGAGGCGCTGCCCCCTTCGCTAATCTGCCACAAACGCGGAAGTCAATCGATATCGCCAAGCCACGATTGCTTGGCCCTGCTTGGCGCTGAGTGGAGGGCGGATGCGAACAAGTGGTGAAGTGACGTGATTGTGCGTTTGCGACGAGGCTGCGGTTGCGCGGATGTTGGTGGTTGTGGTTATGGTTGCGGTTGCGGTTGCGGTTGCGGCTGTGCGGTCCTCAACACGGTGGCAGCTTCAGGCCATCATCACGGCCTCTGGTCTGCTTGTATTGTGGACGCTCGGTTCCCGTATTCCGTTCCTCTGCCTCGATTTGTCTTGCTCTTCTTGTCTGTCGCGTCCTTGTATATGTCCTTGTTCCTCTCTATTTGCCACTCTTCTTGTTTTGGATTTTCGTCGGTCCAGATGTTCGGTCGATGGCCGAGAAAGCGAAGACGTTTGCTATCGCTCGTACCGCAGAGGCAAAGTGTTGGAGGTGGCCAAAAAGGGCAGCAGCAGCGACCGGAACGCAGAAATAGAGAGCGCTAGCACGTCAGAAGAAGCAGCTGCTTGTCGAGGCTTTCTTGGCAGCAACCAACAGAGCGATGGAGAGATTGTGCAAGAGAGGGAGAGACACAGAGCGGAGAGAGAGAGGAGAATGGAGAATGACTTGGGACTCAGACTGTGAGACAGACAGACTCGGACCCCCGGGCTGGATAAAAAGGATCGCTTCACTGACCGAGATGCCAGAAGCCAACTGCAGCGCCTGCTGGCCTCTGCACTGCGCGCGCACGGCAAAAGGGCCATTTGATCGTCCTCTGCTCGACTCGCTTTTTTTTGTGGTTCCCCGCCTTGCAAAGCCTCCCTGGCGACGTTTGGTTGACCACGGAAAATCGGCATCTCAGCATCTGGCATCTGCGCCAGCGTCGGTCGCCTTGCGGGCCCTTCCGGCCGTATCATCCGAGTAGGCCCAGCCGGCGGGCCAATCGCAGGCGCGCGCAGTGGCCTTTGGGGTCTCTAGGAGGGGGCCTGCTTAGGTGCTTGGGTGCTTAGGGGGGGCACGAAAGCTTCGATGCTCCCACGCTGGCCGCTAGAGCACGGGGGGGTTGCTGAGGTCGTTCAGCGGGTTGAGGCCTGAAGCGCTGTGGCAGCTGCTCTGCTGGGCTGGGCCACACCACACAATGCGCTGCTCGGCGAGACGTTGCCGGTGGAAGCGGGCTTTGCTGGCACTAGGCGGTTGGGGGGCATACAGTGCGGGGGGGAGACGAGGGCGCAAATTGTTGCCGTTGCCGTTGCCGTGGGCCAGTTGGGATCTGCAGCCATCTGGTGAGCATTGATTATGTCGCATACATGCACGTACATATATATCAAGCAGCATCGCTATTCTTAATGCTTGCTGCTACATGTCATAATCGTACATGTGCCCAGATGTTGATTGAACTATGCTGTTTCATTATTATAGGCAGCGCAGTCCCCCCGCTGTGGCAGATTCATCTGCGACATGCACTTGATGTCAACATTGAAATCTTTTGAATGCAAACACGCACTGTGGGCGTCTCAAACAGTTGAAACGCTGCTGAGGCCATCACCGCCAGACTCGGGTCAGATCACCTGCGCCAGGCTGGCTCTAGGGGCAGCTGCCGGCTGGTAGGTGCCGAGCAGCTCCGCAGTGGACGCTAGGCGGCGCTGCAGCAGTTGCGGTGCTGTGGAGGAGTTTCTGTCAAGTATCAGCACGTACCAGATACGGCACCGCGGGCAGCAGCGAGTGATGGTGATGATGGCGTTACTCGAGTTCTGGTGTTTGTCCTGTAGATAGCACGGTATATATCATAGACACATTGATGATATATGCTGCTATGCTTTGTACCTGTTACTCCATGGCACCCAATATCACAGCAGCGAACAAGGAGCTCAAAAAGGAGACATGAAAGACCACGTGTGTGGACTGCATCTGTATCTGACAGGTCTGATAGTCTGATACCAGGTACCGTACCCTACCCTACGTCGTCAACGCAATGGGAGATACAAGAAAAGTTGTTGGGTGGAGGCGCGGCTTTGAGCCTGAAGCCGCCAGCAATACGAAGGATACGAGGGAATTGTATCTCCTATCAGACACCACAACAAACCCTGCACCTGCATGGCAATCAGCCCGTCTCCGACTTGGGCCATCAGGTTCAGGGCACTGTCACTCCTCATATCTATTCAGTTTCTATCGACATGTTTGATATTCGGCCAGATGCCGGGGCTGGATGACACCTATACATGTGTACTGCGCCGCACTGTTCCCAGGACCGCATGTATCGGTGACTACATGTGGATGACGTCTGGGGCAAGGATTTCAAATACTTGAATGGCAGTAATGGAGATGCAAAAAGGACTGGAGCTTTCAAAAAGAAGAAGACAGTGGGAGATGGTAGTCATAGGATTAATAAAACTTTGTATAATCTCCATGTTCTACTTCAAAGTTGGATATGTAGTAAACACGCAAAGGATTGGATGAACTGAATGCAAGATACCCCTAATCGCTTGTACCTGCAACGGTGCATGTACTTCGTGCTTCATATCAGCACTGTACGACCATTGTTATATCACGCAACCTCGATAACAAAAACATCACCGCATCATTCCAAACAATCCTCCCGTCCCTGCATAACGCCAGCACAGCACGCCTCCTCTCCCCACGACCACGAGTACCGTCTTGCTGCTACACATTTCTTTTCATATCTTCCAACATCTGCCGAACAACTGCAGCTTGCTCGCCGACGTCGCTCCCACAAGCGCTAAACCAATATTTTTGAACCTACCAATAATCTACATGTACCGACCTAAAATACGACCACCTAGATCGTTGCCGCTGTCGAATCGGTCCTCAGACGCCGTGCCCTTGGTTGGCTCGTTTTCTTCATCAGGCACTGCTGAGAGCACTGCCGTACTATTGTCTGAGTTTTCAAGGCCATTTTGGTTTTGGGATATTGACGGCGCGAATTCTTTGTTCACGTCTCCAACACTCAGTGTTGATTGACGGAGAAGGCACAATCCTTTGAGCTCTTTTGAGCCATTGAGACTGATTGCGACTGCGCCATCCCCTTTGCTTAGTATCGAAGCGCTTCGACGAGACAGCTTTAGCTGCGAAAATAATTCCAAAATCCTCTTTACGACCACGGCGCACATATGTCTTTGATCTGATCGTTGTTCGCTTCTATATGTTGATGGGTGTTGTTATACTAACGGGCTGTAGGCACGGTCAGCAGCTGACGTCCTGTTTTGTTTCCTCCACGAATTTTTCTCGAAGCTGGTGGCCGGGTTGGACAAAGGTGTATCTTGAAGTCACCGTAACTGTTTGCTGACTTCGTATTGATGGGTTAGACAAGACACACCTTTGGGATACGATCATACTTCCAGGACTTTTATCCTATTGGCTTTACATCTTGTCGGATCAACAAGGCTTTATGCAACAATCATTCCATATTTGTACTGAAATTTCATCGAAGAATACTCCCTCGATCTGCTGAGCAACCTATATGATCATCTTGTTCAAAAACAGCACTGTTGCTGAACAGTCAAGTTGACTCAGCTTGGACAGTGTGAACAATACTAACGTTATACATGTAGTTTTCAACTGCGATTTCGCGCGCTAAAGTATACATAAACGCCCTCGTTTGCCATACTTCTCTATCGCTAGCTGTTGCAAAGAAACAATCATGGCCCTGCCATACCAGTCCATTCCACGCATTGGACTTGTCGTTTCAACGTCAAAAGATTGCATGTGATTTGTTACATGTAAGTGGCTTGTCCCTGCAGCTGCCAAGACGACGAACCGATCCTAGCCCATGCCAAGTCTTGGTTACCCGGATAGACCAATGACACTCTCCAGCCCCAGAGAGCCAAGTCTTCGGCATTCCGCGGCTGAGACCCGCAAGAATGTCATAGTGGAGTAGCTGCGAGTACCAACACATACAGATTTCTAGCGTTGGATCATGCCCAAATCGATGGTAGTGCCCTGGTTGCTTGGCTGTGTTCAGAGGCAGCCCAAGTTGGGAGCTCAGCCCTGCTCAGTCTTCACTCCCTCGCCTAGCTTCATGTCTCCAGAGTGCTTGTCGTAATTTGTGTCTGCACTTACAAATTTTGAACACAAAATGGCCCTTTGCGAATCTCAATTGCAATGCCCAAGGTATGATAGTGATGACAGCCATGGCTCCAGCCAACCAATGATGCCGTTAAGTCTATACGGTTGTTAAGAAGCTGAGCCAGTATTGTTCCAGCTACTCATTGGTAGATGATTCACTTTACTGCAACTGTTGACTACTAAGAGCCGTTGGCTTGATTAGTTATAATACGTATTGGAACCATGAAGACTTTCCCAAGATCCAGAATTCTAGCCATGTGCCGTAAACAACAATGCAGCAAATAAGCAGTTGAATGAAATATGAAGAGTAACATACACGTGGCACATTGATGAGGCTTTTGAGGCTTACCATCCTATAAGATGATTGCCCGATTTTCAGGGGCCTGCGGCTCTTGTGGATGGTAGGTTGGCTAGAGTAACTGTCAGAGGCGACTTGAGTGGTTTTGGGTAGTGATATATAAAGAGAATGAGTTGAATTTCTGAGTCTAGATGCTTTTTAAGACTCCTACTAGTAGTTCGGCTAGTATACAAATGTAAATCCGCGATACGCCTCAACTGCCTCCTGGACCTTGTCCACATAGTTGTCGAACCCTCCCATGTACCAAAGCACATGCCTTCCACTCTTGGGCTTTCTAACCGTGTTATGATCGCTGAAAAAGTAAGATTCCCCTCCATAGTACACAGTCTGCTTTATGATCGCGTCACACAATTTCACCCAATCGTCTTCAGCTTGCTGAGTAGCATCTACAAGGACGGTATTGCTGCCACCTGCTGCAGATTCTTCCTCTTTTCTCATCTTGTCCGCTTTTGAGATAAGCTTTCCAATCATTTCGGCGTGGAATTCGGCATGTTGTGGTATGTTGGCGAGCGATGACTGGGGTCCGATGACGAAGAAGAGGTTGGGAAACCCAGCTTTAAGGAGTCCGAGGTATGAAGTCGATCCTTCAGCCCAATGCTCGCCCAACGTTGTCCCATCAGGCCCAGTGATGGTGATGTCTGCCCAGGTCCCGTCGGACTCATAACCAGTTGCGTAAATAATGACATCTAGCTCATATAGCTTTTCTGTGGTTTCGATACCCTTTTCGGTGATCCCAGCCAATGGAGTCTTTTTCAAGTTGACGACATCCACGTTATCTTGATTGAAAGCCTCATAGTAGCCAGAACTGCAGACAGGGCGCTTGTCATATAAGGCTTCTGGCGGTGGCATGAGCTTCTCACGCTTCTCACGCTTCTCGGGATCTTGAACAATCTGAGCAATTTTTTTGCGGAAAAATTTACAAAGCTCCCGATTTGCCGCTTCGTTTGTCATGATGTCTGAAAATGAGGCAAAGGTAAAAGCCAAGCCATAGATATGATTCCAAGTCGCCTCAAAGACTTTCTCACGTTCCTCTTCGCTAACGCTGAAAGTTGTGTAATCGGCCGGGACCGGGTCGAAGCCAAACCCTGCCCCACACCGCCGACATTTTTTGAAGAACTCGTCATAGTTTTTGTTGACATTGTCTCTGTATTCAGCTGAGACGGGACCTTTGTTGTTCGGAATCACATATTGTGCCGAGCGTTGGAAGGAAATCAACTGCTTCGCCTCTTTTGCCAGACCGACTAGGAGAGCAGCGCCAGAAGAGCCGGTGCCAACGATTCCAACTCGCTTACCTTTGAGGTCACGATGCTCATCCCAGAGTCTAGCAACACTAAAGTTAGAAAGCCTTCATCACTCATGGTAGTTGGGGCTTACCCTGTGTGATATTGCTCGCCAGCAAACTTTTCTTGTCCAGGGATAGAAGGCCAAACGATCTTGTTAAAGCGTCCGGTGGCGAGGATCAAGTACGTAGCCTTGAAAGTCTCTCCAGTAGATAGTTGAACCATCCATTTAGAATCAGATTTATCAAAATTAGCAGATTTCAACTCAGAGGAGAATTGCATATGCTGCCTCAAGTTATGGCGCTCCACAACATGGTTCATGTAAGCCTGGGTCTCTTTCTGAGGCAGAACATGAGTTGGCCAAGGATATGTCAACAAATCTTCTTTATCCCAGCTGTACCTATAGACTTCACTGGGAGCGTCGCTGGCTGCATTTGGCCATTGGTTCCAATACAAACTCCTCCAACGTCGGGGGCTTTTTCAAACAATTTGACCGAAAGCCCAAGCTGGCGGAGTTGGTAGAGTTGGTTGATGCCAGCAAACCCGGCTCCAACGACAATAGCATCAAATGATTGCATGTTGTAAGGTGGAATGTGTTACTTGATGCTGCTTACTTGAAATAGAAGACTGATGGTGGATGGGCAGAATGTACGGGAACTGGGACTGGTATATATACTCATAGAGAGGCGGTATTATGATTGATCTGCCTCCTATATTGAGAGATTTTTGCGACACTGTGTGATATGGATTGACGGAATCGAAAGGATTCACAAAATCCAACAGTTGGTAAGCCAAGAATCGGCTGCGCAAAGTGGAATGGGGGGTAGAGGAGGAGCATCCAAGGAAATTTTCTCATCAGATGGTGTAATGCTCATTGTTACATTAATAATTTTACTCAAACGTCATAGGCAGGCAGCGATGTACTTTTCCACACCATCTTTGTACGACTTTAGTTTGTCCTTAGCATAACATGTTTCTAGGAAACATCTAAGAAGGATGTCGTCAGGCTCGCAGAGCCTTGTGGCTGACTAGTAGTCCCCAACCTGAGTAGATAACTGATGTCGTAATTTATTCTTGTTTCGCATAGAAAAAAATACAATACAATGTAACTATCATACGTGAGGTCAAACTAAGATAAGCATACCAAACTTCACGCATCAACAGCTCCAGTCTTGGAGTCGTTGCCTGGCCGTCAATGTAACCAGTGATGAGGCCAAGGCTGCTGTTAATGCCATTTCCCTTCCTCTATGCGGCATCAGCAAGCACCAGGCCCGAAATAATCTTGCCGATTTACTCTGCAGCAAAAGAAGGAATTTCAAATCATTGTGTTCCAAGCATTTGTATAAATTAATGACAACATCCATTGGCATCACCCCCAGCTTCCTCATCGTTGAATCCACTCCAACTACAACTACGCTCATATTCACAATCCACTAACACAAAGACTGTTTTACAATGAAGCTCTACGTTGGCAACGACACTTGTGCGCGAGCCGCCCAGCTGGTTGCTAACGAACTTGACGTTAGACATGAACTTGTTTATGTCGACGTCCTTACCAAGGCTACGTCAAATGGAGAGGATTTTGCAACCATAAATCCCCTTCTTTATGTCCCTGCTCTTAGACTAGATAACTATGACCAGGACCATCACTATCTCTTCCTACTTGGCCGACCAGGACCCAGAATCTGGAATGCTTCCACCGCCTGGTACCTTGGAACGCGTGAAGGCAGACCAGTTCCTAGTTCAGATTACGACTGAAATTGCGCAGAAACATGTCCCGCTTATTCTCAAGATGATGACTGAAAAAGGTATACATATCAGCCTTGGGAAATCCCATTTTAATTGTTGTTTGCATGCTAACAACTGAGCAAGGCACTCAAATCTATACCAACAGGCTTCTGAAAGCATATCAACTTCTGGATGATCGCCTTGCAGACAAGTGCCCTACCTATTTGGCGAAACTTTTACTGTAGCCGACGCCTATGTCTGGGGTACTTTTTGGAACAACCGCTCTGGTGTAGATATCAATCAATTAAAGAAATCAGCAGCGTGGAAGGCCCGCGTTGACGCTCGGCCTGCTGCAATCAAAACGCTGAAGGAAGAGGCTGAGATGGTGGCAATTTATAAGGCTCAAATTGAATCTCAAGGCAGCTAATTGGTGGGCTAGAGAAGCAGGAATGTCAAACAGCAAAGAGTTTTTTAGATCTTCAACGAACAATAAAGGCAAAACCATATAGACTCGAGAATTAGCTTCACATTTGGAACTATTACCAATTTAGGGATAGTAATAACAATTGAGCAATTACAGCCGTTTTCTCTAAATTCATCGTGTTAGGAATTTCCACTCCATTCAGTGACAGAAGAAAAAGACTCCGGTGTTGAGAAATACCACAGAGTCAGCATACTTTTTTTCTTTTTTTGTGGAATAAGGATAAAAATTGTCTATGAGTACAGACCACGACTACTCGTACAACTCGGACATCACCAACCTCTGAGCCCCCTACATCCATAAGAGAGTGGGGGTCGAAAAATAAAGTGCAGGATGACAGGATCCAACACGTCACTCCTTGGGACCGAAGAACGAAGTGTAGCCGAGGCCATCTGTCTTAAAGCGGTAGGCAATCTACGTTACGATGTTAGCGATGAAGTGGTAAAAAATACCTTGATTAGCATTCTCGCAACGCCCAAAATTACAGGGACGGCCGGGTCGTTACCGAGCCGATTATTGCAGTGACGGTTTATATGTCCTAAATACTTACTTAATTCCTCTGATGTTATTTGCGGTCGTTCTAAGTGTCCTCTCTAGGCATTTAGTCCCGCCGGGAGTAATGCTTACACTTTTAGTAGCACTGTCGCTACACTACTAATTACCAACGGAGACCCGGAATCCTTTCTTAATAACACCAATGAATCTCTAGAGGCGTCATTGTAACAGTAGCATCCGCCTGTAGTTTAACATTATTGCTGCTGGTCTTCCTAGTCCGAGATTATCCCGAACCTTGGCCACTGCCTAGCTGCACTCTGCCGACCCCGACGAGACTGTCTGATGCTAATGGCTTGAAGAGAGCAATTGCTGATGAGTTTATGGCCATGTTCAAAATAATGATATCTGGTGACTCGCGCGGACAAACAATATGTTCCGAGCTGATAAGCGATCTTTTTCGGATGAGGTTCCTCCGGGACAATTGGGCTGAGCCGAGAACTTCGAAACGTTAAAACATTGAATCCCAGAATGAAGTCGTGCCATGCCACCACTCGATTCAATCCGTACATGTGAGAATATAGTCACCAGGTCCTGCAGATTGGCGAGACGCCTAGACTTTAGCTGCGCATCTGCGCATCCTCTTTGCATACGCCGTGCCAGTTTCTCAGTGACACTACTCATATGGACCAAGAGGCTCGAAAATACCAAAAAGGGTGATGCATGCATATGCGAATCTATCAGTTATGCCCTGATGTAATACGCCTGATTCCTATTGTAGAAGCGATCGGCGGTATAAACCATAGGTTCGCGGAAAGCTTCTGAATCTTCTGGTTGCAATGTAGCCTGTTCAATATAATTTCGGCGTTTTCGGCTTCTTAGAGGAGAGAGTTCGGGTCCAAATGGCTACAGAAATATTACAGAAATCTTTTCATCTTTAGGATCGGAATGCTTGCAGATCCTCGTCTTCCTTGGCCTCTATACTAGGTACTTGTACGGAGCGGGATAATCTCAGCTCGTCGTCATGAGAACCAATTAACGCTAAGCTTACCACAGCATCGCAATTTTCGCCAAGGATAATCTTAGGTCTCCATCTTACATGGTTATATCTGGGTCCCGCTCGGCATCTTCCTTCCCCGATAGTCGGCGGCAGACTTATCTGCATAGCTTACGAACTGGATTCTCACAACTGATGTACAAGACCCAATATGGCAGGAATTGTACGGGGAGACAATTACCTACAAGGAGCGCTTCCAGACTCCATGAAAGATAAAGGACATAGTTTCTAAGAGGATAGCAACTTCTATTCCCGATGTGTTGTATTGGATCTGAAATTCTGCAAGTTTAAGCAGCATCGCGGGAAGATATCTATCCGTGCGTTAGAACCGGTTATCTCGGGGAAAGGAATAGTCAGCATTACATAGGTATTCCCGCAGACGCATGCAATGACTGCATGTGCGCACTTGAGTGGAAACGTAAACAAGGGTACGGTAAGAAGAAGCAAAGAACAGGGGATGCGCCGTAAGCAGAAGTTTCCGGAAAGCGAAGAGTCTCAAAAAGGACTTGACTAAGGGGTCAGCTAACTGTAAAATACATGGATGGAGACCATCATAAAGTTACTGTATTAAAGAAAAATCCCGATAGCAGATGATACAGGAAACACGGGAGTTCAGACGGATTTTGAACATTGAGCCTGCACTTACTCCATAGTTGTCTCTCTATTGTTTCCCTGGATGATTGTGGCTCAACTTCCGCAGATAAATAGAGACTGGACATCCAAAGCAGAGGTATTCGTTAATAATTTACTACTTACACGTAGATGCGCCGCGCAGCGCAGAATTCAGGCCAGTTTTGTAATTCGAGGTGGTAGTACTAGTTGTATGGCAGTTTTGTGCTACAGCACGTACATGGAAGAGTGCAATCAGGAAACAAAGTCCAGTTGGTAATAATTTACAACATGTAATTGTTACAATGCCGCAATCCTGACTTTGAATATGCAGTGAACGCTAAAATAAAAATTCGGCTAATTTGACTTTAAGTCAAACATCAACTCAATTGGAACCCAATACATAAAAATTACAAAACAACCGCAGACACTTCTAAATCCAAAATCTTTCACAGCTCGCTCTTTTTAGACAGCGTTGCTTTTGCAGAGTTTCCAGTCGACGCCGTCAATGCTGGGTAGAGATCGCACTCAGAATCGGCCGCGTTAGGGCAATCGGCTGTCAAGCAAGTCGACTGCAGCTGTGGCCCTTGAGTCTTGATTATTGACGTAGGTCCGCCGCAGCGAACAGCGAAGACGTTGTAGAGATTGTCGCTGAAGATCTTGCCGTCTGCGGTGGAAAATCCTAGTGATTCGGCAGCGGCGACGTGCTGGTCGATGAAGTATTTGTTCTGGGCGTAGTCGAGGTTCATGAACTTGTGCGACTGGTACATGGATGCTGCGCCAGCATAAGCAGGGAAGGCAGGGTATCCTTGATAGGAGCAGCCGATGAGGGTGCCGAAGTATTGGTAGAGGTGAGTGATGAGGAAGCTTGAGGAAATGATTAGCATATGCGAATTGGGCTTTGGCATGGCCACTGGGAATAGTTGGCTGAATACGCACTATTGGTTGGAAGTCTCGTCGTCGGCAGGCTTGTTCTGTAAGAGAGGCGCCGGGCCGCCACCGTCAAGGAAGTTGACAGATATTCCATGGCAGTCTCCTCTGTTCGTCGTGGCCAACTCGCCGCTAAAGTATGGCAGCAGGTTGACGTTTTCACCATTGACTACCGCTGGCGCGAGGAGACCGGGCACTGCGATGCCAACATTGGGAGTTGTGTCTAAGAATGCTGAGTTAGCGACGAGTGAAGTTTATCGGGTCTGGAGAGCGTGTAGCTGCGGGATTCAACTTACAGTTTCCAAGAATCACAGTGTTGACGAGAAGAGTGATCAGTTGAAGCTGATTCTCTGGCGTGTTGTCTTTGCCAAGAAGAGTCTTTGTGTAGTAATCACACATCGATACATCGGCGGGTCGCTGGGCGTTTGCTGCCGCCGCAGTCAACACGAGCAGAGCGTTTGAAAGTCTCATCTTGCCTCTTTCTCAAGCAGACCAATTTGCTCCAAGACAGTCTGGGCGATGAAAGAATGGTTCACGACCACAGTTTGTGCGCTGGGGGCTTATAAATCTATATAGCAGTGGCATATGCGGAAAAAGCTTGTCGTCCCCAGCTTATCCGCAGCCCGGCTCCTCATCTTTATCCTCCCCTGTTCAATAAGCACCACACGAGAGCTAATAGCTAGGGATGCTGCATCGTGATACGTCATGGTTCCGGCTAATGCAGCTTACAGCATATCAGGAAGCGGAAGCATGCGCATCTAGATAGACAGCGTTGTGCGAAGTAGGTACCCGGTAGGCATAGCATAACCATCTACATGTACATGGACTTCTCAAGAGTTCAATGTCAATCATACTAGAGCATAAATGAACGTTGAATGGCTTCTATCTGTAAGTGCATAAATGGCTACCAATTGGCTTAACAAAATCACACATGAGTCTGTATAGCTGTGCTCTTATACCACAACATGATGTTCGGGGTGAGGACTATGTACTAGATGTGTGCTCTAGTAGTATATCAATATAATATTACACACTTGACCCCAATTGGATGTAGATCCTTTGTGTAGCAGTGATGCGTATATATTTTCTTCCCAAAAAAAAAAAAACTCGCCTATTGCCGTAATTACAGGTAAGCACTATATTAGCGGTGTGATTATGTACAGAGGCCCTAACGCAGCATGGTATTACAGCCTTCGTGTGTATCCAATACGTACCTGGCAGTTGACACGTAAAATGCAGGATTCAGCTGGCTTACGTAGAGGCATCCTTGAGTTCCTTCAGTCATCCAATGACACAAAACCTGTTACCTATACACCTGGGTCATGAAGCAGCTGAAGACCAGGTTTAATGCAGGCAGAGCCTGCTAGCAGCACTCAGCTAGGCTCATAGCTAGCGGGGGTTTCTTTTCGTATCTAGGCATCTAGGCTTGAAAAGCATCTCAGTACATACCGTTCCAAGCGTTAGTGATTTAATATCCACTGTATTCTCTCCACTGCGGTTTCCATCCTGCTACTAGATGATCCGGGTTATTATTTACATTGGTGTTTTCCTTTACAATAAGATTGAAAGCACCACTGAAAACCCCCACAATTTTATAAGTTTTGTATTTATAAATGTCCATTACACAATTAGCACACATATTTGTTCATCATTGTTACAACTCATCCAATAGCACTTGGCATTCCGACGGTATATAACATTATCATCTCTATTACAGCTATTTTATCAGCAATGTGCCATGATCAAGATTTTTAAAAGCTAGTTCCTTTTCAATGCTTTTCAAGCAATACTATACTATAAATCAAGCACTGCTCCTTGCGCTAGAATTCTCTGCGTTGTACAGACTCTAGTAGCTGCCTACGACTCGATGCCCCTTAAAAACAAAAGATAACCTAGAAATTAGTGATCATAAGCCACAGTATATTGTCAGCGACAAGGATCGTTTGGGCTTCATGGCCGATATAGGCCAGGCTGAGTAAATGATTACGAGGAAGCAACATGCACATAATACCATGGAGTACCCCCCCCTGGTATACCTGCCAAGTTGTATTTCTGACAGATAAATTCAGCGAGCGTATTACTTGATCAAACGCTTGTTCAATTCAGGATGCTGCAGCTCGATTTCGAGGGAGAAATCTCGGGGTTTTTTCCACGGCCAGCTATTCACTGCTTATCCCAAGGATCTGGTATGATCCTCGATGCTCCATAAGAATCCTACGCAGCCCCAGCATTGGTTGTCTTGGGTAATAAATTACAAATACACTAGGATTACTTCATCTGTTCCTCATCTAATACTGTACTAGTAGTACTAGTGGATTATGTACTTGGTGTCCATCGCATATTGAGCAGCATTGATTATTCTACCTATTTTATTGTGCTAGTTTAAAAGGTTTCATCACAAGACAAAATATCCAATCAAAGGACAGCTACCACAGTAGTCAAGATTGTCGGTTTATGAACAATTTTACCTGGTAGCATAAGTATAGGCCTTGTGTGAGTCAATTGGTTCCTCCTCGTTCCAGTTTGACCAGTGCGGAGCTACATCTTTATCAACATTTTTATTTCACCATAAGCGCGGCAGAGTTCCGATAGGATGCGGTAGTGGCTCCCAAGAAATCCCAACGGATTTTTTATTCTTATTTTTATTTTTTATAAATTTTTATTTTTTTGCCGTTTCTAGAAAACGCTGCCTAGTAGTTATGAACGTGAATATCACGTGTCTAATATAGACGCATCAGAAAGCATTCTGTACACTCTCTTATAATGAACAAACAGCCACACGAGCGTGTACCATATATTCTGAAAGCGATTTCAAACTTCATAGGCCAGCCTCATTGACATGCCAATGACCTTGTTTGCTGGTACTATTGTTCGACCGACTACATTTTGCCTGGCCAGCACGCATGCGCATTCTCCTTCCGCCATAAAGGGTCATGAGCCAGAACAATTTCCACCTTGGAACCTTGAGCTTCTTGGCCCTTTGAGAATGCCACCACTCTATCCAAAGAACCTCGTGCTTCCCCAGTATCGACGTGGATGCTTCGCTGTCCACCATGTTCGTCATCGTACAATCCGATATTCTTTTCTCCCGTAATCAGGCGCCTATCATGGCAACAATCCGCAGCGAGATAAACCCATCGTTTCTCTCCAAGCCGAGCGAGCAAGTTCACATGTCCGTAAATGTGGCCAGGCGTATCAATGACATAAAGACTGCCGTCACCGAAGAAGTCCAGCGCGTTTGGAAACTCGCCCAGGGGCTTCCATGACCATGAAGCCGCCGCGGCTGGTGGCTTGACTTGGCTATTTGCTGGCACTGGCGTGTGCTTTGGGGCATATGGCTCGTTTCCATATTTGCCTGTGCGAGACACTGGTGGGAATTCAATGGTGCGGAGCGCAGGCAGCTCATCGTCGATGAAGAATTCACCGGGGCAGAGTGGCCCGGCACCATTCTTGAAGAGATTCAAAGTTCCAGATCCCACAGCAAATGTCGCAGAAGGGAAATCCGATGGCGTTCCCGTGTGATCGAAGTGAGCGTGGCTTATAATGATATAGTTAATGTCCTTGGCCGGATCCAAAAGAACGCCGCTCTGAGCTCCCGGAGCTCCAGCAACGCCATTGCGGAGGCTTTGAGCGCAGTCGGTGTCGGTGGTTATCGGCTCCCAGACAGAAAGACGCTCTTTCTGCGCGGGAGAATACTCCAAATCGCGCTTCATGCCAAGGTCAAAGACAAGGTTGGCTACGCTGCCATCGGGAGACGGATGCCGAATGAGAAATGAGAGAGTTGGAACGAGATTTTTCTTTACTGGGTCGGCATCGGTTACGAACATGCGCTCTGGCAGACTCAAATAGCCAGCATCCAGAGCGGAGATTGTAACATACACAGGTGAGCTATCAGACGCTGTCGCCATGCTGAACTTGGGATGAGTAATAAGCTTGTGTCGACTTGACTCGACGACTAACAGAACAAAGTGATGGCTTCCAATTTTGAGGTATTGTGTTCGTGTCAAAATGCAAGGCGCGCCTTATCAACCAATTCGCAAATCCCTCTCCCGATCCCCTCATTTCCCCCGCTTCATTGTGCAACCGCAATCAAAGCATTGCGCATTTACCTGCACCTAAATGATATCATGATGATTGCACTGATTAAAAAAAGGGCCAATTGCAATGTTAATAGCCGGTTGTAAGTTATATAAATACTACCTTGAAGGAAATTTTATAACAGAGGTGAAGGCTCGGATGTAGTCACTTCATGCTTTAGTCTTCTAGGCTTAAGTGGCTGTTGTGCTTTGATAAGCCACTCATGTAGCATCAACCGATATTACTAATGACTGATTACCACGGCGCAACAGCGGTCATCCGCACTCGAGTTGCTGGTACAGAGTCCGGAGAACGCGTTTGCCAGCATGGACGGGATCATAAGTTTTACGCCAGTCACAATGTTCACCGCATAGCCTTTGGACTTTGTACAAGAAATGCACATCAACTTCTGCAAAGGACTTTTTCGTATGCATGGATCAGTAACTCGGGTTACCCAATATACCATGTCGTCCATATAATCGGGATACTAATAAGCACTAAAATCTTATTTCAGCTTATTAGGCATTACGCTAGTACTAGCGGTAAGTGTTTATAAAATGTTATAAGGAAAAATAATAATACGAGAATACTACTACAAAACACTAAATGTGTTCTGAACGTAAATAGAGATACATCAAGGGCAATAATAACTTGAAGCTATAAGGAGTTTAAATACTTTTTGAACGTATATGATCGACTGGCCTCACAAGTTCATATAATAAATTGCAAACGCAATTGCAGATACTTGACCAGATCTGTTCTTCGGATCATTTTATTCCGCGCGATTGGATTTGTTTGACGTTGACGGCTCTCGATGCAGCGCCGAGGCGAAAACAGCTACGAGACGACAGGTACTCAAAACTAGCTTTGTATCAGACCATACACTTGTAGCGCTATATAGTATCGAACGCTGCTATTCATTTTTCATGCAACCAATTGAAGCTTTCATTAAATCTCCACCATTTCAGCCTAAGCACCATCTAGGCGCTCATCATTCGCTCTTTGGCAGACTCTTATAGCCATGCCAGACCAAAACAATAACAGCAGCAAACAAAGACGTCGCTCCCGTTAAAATGACCATGGGCTCATACTTGTTGCCCGCAAAATGCTCTTGCACAGTCTCTCTCGGCGCCATCAACGCCGCACTCAGCGGCCCAACCAAGATATTCCCCACGCCCATTAAAAAGACGAATATCGCATAGGTAGCAAACACGGTCGATGGATCATCGCTGACGGCCCGACCCATTGCCACGCGCATAGTGCCGAATCCGAAAGCAAAGAAGCCGTAAATGAAGCTGAAGACAGCGAGAAGAGGGAGCGACTTTGCCAGGCCCCAGAATGTGAAGGATGCGGTTGCAGCAAATGCGCAGCATATCGTCATTAACAAGCCCACGTGAAGATTCTTGTCTGAGAGGTAACCAAATGCAAATTGCCCGAGGACCTGTGCAATGGACATAAGAGATACCAGCAAGGCGCCATTGGTGGAGGAAATGTCAAAGATGGAGGCGTAAGAGGGCAAGAAGACGACGGGGAAGAAGAAGCCAACTCCTTGAACCAAGACCGCTGAGCCGTATATCCAAAAGAGAGGCTGCTTCAAAAAGTCCCAGTTAATCCTCGCCAGGTTAGCCTGATCCGAGGCTGGCAACCTAGCTTTGAAAAGCGGCAGTAACGGCGCAGTCAACACGGTCATGGCCACCGCGCAAGCCCGCAGCGTGACTTTATATCCATATCGTCTGAGGAGAGCATCAAGAATAAAAGGCAAAACAGCTCCCGTTGCGCCCGACGATGCAGATATCAGACCAAACGCCATGCCCTTTCGCGCCACCCACCACTCGTTCACCATGCTGACGATGGGCATGGAGATGAGCACGAAGCCGATGCCGTAGAGAGCCCCTTGCGTGGCGATGAGGCCGCTGACGGACGATGTGAAGGAGGCGGTCAAGAGACCTGTGATGCTGAGAACCCATCCGAGGTAAATTTGATGACGCTGATACTTGGGAAACTTCCTTGCTAACATTGCGGAAAATGGAGATCCAAAGTAGTAGAATCCGGTTGCTAAGACCCCAACGACGGGGATCCGGACAGCATCGTCTTTGAACTCGGGCACGGTGGAATAGTATCGCTGAAAGACACCAAAACAGCCGGGAAAACCTGTTTATTTAACGATCAGATAGCTGTTTACGGAAATATTCATTGCAGATGTGATTTACCCCAAAACAAGGCGTCGAAAGCAAAGGCCCCGAGAAGAGTGCACCAGGCATCTCGACCGCGGTCAACGGGTTTCAACTCTTGCGTGACAGGCTCATTCGTTTCATCTTGAACTCGGGAATAAGGCTGCGACAATTCGAATTGCGAGAGCCCTCTTTCAACCTCCTGATCCTGCTGAGTTGTTCCATTGTAATTTGGAGAATGCCGTCGTGACGACAGCTCGTATTCCACTGCGAGGGTCGTTTCAGTTGCACTCATGGTTCCTATTCGGCCTTGTTTCACTAATTGACGCCAATTGGATCAAACAACAACAACAGCAACTCTGCTTCAGACAGAAACAACAAGCAAAGAGAATCAAGACAATGCCTTCCAAGTCTGTTCTCTCAACGCCATTGATCTTTAACGTTTTTCTAGAACCTCCCTCTCCACAACTTTTAGTGCCCGGCAATCGCGATGTCGGAACCCGACCTTAGCCGCCCATCGCCAAGCCAGCGGGGTTCCATCAAAAACCCACCAAAGAGCTTCGGCAGTGACTCAAATAAGGTGAGTTTGCGCCTTTCTAGCGACAAGTAGACGCAAGCCGCGCAATCGCCCGTCGCCAATAGAGGGGTGCTTCGGCTATAGTTGAAGCCGCCCTGTGCCAAGTATACTGAAACGAGGCAGTTCACGACGAGATATCTCAAAGGCGCGCCTTGAATCTAAAGTCTATCAAAATTCCTTCTATCATCACAAGTCCTTCTATGCATATATCTAATTCCATCTAAGCCTTCGTCTCGCCATTCTCCTTCGGCTTCGCGCTCCCTCTCACAAACTTCGTATGATGTCCCTTCGTCACAAGCGTCCTCTTCTCCTCCCCATCCACCACCTCAACCTTTTGTATCAAAATCGTCACAAACGCCATCGATCCCCCAACCTTCTCTGCCGTTGCCACAATCTCAACGACATCTCCTGCGCCCGCCGCACTGCTCAGGTAGCTAATGTGCATGTCGACGCTCGCGCCCGTCTTTTCCCTCAAATCCCATGATGCAATGGCCAGCCCCGTCGTGAAGTCTATGAATGCCGCTGAGACCGCGCCGTGAAGGCCTCCCTTGGAGTTTAAGTGTGTAGATGTGAGAGTGAGGCGGCTGATGACTGTGCCGGCGACGACGGAGGTTTGCTTTACACCGGATAAGAAGATGTTGTAGATTGTGCTGTTTTGAGTGAGCCAGTGCGAGAGCTGCTCGACGTGGGCTGTTCGCTTGGCTTCGAGCGCAGTCTGCTCGGGGGATGGTGGCAGTTGCTGGGAGGCCATATCTGCGTCTTTTCCGCTCCTGTCTTTGTCTAGATATGAAGTGGCAGTGAGAATTGAGAAAGGCTGAAGATATGAAGTGCTGATGTTGAGGTCCGGTTCCGCTTGAGAATTTTCAGTGGGGAATTAACGCTACCACGCATAGCCGGCTTGGAGATGGGTGTAACTCACGCATACTCAAGATGGGACAGTAAAGGCCATAATGGGAATTTCAATTGTAATCAACTCATCTTATGAACTCTTATTCAGCAAATATTACCACTTATACTGTTTTCCTTTCAGCGCTGCACGCTTTGTGCGTACGATTACTGCCGTCGCACTCTGTGAAACATAAATTCAGCCTCTTACACGCGAACACTTTCAGAGTCAATTAAGCAAAGTCATTCATTAAGTTCACCTTATCTGTGACTACGGTAGCAAAGTTTCGATAATAGCTACTGCCCGTAATGCATCTTCGAATGGGAGAGAAGCTTGCACTTGGCTTCCTCAAAGCCTTACACCATTACATATGGCGAGTATAAATGTTGTTTAATCTCGAGCAAAATCTTTTGATCTTTCAAAGTATTTCATATCTCCGACGAGGGATTAAGGGTTTTAGATAACTCAGGCCAATATAGGTCTCAAGCTTCTCTTCCGCTCTTCACTTACAATAGCTTTCTCTCACCTCAATGCAGTCGTATTCGAATAAGCGCAATATCAGAGAAGCGACAGGTATCAAGCACATGGAATTTGCACAGATTCACAAAAGGATGATGGCACATGTTTGTTTTTTTCATATTAGACTTGCCGGACTATCTGAGCTGTATTGACCTATCCAGTATTTCATGTGATGAGTAGTTTAAACAATAGCATCAGTTCATATCATATCCATCGTGCACTTCGCATTAAATTACAATGCAACGGCAATCGCCCAACCAATGGCAAAAACTCCAGCTACAATGCTTATCTCCAGTCTAGCACCTGAGCTTGGGGGCACGGCCGGACCAGTAGGCTGGCTTCCTCCGCCGTTGCCTCCGCCGTTACCACCACCGTTACCGCCGCTTCCACCAGAGCCGCCGCCAGATCCGCCGTTGCCTCCGCTACCTCCGGATCCTCCAGATCCTCCAGATCCTCCACTTCCACCGCTCCCTCCAGAGCCTCCTGAGCCTCCAGAGCCGCCGCCGGAGCCGCCACTCCCACCACTGCCGCCACTACCGCAGCTAGAGCCGGTTGAACCAGTAGCACAAGCACAAACTGAAGAAGCTCCGGTAATAACAGCATCCAGCGATGCTGCTGGGCACGCCGTTGCAACACATGGAACGAGAATCTGGCTCAGGCTAGCTTGAGCTGCAGGTTGACACTGGCAGGCGTAGTCGGTAACACCGCAAGAGATGACCGGAGCGGCACTTGTGAAGCAAGCCTGGGCGCACGAGGGAACAGCTGTGGTGGCAACGGCACCGCAGTCTGGAGCTTCTGAATTGCAAGTAGGGCTAGCACCACCACTTCCTCCACTTCCTCCACTTCCTCCAGTTGATGATCCGTTGCCGCCAGAGCCAGTGGGACCTCCAGAGCCACCACCTGAGCCAGAAGGACTACCTGACGCGCATGTGCCAGGAGCAAGAGTGGGCGAAGCGCTGGCGCAAGCACACACGGAACTAGCTCCAGTAATGACGGCTTGGAGTGAAGCTGCAGGGCAAGCTGTAGCCACGCATGGAACGAGGAGCTGGGTCAGGCTAGACTGCGCAGCAGGCTTGCACTGGCACGCGTAATCGTGGACATCGCATCCAACACCAGGGGCGGCGGATGTGAAGCATTTTTGAGCACACGAAGGGACTGCTGAGCTAGCCACGGTATCGCAGTTGGGCTTGACCGTCACTGGCTGGCAGTTGGATGTAGAGCCCGAGTTACCGGGTCCCGTAGTCGTAGGCGGCGGTACGACGGTAGATCCGCCTGTGGAGTGTGATCCGCCGGGTCCTGTAGTTTGTGAACCACCTCCACCAGGGCCTGAAGTTGCACAGGTACCTGGGCTGGGAGGTGCTGTAGCACAGGCGCATACTAAGAAAGAGACAATGTCAGTACAGTAGATTCTCGAAATGCCTATGGCAAGCTTGATTCTTACCTGATGAAGCTCCAGCAATGACAGCCTGAAGTGAAGCTGCAGGACAAGCGGTGGCAACGCAAGGAACCAGAAGCTGAGTCAGGGAGCTCTGAGCTGCTGGCTGGCATTGGCAAGCATAGTCATGAACGTCACAAGGGATCTTTGGAGCTGCGCTCGTAAAGCAAGCTTGAGCGCAAGAAGGAACAGCCGTGCTGGCAACGGCACCACAGTCTGCAGTTGTTCCTGTGCATAGCGGGCCTGAAGTTGTAGGAGGAGCCGAGGTAGTCCCACTGCCTCCAGTGGGAGCTGAAGAGGTCTCAACAGATGAGCTGGAACCCCCGGTGGTGGTGGGAGGCTGGCTGGTTGTGGGAGGCGCACTGGTAGTAGAGCCTCCTCCTGTACAAGGAGTTGTTGGATGCGCAGTAACACAATCGCAAAGGGAGCTGACCTGAGGAAGAACACCTAGTGCACCTCCTCCGCAGTTCCCAAGAACGCAGTTAATAGCTGCAGCCTGAATAACGTTGTTCTTGCTGCACTGGCACTCATAATCAGAGACAGCACAGCTGGCTTGACTTACGGCAGCAGACTCAATACACGGTTTTGCGCAAGCAGACACGGCATCGGCGCTGGCCTGGCATGGAGAAGCTGAGTCGCAGCCACTGGTTGTAGTTGGGGGCGCTGAAGTGATTGGACCAGTTGTCGTTGTGCATGGCTCTGTAGTGGTAGGTGGCTCAGAGGTAGGAGGCTCGCTGGTAGTAGGAGGCTCACTTGTTGTAGGAGGCTCACTTGTTGTAGGAGGCTCGCTGGTGGTAGGAGGCTCGCTGGTGGTAGGAGGTGTGCTTGTGGTAGAACCTCCTGAGCAAGGAGTTGTTGGATGGGCTGTGACGCAGGCACATAGAGAGCTAACTTGGGGGAGAACACCAAGGGCGCCATTTCCACAGTTCCCAAGGACACAATTAATAGCTGCGGCCTGGATAACATTATTCTGGCTGCATTGGCACTCATAATCAGAGATGGCACAACTGGCCTGAGTTACGGCAGCAGACTCAATGCATGGCTTTGCACAGTCAGAAACAGCATCGGCACTAGCTTGACAGGGCGAAGACGCATCACAGCCAGAGGTTGTAGTCGGTGGTGGTGCTGTGGTTGGCGGCGTTGTAGTTGGTGCCGTAGTTGGTGGTGCAGTAGTGGTAGGAGCAGTGGTGGGCGGCACGTCTGTCGTGCAGGGGGTAGAAGAGGAAGGCGGCTGAGTTGTAGTGACGACTGTTGTACTTGTAGAGCAAGGCGTGGTAGGATGAGCAGTAACGCAGGCACACAGCGCGGAAACTTCATCCAAAACAGCCAGCCTATACCATATCTGTTAGCACCTCTTATATGGACTTGTATTAATAGAGAAACCTGAAATGGGTTTATACGAACGCTCCATTACCGCAGGCACCAAGAACGCAGCCGACTGCTGCATTCTGGATGACATCTGTCTTGTCACATTGGCATTGATAGTCTCCTGTAGCACAGGCTGCTTGGGTGACAGCAGCGGACTCAATGCAATCCGTAGCACAAGCCGCGATAGCATCAACGCTGGACTGGCAAGGCGAGGTGGTGTCACAGCTCCAGCCAGCGACGACCCGGGCGAGGGCTACGAGGCCCACGGCACCGACGTTTTGTCTCATTGTCGGGATGCTAAATGCTGGATATCAAGAAGAAGAAGATCAATTGGATCCAAACAAGCTTCAAGACGAATCCAAGAGAAGTCCGGGGTATCAGTCCAGCGAGTGAACCCAAGACTAGCCTGGAAGCACTTGGGAAGGCGATCAGCTGGCGTGGGGAGAAGAGACGGCGAGGAGATGGATATATAGGCGCGGGCTCGGCATGGATGTCCAGAGTAACACCTTTGCTAGATTCATGATGCCCATATTGCTTTTCTGCTGGGACGATTCCCATTCCGTCGTCGTCCTACTAGAAGATGCAGACCAAGCGAGCCCAATACCACTCTCCAGCGAGTTATCTGCAGCAAAATCTCATGACCTGAGCATACCAACATTAGCAGCCTCGTATTAATTTTAAAATCCTGCGGTTGGTACAGCTGTTCTGCATAATGGCCAGCTAAAAGGCACGAAGGATGGGCTGCTCGCGCGCATTATTGGTCCCCCCCGGACGGCGATGGTCCGAATGTAGCATCGAGCAAGACGGTGGGGTGGAGCTCAGTCGATGGTAGGGGTGGTTGCCGAAGAGCGAATCCTAGCCATCCACTCTTTGTTATGACGCCTCGACTGTCTTTGGGATTGCTTGGCCTTCGTACACAGCTGCAGTCCAGCATGATGATGCGGGGAGCGAGCCAACCGATGGCCCGAGAAGATAGTACAAAGACGTCAATGAGCGTCAATTGGGCCGACAGCTACACCAAAGTATGACCAAATATCTCGTATGCGGATGCAGCTTCAAGCTTGATTTCAGAGAGGACCTGCAAGTCAGAGCCTATATGGTGGGATCTCCTGTAACTGCCCCGGATCTTTGTCCTGGCTCGGAGAAGCATATTAGACTGGCTTATTAGTTCTCACCACTCTTCGGGAGAAAACCTCTTCGCATACCCACTTGCCTCTAGAGCCCATTCTGGCGGGTATTGTTCCCAATTTGATTCGGCTGGCCCCTGTTCGGCTGGCAATAACCACTGCGGATATGGTCAGGTAGGACGACACCGCATTAGCATAGTATCCTCGAGATCCCAGTTGGATTGCTTGCTATATCCTCCACAAAGACGATTTCCCATAGACGCTGTCGATGTATGTAACATGGCCTGATTGTCGATGGCCAGAATATCTGCCTAGTTCATATTATGAGGAGATCAGCATCCATGGAAGCTCGGATACTGCCGAGTCCAAACGAAGCACCTTCTCTTTGAGAAACAGCCTCGAACGAGGTCTTCATCCGGTAGCATCCAACGTCGACATGCCTGGAAGGACGGGAAACTCCTAGATGTGGCTGATGGAATCATATGTCAGATCAAATCGCCCAAAACTTCTTCGACTGAGCCTCGGCCGGCAAGCTCGCTGCCAGGAACAGAGGAGCTATTGGGCAGCTAACATCGTCAAAGCCCGCAAGCCTCTCCAAATCTGACCAAGTTAGTTGGACGCCCAGCAGCAGATTCACTGGCTGCGCGTAACGACCAGAACCCTGACAATGGCATAGGGCTAGGCTTGTAAGAGGAAGGCCAGTGGTGCTTTTGACAGGACGTTACATCCGATATATGGATTTGGCTAGCCTCATCAGCCAACGTGGAAGGGCCGCGCGGGGAATCCATGCTCGTTGTTCCAGCCCGACGAATCAATATCATCCACACCAAAGCTGTGAGTAATAGCATCCATCCGTTAGAAAGGGAACACGCCGAGCCACATGTGACGATGAGATTGCGGCTTGACAAAATAAGCCAATGATGCTATGAACCTATTAGCCCAAGGTCATTTTACGCGGGTGCCTAGAAGACTTACATACCCAGATACGAGTTCACGTTCTGTAGCGCAGCTCGTAGCGTGTCCCGCGGAAGCGACATCCGGGCATCGTCGGGCGAAAGAAGAAATAAGTGGCTAATAGGCGCCTGGTAGAGAGAAAGGGGACGTCCTTTTTTGGCGCATGGCCTGATTAATATTGATCCGGAGCATGAATGGGGGCCGGCCTGGGGGTACTTTCGAGTCTGTACCTGTAAACCTGCGAAGACGACAACACAGCAACTTTGTGTTCATTTTGGGACTGAAGACAAATTTCTACTTCTTTGATAGCTAGCTTTTGTGTATGGAGAAACTATGCAGTTCAGATCGGACATGTTTCTTCTTGGCGATTTAAATGGTGGCAGCGCCATTATTTTTGCCAAGCTTGTAGAGGCAGCTCTTGGCAATCCGCCAAAAACGTACCTAGTTTTTGTCGCTTCTTCAACATCTCCTCCAGCAGCTCACTCTGGAGAAAGTGTAGACCAGAGTTCACAAGCATGTAAGTAAAACTCGCGGTTTATCTTATCTCAGCCCAGGCACAAGCAACGTCTGTGCTCGATGCACTATTGTCGATCTCCCGCCATCTCAGCCACGCTCGTGGCATCTCCACTCCTTATCACCACTGCCTATCTCGACATGACTCGGTGCCACAGTGAGATCCAGCAGCGGTAGCATCTATGATTCGATCAGTTACCAAACAAGCTGGAGAATTGGAGCCGGGCGCGGTAGAAAGATACTTTTTACTCTTTTACTGAAAAAGCAACAACATGAGCTCAGAATAGTTACTCTGATGTCACTTGAAGTAAGATGAAAGTTATCGGCGGTCTTATAAAGAGCTGAAGTGATCTATCACAATTGAGAACATGGGGTCATTGACTTATCTTGAGTCCATTACCAAGTACACCTTGTTGTTTCAAAGAACATTTTCATATACAACAAACAGATTACAGTAGACACAATAAAACCATGACTTTCAGGAGCACAACGCATTCCTACAGGGTAGCTAAAGAGGCCAATGGAAAGCTAAGACTTCCGTCCTCTCGGTATAACAGCTGGCCTTTTTCATGCATTATCTCTCAAAATAAACTCTTATAGCTTGACCAAATCTTTCTGCCTCATTTGGAAGACGCATACGCCGCGGGCTCCACAGCGCATTGATCTCACATTTAGATGAAAAGACGACACCAGAATAGCGAGAGCACTCAATTGCCCCGCATGGCGTCATAACTGGCTTATATATCACTGCACGAATTACTAAAAGCTCTTCCGGCACAGAGCCGAGCAAAGGATAAGCAATTGTTGAATTGGCATCACATCGATCATCTTCAACCAACATCCGCCAACATGTCTGAGCAACAGAATGCCCCGCACGCTACGTTGGACCATATCGTGATCCTCGTCTCGGCCAGCGACCTGCTACAGCTTCCTGAGCGCCTCAAAGACTCATTCGTCGTTAGCCCTGGAGGGACTCACGCAGGCGGCGACACATTCAACAAGCTGATCCTGTTTGAAGACGGCGTCTACATTGAGCTCATCGCATTCGTCGAGGGCATCGATCCCGAACTACGCGCAAAGCACAGATGGGGAGGCCAGCCGGAGAATACCATTGTTGACTGGGCATACACTCTACCTCATGAGAGCGACTTTGGAGCAGTTCAGCAGAGAGTGAAGGACGCAAACGCCGGATTTACGTACAACGACCCGGTGGCAGGAGGCAGGACGAGGCCAGACGGAGTTGTCCTGAAGTGGGCTCTTGGAGTTGCTCAAGATGCAGACGGCAATGGAGTAGAACCCGGCCATCTGCCCTTTTGGTGCCTGGACAGAACTCCAAGAAGCAACCGAGTGCCATATGAGGAGGACAAGGCACAGACGCAGCATCCCTCGGGAGCACACGGCATTTCTCGACTCCGCCTCAACGTGCCTTCAGGCCAGCTGTCACAGCTTCAGAGCGTGTATGATGCTATTCACAATGTCGACAACACTGCAGTAAGCGAAAAGGAGTGGCGGTTTAACACGCCAAATGGCTCAGCGCAAGCACGGCACACGCTCGGTGTGGCCTCAGAAAGCGGGTACAAGATTAAGCTCGCATTTAAGGGGAGCGTTGGAAGCCCGTCATTCCTTGAGTTGCTGCCGAATATTGTAGTCAAATTTGAGGAATAAATGTCATCTTTTGATTTGCTCTGTCATCTCGAAATGGAACATACCTTATGTACAAGTACCCATCATGATTCCTGCAAAAAATACTGCAGGGCAGTGATTACGCTTTGTTAACGGAGGTCCGCTCACTTGAGACTGGTTTCAATGAGCAGCCAGCTGTTCAATTTGTATATGACTATTCACTTTTCATATGGAAGAGTTGTAAATGTTGATGCCGCATGCATCATGCGCACTGTGCGAAGCTATTGTCGAAACCGTACAAACACAATGGTTTCGCATCCGGGGCGTAACCGGTACTTGCTGCACCACCATGTGGCACAGAGAACCGCACGTAACTCATACTCCATGTAAGCTTCCGACGCGACGCGACAGAGCTGCTGCCGCCCACCGTCTCTGCATCGCAGCTCTGCTACGGCCACGCCGCCGCCTTCTGGACGAGGTTTCGGCGCCTCAACAGCTCCCGTCTGCATTTATGAAGCTGGATCCGCCTTGTTGAGCCTCAATTCGCCCTCTGGCACCGCCACGCCCGCGCCCAAAATGCCGTCCGACGAGAACGACAAGGCCCACGAGGAGGTTCCCAGCACGCAGGGCGACGTCGAGATGGAGGAAACCGACAATCCCGTCCAGATTGTAGAGGCTTCCAACCCAGAAGAAGGCGGCGAGCGCGCTCCGCCAGCGGCGGTGAACGTGGAAGATGTCGACGCAGAGGCCGATCCGGTGGACGAGGAGGAGCGCAAGTCATTTGCGAGCCACCTGAAGAGCCCCATCGTCACCCTCGTCGTCGGCAAGGAGGAGCCCGCAGTCCTGAAAGCGCACCAGGAGTTCCTCGTGCGAAGCCCGTACTTTGACGACATCTGCAAGACCTTTGCCGAAGACGAAAGCATAGTAAGGCTTCCCTTTCCCATCATGTGCTGTGATCGAAAGAGCTAAAACGAGACCCTCCAGCCTCGCTCAATCGACCTCCCAGACGAAGACATCGATGCCGTCGGCTGCTTCCTCGAATTCTTGTATACCGGGGAATATTTCCCCCGCAAGCTGCCCGGCCAGCGAAGTCTCGAGCACGATCCCTCCGTCCTGGCGGTCGACGACTCGGGCATCCAGCTGCTCAGACACGCAAGGATCTATACCCTGGCCCAGAAATGGGGCGTCGCCGCGCTGCAGACGCTCTCTTCATCCAAAATCTACTGCATCAACTCCACCGTCAAAGGCGAGATCGAGTATGCGCGCTACATTTATGCCCACACCGCGGTCGACGATACGACGATCCGTGCGCCCGTGGCCAACTTCTGGGCTACAAGGTCGCATACGCTGCGGTCCGAGGCGGAAGACGAATTCAAGGCGCTGTGTCTGGAGTTTCCGCAGTTTGGTTTCGATATCTTGAGTAAGTGTCTACTATTGGCGCGTTACAATCATGAGAGGGCAGACGCAACTAACACTTTGCAGCGCGTGTGTTGGACGACAAGCTCAAGAGGGAGCGCAACGAAAAGATGCACCCTTCATCTGGCAGTGTTCGCAAGCGTCCTCGGCACGGCAGCGGTGTTGTGTAATAAAATTAAGAGAAATGTTTCTCTGTGTACAGCTATTCTTCGTTTTTTTTTCTCTCCCGGGCATGGGTTTTGGTATTCGATGCATGCATTCTGCTTAATCTAGCACTTGAGGCGATGCTGGATGCCTTTCACGGCTCTGTACCTATAGGACGCGGCAACTTGGATGCGATGCTGTTACTGAATTATTTGCTAGCCTGGCGCAATTCGTTTGCTGGAATGGATTTGGATTCGGGCTTGCGATTTTGGCAGCGGAGAGGGACAGCAAATGTTGCTTGCTTGATCCCGATGCTGTCATTGTCTTCACAATGAATGAGCCCTGGGGCTAGCTTAGATGTTATAGCATTTTAGACCCAGCGAGGGATTGTTTCTGAATATTCACAACCGACATTCGATGACCCTCGCTGTACTGATTTATTAAATCGGTCTTAATGAATAGTAACTGAATACGCTTCCCTTTCACCAGGGCTCTGTTCTAAGCCATCTTGGGTTCAAGTTATTTACATGTAAAATCGCGGTCGACAAATTCATGCGCGCTAGTGGGATGCTTTTGCTGATGTCAAAGCGATGAAGAATGCGGAGTAGTCAGATACTCTGTAGAGTGTATGTGCCGTCGATCAACTACTTACTGAGCTGCCCCTTTGATAGGCCGGCTTGGGGCATGTATATGCAAGCGGACAAGACTACTCTGCACGCTAGGGATACTTGCATTTTGGTGTTGGTCTAAACTGACTGCCAAAAGATGACTTTGTTAACAACATGTTGCGGAAAGTGAGGGTTCGGAATTGATGTGATTGGTGGTGCACATAGCCATGTAAGTCGTTTGGGTGCCCGGCATGATATCATGACCAAACATGGTGCTCGCATTGCTTGCAGAATTGGTATATCCCTCCCTACCCGATGAGGCAGTTTGTAAAGGATCTCCAACGGACCAAGGGAGTAAACGTTGTTTGCCAAGCCACCACCACCACCACTTGCTCAAGAGACTGGCCGATAGAAGTGGGCTGGCCAACAGCACTGCCACACTTCCGCAAACCACCAAGACTATCCCGCGGAGTTCAAGGGGGAGGGGGTTGAGCTTGTATCCCGTACAATGACCATGCCCAGCTTTGCATTCCTTCTGCTCTTCCTCTGCTTACTGAACTGCAGACGTAGGGGGGCAGCCTTTGTCGCTTTAGGCCCAGCCGCCGCAAGCCTCAATATCTGCCATGTGGAGTCTCGCTGCAACTGAAGGGTCCTGAAGGGTCCTACTCCATTTAGTTTCCGCCGGTACCTTGCTTAGGCACAGCATGCTACAGTTTACCCCTCTTTTTCTTTCACCGACAGCAACACTTTCTGTCCATTGGGCCTTGATTGGCCACCGCAGCCACCGAGTCGCGCAGCATACGGGATTCTAGAATTTCCATCACAAAAGGATAAGGGACCACTCATTGCCTTTGGACAGTGTGGACATATGCATCGCGGCCCGATTCGCTGGCCTGTCAGACGAACCGGTTTCTGGAACGTGAGAAGCCTGTTTGGTGGCTACATGAACACCATGTTCGGCATGGCGGGCCTCTCGTTTATACCGGCATTGAGCTTCAGTTTCTAGTCTGAATGGACCCCTGTTGCCGAGAGAATGTTCCACTAAAGGAGTTTTAGACCGAGTTACTGCAAGAGGTCAAAGGGCCTTTGATGTGTGGCTGCCATGTGGTAAAGTTGCGACAAGGCTTGAATTGGTTGTAGGTAAGGATAAATCGCTAGACGCTCCAATGATCTGCTTACTGCCAACCAAGCCTAATTGCTTGTCGATCGATGCAACAAACGCTTGATCCAATCAAACATGCGCCATTCATTTGTCATCTTGCTCGAAACAATTGCATCGCCATCTGGGAATCCTCGGTTCACCGCTATTATGTCAATATTCGCGCTTTAGTATAATTGGGGCAAAGTACGGAGTAGGGGGGTGTCCACTAGCTATATCGTGAACCGCCGAATAATAAACGGACACGAATTTAATTTTCCGACCTCTTCTCAATGCCAAAGTGGCTCATACCGTATCTCTATATATTAAACTTATAGAACGTGTTCTTACTTGTTCCAATTCGGCCCGTGAGAAACAATAACTGCGCTGCATCTGCGCTCGCGAACCCCCCTAAAAAGAATTGAACCTCATACAAACCAAGCTAGATTGTCGCCTCTTCCCCTTTATGGACGCCGCATTGCTACCTACTTTTAATTTTCAACACCATGACCGACTTTGATGAAATCAAGGACCGGGATCCTTATACCTTTATTCCGGCTGATGAATTCTTCAATCACTTCGACAACGACTTGTTCGATTCATGTATTAGACAGCCTGAGAGAGCTTCATTTGATGAAGCTGACCAGCCAAAAATACAGATCAACGGCGAAGCGAGAAATGTGTTTCAGAAGGGCAAAATCTTTCGGCTCCACGAACAATTGGAGGGTGAACCAGATGAAGAGTCTCTGCTATTGATAGAGTTTATACGACCTCAGGTCTGGAGAATTCGCTTCAACCCGGTAAATGCAAGTAGATGCAGCTTTAAAGATGAAAACAGGTAAGACAGCATTCAAGCCATGTACTATAGGAATTCGTTGACTTAATGCATCGCCAATAATAGCCGTGCTATTGCATGCCCTAGCATGTCTGAACTTATTACGAAATTGGATGACTTTGAAGGGCTTGATTGGAGAGTCGAGCTCATATCCAATGTTCCGTCATATTACATCCTGCAATCTGTGAAAGCTGGTGCTGAGAAGCCCGAGGTTCAGCTTTGGATTCAGAAAAGTCCCTTTCAGATTACTGCTATCAGGCCTGTTAAAAACAGCCGCATCGTCGAAAAGTTCGCCATGCCTAGTACCATTGACGAGGCTCTTCGGCCGCAGGTTGACTTACAGCCAATTCAAGGAGTTGAAAAGGCCGTCATCTGGAAGACCAAGCCTAAGCCGCTCAAGTACATTTCCCGGGGTAGTGCGGCTGTCCTGTCTGTAGAAGCACCTGCTACAGCACATTATATGGGATTTGGCGAACAAGGAGGGCGAAATTTGTTCAAATCCAATACATACATGAATTACTTCAGTGAGTTGGGAGAGAAAAGCTGCAATGACATTGTACTGACTCTTTTTTCTGCAAGATTTTGACAACATGAAGTATCAAAACGTTTACGGCAATGGTCCTCTGGATGAGCGAGAGCCGCTCTACCATACAGAGCCTTTCTGGATGGAAGTTGCTAGCCACATTGGATTCCAATCTGTTCTTGCGACAATGATTGACAACTACTCTCATACCTGCCTTGACGTACGAAAAACGGATCAAAGAACGATCCGCATTGCCACAAGATTCAACGAGTTCAATTGCATGATTGTAGCTGCAGACAGAGTATCTGAGCTTCTCAACGTATACACATCAATCGTTGGTAAGCCGAGCCTCAAACCGCGATACGTTCTGGGGTATCACCAAGGATGCTATGGGTATGACACCAAAGAGGCGGTTCTGCAATGTGCTCAGAAGTATCGCGATGCTCAGTTCCCGCTTGATGCAATCCATATAGACGTGGATATTCAGAGGGAACACAAAACTTTCACTATTGACGACAGACCCGGGCATTTCCCCCAGCCTAAGGAGATGTTTGATACACTTAGACAGCAAGGTGTGAAGTGCTGTACAAACATCACGCCTCACATTAATTCTGCCAAAGACCCTGAGTATACGACCCTCAACGAGCTCTTGGAAAACAATTACTATGTTGAAGACAGGCGAGATCTTGCGAGGTCAGATTTACGTCCATGGCAAGACCGGTATCATTACTGGGACTATGGCAGGCGCGTCGTGACAAATCCATCCGAAACGAGACCCGACTACAGAATACCCGATGAGACCGATTTGTCCGTGACTTATAACGCTGGAAAGCCGTTCCGTGGCGGAGTCTACTACGGATGGGGAAACGGTGCTCCGGGATATTACCCGAATCTGAACAACCACGAAGTCAGAGAATGGTGGGGGAAGCAGTTCAAATATCTTTTTGAATGCGGTGTCGAATTCATCTGGCAGGACATGACATCTCCCTGCATTGCCCCCGAGTATGGAGACATGAAATCGTGAGTGAAGGGAACCACACTTTACATATACATCGCCACTAATCTGTTCAGATTCCCCTTCCGACTTCTTCTGGACAGTGATACCCGACTCAATGAGTCTTACGAAGAAGTTGCAGTGAAAAGAAAGGCAATTGAGATATGGGCGCTCTACAGTTATAACCTATACGAGGCCACCTTTAACGGTCTACAAAATCTCCATCTCAGCGGAACATTGGCAGAAAACAATACTTCATTAACAAAGACCAACCAAGAATCAACAGCGGGCAATGAGTTGGCATGGAGAAAAGGTCGACGAAACTTCATCATTGGAAGAGGCAGTTATATCGGAAGCCATAAATTCGCTGGTCTGTGGACAGGAGACAACGCTTCCACTTGGGACTTCCTCTCGACCTCTGTTGTGCAGGTCTTGGGCCTTGGACTCTCTGGTAATGCAATTTCGGGACAGGATGTCGGCGGCTTTGAATTCATCGAGCCAGATCATAATTGGGCAAATCCAGAACTTTTGATCCGGTGGTATGGCGCCTACTCTTTGTTGCCCTGGTTTCGGTAAGTTGAGATCTTGTTCCTCTAGCCCTTTACACCGTAGCCATTTTAACTGAGTGTGCCCCGTCTAGCAATCATTATACAAAGTATCGGACCTTCCTTGATGGTCCCCACGAAGGCGAAATGAGAAAAGATGGAAAGCAGTTCCAGGAGCCGTATGCCTACGACCAACATTACCGAGACAACATGCACCATTTCCACGATCCAAGAGAGGCCTTTCTATTTCGTGCCGTGCTCCCTGTGTGCAGATACTACGTTCGGCTTCGTTACAGTCTAATGCAGTTGTTGTACGACGCCATGTTTGAAAATGCTATTACAGGGATGCCAGTTGCGAGATCTATGGTAGGATAAACCGGTGGTGCTGCGATGGACTTGGCTAACGTGCCTCTGATCTAGATTATTACCGATGACCAAGACGCAACTTTATTCTTTGAGGTGAGTTTATTGTACAGGATATTCAATTGACTAAATTAACAGAATTAAATAGAATAAGTGGTTTACAAACGATCAGTACCTGGTCGGAAATGATATCCTCGTGGCACCACCTCTACGCGCCGAAGCATTCTTTGACCGCCATGAAGTCTACCTACCATACCCCGATGAATGGTTCCCCATAAACCTTTACCCCGATGAGCCTTTGGGCACAGCTTTAAACCCAGCTATTGGCGGTGGAAGCCGTATCTTCTGCAAATGCAACATTAGCCTCGAAGACGACCATATTCCCAGAATCACTCCCATGTACATTCGCGAAGGTCAGTTTTCCGCTGTCTATAGAATGAGGAGCTATACTAACTATGACTAGGCGCCATCATTCCCAAGATAGAGACGAGGATGAGCACGCCTGACTGGTATCCGAATGGGTATCCAGGTGCAGAATCACAGATGAAAGCGCCAGAGGCAAACCCGATTACCTTCCATGTGTATCCGGGTAAAGATAACGTGAGATCTGCAATGCCTTTCATGAAAAACTATATACTGATACGTTATAGACTTATACAATGTACATTGATGATGGCATATCAACCGATAGCGAGCCGTTGTCCAAAATCCCAAACTTAACAAACGACCTCAAACCTGATGCGGACAAGTACTGCGAAGTACGCATCAAACAGGTAAATAAACACAGCCACCCTCGTAGTGAAAATGTTTTCTTGTAAGTACTAACATGACCAGGTTACTATGATTAATACAGAAGAAAAATGCACGCGAGTGCTCACAATCGAAGCCATACAAAACGGCTACGAGAAATACAAACAAATTGTTGGCGGCGAATACAAGGTGGTTTTCTGGCATAAAGAGTCAGCGTACAGTAATGATATTGTTGTGGGGGGCTCGCTTGGGCCTATTTCAGTGCAGCATTTGGAGCGCATTCGGGCAACGGTTGTGAAATTTGCAACTGATGTTGTTCATGTGAAGGGTGGGATTACGATTACGCTTATTTACGATAATTAGCATTTAATATCTTAGCGGCGTTATAATAGTTAATGATTTGAGCATGGAGCATTGATGAAAAAAAATATTGGTCCGGAGTATCGTGAAAGCTGTGTCGTGTGTGGTATACGGCTGCTTCGGCCGCCATGTTTTGATACGACGCCCGTATCTTACCTTCATTTTAAAATGAATCATTTAAAGCTTATAGTAATTGCTTGTCAGACATGAGAAATCATTCTAGTAGCAGGTATATATCACAGGACCAACGGCACTAATTCCAGATCAAGCAGTAGATGAAGTTGGTTAGTCGTCAACGAGGCCTCCAGTTCAAAAATGGCTCATCAAATGTTTTGAAAGAATTATTCAGTTCATCCACTCGAATTAAATCTAAATGAAACTGACTTATTCTGGCTTCCTTTCGGCTTATCTCTCGCCCCATTGGGCTGTTAGAACGAGCATATGAGCCTATCATTATACACAGCCATAACGTCACGTGAAAGTCGACCATTTTTACGAGCCTGAACCCCCTTGGCCACTTTGATAAAGAAGTGATACATGATTAATACAGTTTTAATTTCGGATACAATACATATTGGCTCAAAGACAAACCCAAAGCAACGCTAATGCTCGACCGACGTGGCCAGGCGCCAAATCCTACTGCCAGCTAGACGAATCACTTGATGTTTCTACAGAAGGCTAGGCACTTGATCGTCCATTGAGTGGTCGTAAAGCTCTATTCCTTCGTTTCTAGACAATCTATCGTCTGCACTAACATCTTCTAGTTCATGTAAGGATCATATAGTGTCAAATGCAGTGCAAACAAGCTTTATCGTGAAAGGCTGAAGCTTGGCGCTATAATATATTCACAATATCTTTTGAATTCAGCCTTTGGCTAAAATATGCACCCAATCCCAAACGTGACATTAATCAGCACTACGACTCCTTTCAAACGCCGTCACGAATCCTACGCTGCGCCTACGTGTACTCGGGCTGCCTTCCCGAATGGGCCCGTTTTTTCCTATGCCATCCGCCTATACCAGCCAAAGATGCGGATCCAGTTAATTGTCTGGGGTCGACATTCTAGGGAGATACACTGCCGGAATAAGCTTCTAGGTTTGAAGTAATTGCGCGTCATGAGGCTTCGCATATGCCACTACGATTCTATTTACATGACTGTATTCTCTTTTGACACCAGTACTTCGCTCTCTTTTTCCGAAGTCTAGCTGCATGGAACGACTACTGTGATAAAAGGGCCCAACTTAGATATGCATGTTAGGGAGGTTATGGCTGCAGTTAAGAAGCTAAGCTTTCGCTACTACCCATGTTGGCTGCAAAACACTATGCTCGTCAGCCACGGCGATTTTCTAGCAGAGATAGTGTGCGTCGTGGTCTATTGGATGCTACGAGGCTGAGCTGGCATATGCCGCGTGTACCTGGTCTCGTCTCGCCAATCGCGTGTTAGAAGACGGCCCGCTTATTGGCTTAGCTCGGTTGCGGCTTCAACAACAGGAGCCAGCTAATATCGTGATTATGCTGGGAACAGTATAGTTTTAGTAACTAATAATAGAAGAAGGATTCAGATGCAAACAAAATATGGCTGAGGATTGATGCCAGGGATGGTTCTTGTGGTTAGACGTCGACGTAATTCTGAGAGGCGCCTCCAATGTTTAAAACTCTATATATCGTGAACAAAATCCTTTATATCTCGCCTCTAAACCCACTGGTGTTGAAGGAAAGAAAATTGCTCACTTACAATTCCAACTACTCGCATTGACTAAACATCTTACATCAATAACACCTGATGGCAACTACAACAACACACGTGGCTGCAACGGCCACTTCACATGGTGCTTTTCCAGCCTGTACCACTGCAGTCCCCGGCAAATATGGCCAGGTGCCGTTAGACGCCTGCAATTCCTCGTACAATGCAATCCCAGAGTTTATTCCTGCAGTCGTAGTGTCCGTCCTCTTCGGCACTCTCACGCTCATCCACATAATCGAAGCAGTGGTATACAAAAAGGTCAGTAGTGCTGGATGCCCCTTCATCAACACAATGATTTATGTTTCCAAGCATTCTTACGATGATATTAGGGATACACCTGGGTCCTGATCATGGGAAGCGCTTGGGAGACGGCAGCGTTCATTCTACACGTTCTTGGCGCGCATAACCAACAAAACGTCGCCTTCGCAACAGTTTGGCAAATTCTCTTTCTTCTGGCACCGCTCTGGATCAATGCGTTTGTTTACATGACGTTTGCACGCATTGTCCATTTCTATATGCCGGATAGAAAAGTATGGATTATCAAAGCCTCTCAAATCTCGAAACTCTTTGTCTTTGCAGACTTCTTTTCGTTCGTCGTCCAGGCCGTAGGTGGCGTCATGGTCTCTCCCGGCTCTTCCGCTTCTGTCCAACAGACCGGCCTACATGTCTACGAAGGTGGTATTGGAATTCAAGAGTTATTCATTATCATCTTCTTGGGTCTCATGATTACATTCCATATTCGCTTCGTCAAGCTTACACAAGGACGTCTTTTGTTGCCCGAAGAAGTCAACTTGAATGAAGAAAACCAAGGTCGCCTTGATAAGAACTTCGAAGATCCAAATGGCTGCTTCTGGCTGCTCTACGCGTTATATGCCGTCCTGGCATTTATTACGGTTGGTTTTTTTCCCGTCTAGAATTGAGGGGGCGAGGTCTTCCAGGTTCACAGCGCGCTAACCAACGTCTTGTTATTTCTTAGATGCGCATCATTTATCGATTGATCGAATTTACAAAAGGACTCGACCCTTCCGTTAACGCACTTCCCTTCCACGAATACTACTTTTACGCCCTCGACGCATTCCCAATGATGGCTGCTCTCCTCATCTTGGCCATTTTCCATCCGGGTCGCTTCATAAGAGGCCCTAACAGCAGCCTTCGAGACGCTACAAGGGCAGAAAAGAAGATTAAAAAGGCCGAAAAGAAAGAGCGCACACAGGCCAAGAAGGAGCAGAAGCAGATGGCTAAAGAGGCGAAACAGGAGCAAAAGAGGCTGGATAAGGAAGCCAAAAGGGGAGGCTTTTCTGATCAGGCCTAGAGTGTTGCCAGGCGCACCTCTCTTCTAAGCGCTTATGACATGAGTACATCATTGCATGATGATGATCGCGAATTTCCTTCTTCTTCGGTTTTTGGTTGGACAAGGCTTGATGTACGCTTTGCTATTGGTTTGTAGCTCTAAGTGGCGAAAATCGGGGAGCTTTACACCCGTTTTAACGGAGTCGCAAACTGTAGATAGATGGTTACATGAGGGATGCTGGGCGTTGGTATCTAATACTGGCTTACACTACTTAATAGACTTTTGCTTTAAGAATTCGAGTGCCGTTGTAAAGAGAGATGTATCGCACTACAGCTGTCCGACCCCGAACCCCCAAATTGGGGGAACACGAATGCCAGCGGATGTGGGGCCGAGACCTTCGGAAGACGGTCCGTCTTTCCCGTTTCATCCGCTTTGGTCCGGAGCATGTTGAATTGTCTTGAGATCCTTTTAGCTTTGAGAATAATTGTTGTTGCTTACTGTAAGACAGAGTCCTAGTTATATGGGGAGTATCTCAAGTTGTCCCCCATCTCTCCATAAAGGCTGCGCAACCGCCTGGTTTTGATATAGTTTGGAACTGATCTATTCGATTTGCCGCGATAGCCTCGCATGCTCCCTAGCTTCTAGAGGACCAGAGTCCGCGGCGCAGTGCCGAAGCCACGCCCTTTGCGTCAACAAAAGCTTCCACAGAGCCAATGAGAGTCTTCCTCGACTAGCCGCACAGCCGAAAGGGGTTATGCTCGTTGTCTAAAGCATCTCCACGGCGCCACGGCTTTATATCCCCATATATTATATTCCCATTCCTTGATAAGCAAGTGCTTACATATCTCTTCAGCAGATCGTTCTGCTGAATAATTCTTCTGCTCCTGAATGAAATTTCTTTTAACAAATTGAGTCTTGACATCCAGATAGTTTTTGTCTCAGTTTCAGTTTTGTCGAGCTCACTTGTTGTCGCAGCTCTCGCAATGGCGGTCCTAGACGAACTCGAAAGCGGAACTCCCTTGGAGAATCTCTCAAGTACAGACGAAGAGACTCAGACGCCGAGCATCGACAACTCTAGTCCATTGACTTTCGAAGACCCTCATGATCCCGCGAATCCCAAAAATTGGTCGTTGTTGAGAAAACTATTCATTACTTTCATATGGATAGCCGGAAATCTGGTGGCCTCGGTATCTTCGAGCATCTTCAGCAGTGGTGCTCAAGCAATTAGCGAAGAGTTTCACGTCGGTACAGAAGTTGTAACTCTAGGAGTTAGTTTATTCGTTGTTGTAAGTTGATCACCTATGGTTTCTTTATAAGTGGTTTTGTCTTGATCCAGATATTTTGGCTGATACTGTTGCAACGCAGGGCTATTCCGTTGGACCACCGTTTTGGAGCCCCATATCTGAACAATTTGGAAGAAGAAAGCCCATGATTGCCGGCATGGCGCTTTTCACTCTCTTCTGCATTCCCGTCGCAGTGGGGAAGAACTTGCAAACGATTCTCGTCGGCCGATTCTTCTGTGGAGTTTCCGGTGTAGCGCCCATTGCTCTATTCGGAGGTGGCCTCGTCGACATCTGGCATCCAGAACAACGCGCAATTGCCATGGCAACTGTCATTGGCATAGTTCTTGGAGGGCCCTTGCTTGCCCCGGTAATGGGCAACTTTATCACTGCTAGTCACCTCGGCTGGCGATGGACCGGATGGCTAAGCTGTATCATGGGAGGAGCTTGTACGGTTCTGTGCGTCCTCGGATTGCCAGAGACATATCCGCCCATCATCCTGCAAAAGAGGCAAAAGCTGAATCCAGCGTCTCAGAACGCACCGAGGGACACAGGCGGATGGAATAGATTAGTCCGCGTATATCTAGTTCGACCTTTTGGTAAGCCCTCCTTGATAGCCAGATGATTGCTACCTTATAGATTGCTAATATTCATTGCTTATAGTTCTACTCGCGACCGAACCCATCTTGGTCCTCATGACCCTCTATCAGGCCTTCGTCTATGGCATTCTCTACATCGTCTTCTCTTCATACCCCATCATTTTCCGCGAACAACGTCACTGGAAACTCGGTCTATCATCTCTTCCCTTCTTGGGCATGATGGTTGGAGTCTTTATTGGCTCTGCCATGATTGTCACACGTACCGTGCTGGTTCAACAAGCGAGCCTTAAAAAGAAAGCTGAAAATAGTTCTGATTCCGGCCAATCACCAGCGCCTGAGATGCGTTTACCACTGATGATGGTTGGCAGCATTCTCCTACCTATCGGGCTGTTTATCTTTGGATGGACTTCTGCTCCTCACATTCCCGTGGTGGGAATGATCATTGGCAGTCTCTTCATCGGTGCAGGTTTGCTGTGCATCTTTGTTACCGCAATGACATACATTCTGGATGTCTATTCGCACATTGCCAACAGCGCACTCGGCGCAAATACTATTGTACGCTCCTTTTTCGCGGCGGGATTCCCTCTCTTTGCCAGTTACATGTATCATGACCTTGGTGTTGCATGGGCGTCTAGTGTCTTGGGATTTGTGAGCGTCGCCATGATTCCAATTCCGATTCTCTTTTACAAATATGGGCCGCGTATCAGAGCTCTCTCTAAGAACTTGATGGTGTGAGCGAATCGCACTTTTGGGCATTATCCAAGTGCCCTGGATCTGGGAAGATGTTGGAAGTAAGAGATATTAGTGGTATCTGCATAAATATCATTGTCACGAAGGAAATGGTTCTGTTGGATGACATGCCGGATCGGATGGAATCTGGAATAGTAACCTTACTATGCCTCAGGTACGGTACCAGGCCTCTATAGGTTTCTACTACTGAATTCATTCCCGTAGGGCATCTGCTACGGAATTTATCTCTGTATAATAGGCGCACTAATTTGCCCATTTATTACTATTTGCAGGTGCTGAGCACTGCGCGGCATCGAGTGAGGTAAAAAATGCTGTGAAGGGATTTGCCAGGATCAATCAAGGATCAAAGTGAAACACGGCCCCGCATGCCGCCTACCTGGGCACATTAGTCTGTATGGAAACGCATCTCACTTGCTACTACTACCACCTATGTAGGAGCATGTAGGTGCAAATCATTGCACGGCATCATGTGAGACTTAAAATGCTGTGAAGCGTCTTGTATATAAAACCACCTTCCCCCCCCTCTTTTTCTTACGGCTAACTATAGTTGAAGGCATAATGTAAGTTACAAATGTTGTGAAAGATGCATAGTTACTGTGCGGTATCGCCTGCTCAAAACGATCCGCACTGTCCAGTATTTCCAGCATCATGTAGAATAATAAGGCGTCGTGCGAAGTCAAAAATGCTGTGAAATCCCGATCCGATTGATGGCAAACCATACAGCTTGGTCTGCGATTTTCTGAGTTTGGGAAATGGTGCAACATGCGTTCAGATTTGGCGAAGTACGTTGACTTGCAAAGAAGCAGACTTTTGGTCACATTTTTCATTGCGAGTCAATAGTCTTTAACAGCTAATGACCAAGAGAATTGGTCAATAGAACATAGCAAAAATAGTAATGTTACTTACACGGGACGTATACATTCGAATACGAATCAGTCATAGTCTATTCTTTCACAATATAAGGAAATATCTCTCTATATACACCCGAGTTCCATTGGGATATGCGAAATTCCTTGGCATTGTTCGGGATGGCATTTGAAGAGCTTGGAGATTCTCCATGCTAGCATACTATATAATAAAAGAAAGCCCATCTCGTATTCAAAATAGTTCTCCTAATGGAGATATGACATAATCACTTCGCTTCATTAAATGATCATTAGCCACAAAAAGAGTGACAAGTTCACAGCATACAAGTTGTCAATAACGCGTTCTCTAGCATCATATACATATTCTCATAAAAAAAAAGAGCGCCCCTCACTCAAATCTGCCATACATCTTTACAACATGCTAAAAGCCATCAAAGAAACGCATGTTACACACAGCACTCTCTCACCGCCACAAGCACATGCATCACCAAACCCAGCAAGCCTTGCTTCTTCGCATCGTGTAACGCACTCGTGACCATCTCAACATGCATAAACCACAAAGACTACATGGATTAAACAGACATGTTTTCTATCTTCACTCCCCTTTCATGTTCCTAGCATGCGCATTCAAGCCACATGCAAACTTCAAAATGCACTATCGCGACTTCGTCCTCTTTCATCCACTCCATCCCATATCCGCCTCTGATACTATACCACAGCCATGATTGAGAGCAACATATCCATCTACCGGCTCCCATATCAAGCCACACCGCCTCTTAATCCATTCACACCAGCTCCGTCTCTCTCTCGGCCGATGCTACCGTCGCCACCCTCCACCAACTATAGCCGGGCATACATCCAGCCGTTAGTGTACAACAGAAAGAGCCGGGCGACTTTCCTTTATCCAGTCGGCCCACCACGTTCACATTTCCCAAATTCAACTTCAAGCTGTCTCAGTCGGCATCCCATGTTTCCTATCTGTTTCTTTTTTTTTTACCATCACCTGCTATGTTTTCGTGTAAGTCTCCTCCTTTCTCATTTTTTTTTTGCATTTGCAATCATCGCGTATGCTTCTCTTCGCTGCTCGTTACGCCAGCCACATCTCTCGATGACATCTCAGCTCTCAGCTCTACAGCTTACAGCTCAGACCTCGGCTGTCTCACAGCTTGCAGCTCACCCAACGCTCCACCAGAGCTTCCCTTCAACCGTCAACCAAGCTGCATAATACCAATCTAGTAGATAAAAATTACCACATAATTCATCTCCATGTCCCGTCTCTCTCTCTCATTCTCCCCCTTCCGAAGCTGCATGCTGTCCACTTCCGGTCCATTTTCTCAAACCCTCCGAATCACCCAATCACATCCCTCGCCCATCCTCCATCTTCTGGTCCCTCCCTCGTCCAGACCCCAAAACCGGCCGACCATCGCCGGGACCCCACACCGAGTTTCCCGCGTGGCCTCCCGGGGTGACTTAGAAAAGACGAGCAGGGATTGGAGGAGGGCGTGTGCATGGGGAATAGCTTCTGGCACATTTTGTGCGCATTTCTTATTATCTTTCCTTTCCCATTTCTTATTCTTTTACTACATACTCTACATGATATGTGTATCTATCTTATCGACTGCACATGCTTGCCTCAGCGTGCCTTGCTTCTTATATGCACCAGGCGGTTTGCATAATATGCATTACCACCAGCATGCAGCAGCACTGCTTATGTGCGTGCTCCGTGCATCCTCAACCCTCCAAAGAAAAGCCTGGGGTCCGTGTAAGTGAAGCGACAAGTGTGAGTGGGCTTCTAAACAAAAAAGATGGTGGAGAAAGCCGGCAGAGGAGGACATGACAGGAACAAGAAAAGCCTGCGACTTAGAAGGGTGTGGGATTTTATGTCAAAGCTGAAAAAGGCACGGAAGGGGAAAAATCGAGTCATCACGAGAACACTTTTTTTCCCGTCTAGTATTCGGGAGGTGCCCGCAAACGAAACTCGTGTTTCTTGCGTGGTTGAAACATCGCGCGCACCACCCAAAATGTTTTGTTCTGCCCACAAGCACGAAAATATTTCTCTCTTTTTTTTCCGCACACTTTTTTTTGCCATTAAATTTATTTGTTGTCTTTTGTTTTTCCTCCTTCCTGTATTGATTTATGAAAAAAGACGCATCCTCCGAAATGATAATCGCGCACTGCGTCTCCAGTTTCATACATGAGAGGCGCTCATCATCAGCAAAGGAACATATATCCTGTAAATTAAAAACACCACCAAGGGAAAAGAAAAAAAAAAGGAAAAAAAAAGTTCACAGCAAAAAACCACACACAAAATGCAAATTCCCCCCCGAAAAAAAATCCATTTTCCGTCGTGCTCACACCACCTTCTTTTTCATCCCTGTCCCTTTCCCCTGTCCTAGAGCATCTGCACCCACTCACACCTACATGATTCTTTCTCCTCTCTCCAGCCTATTAGATTCCCCAGACTCACTCCATGGGAAAGAGACACACACCAGCCTATCCATGACATGATGCCCAACCCATCTCTTAACTGGCAGCTAAAAAGGCCCCATGGACCTAACTTGTAACTGGCAGCTATCACAACTACTAGTAGTTCCGTAATATTACACAGACTATCGATAAAGACGCGCGACGACGCGAAGAAGAAAGAAAAAGGCCTGCATGACGCGTATTGGTAATTTGGGACTTGCAGGATGCATATGCAAAATGCATCCTTCGTCACACTGGATGGGTGTGTGGAACGAATGGGCTCTACGAAAAAGACAGACAGATGGAATGGACAGCCGAGGAGGGTTGCGCTCTTGGACCAGGTGAGCGACTTTAGATAGGCTAAATTATCTTTTTATAACTGATGATTGTCGATCACTACATACATACCTAATATCTATCTATGTAAAACCAAAATAAAAAAAGGAAGAGAGAGAGTGAGAGTTTAAAAAAAAAGGAAGCCAAGGGGCAGAAGCTAAATCCTCAGTGGCTGCTGATGCCATGGATAGGAAATGTGGCGGCCAAAAGAGGTGCATACTGTACATATATGGAGACGAACAGAATCTGGAAGCTGAGTACGTTCCCAGCCCGCCTCGTTCATGTCGCCATGCAACCCTTTTTCTGCCTGTCAAAACTGTAAGAGGTGCTGCAGTCCAAAGCAATGTCGGCATCACAAGCAGGAGAAATATATGAGAGAAGAGAGAGAGAAAAGAGCGCAGTTACATGTGGCTCCGTAATGTCCAAAGAAAAAAAAATAGATATTTCGCTATTTGGGTATTATATGTAATATCGTAATCGTAGTTATACATGAGAAAAAGTTTTTTCCATAATAAGAAATCATCGCTTTGTTCGCTTGCAAAATTCCCAAATGCCAAACCGCATGTTTGTCCTGTTATCATCCCAAATCCCCTTTTTTTCATAATTTTTTTGCTTAGCAAATAGTTTTGTCAAAGCTCATTTTCCTTCTCAAAAGTAATACAGAGAATATGTCCAAGTCATAATCAAGTGTCGTAAACAATACAAAGGAAATGAATAGGAAGTGGTATAAAAATGCAGAGGCAGGAAGTAAAGACAAAGGAAATTACAAAAGAAAGATCATCTACTCGACGCGGTAGAGAGCGCCATCGTCGTAGACGACGCGGTGACGGCGGCTGCCGCCGACTGTGGCCCGGCGTCGCGGCATGCTGATGCGCTCGGCCAGACGCTGGCGTTGAGCCTCGTCTTCAAGGCGCTGGCTCTCCTCCTCGTCGCGACGCTCCTGTTTGCGAGCGAGGTGGCGGACCTTTTCCTCGCGGCGCTCCTCCTCGAAGCTCAGGCGCCGGACACCATCGGCCAGCTTCTTGACCGAGTCGTCAGCGCTAGGGTTCTTGAAGGATGATGCGCGCAGAGGTGCAGGCGGCATGGGCACGGGAGGGCGCTTGTTGATCTCGGCATTGGCTTTGGCGATGCGAAGGCGGATGCGACGCTGACGCTCCTCCTCCTCCTCGCGCTCCTTCTCAGCTCGTCGCTCCTCTCGCTCGCGGCGGCGCCGTGAGGTCTCCTCGTCATCGGCGCTGCTCCGTCCGTGGCTGTCGCGCGAGCTGGTGGAAGCGTGGCGGTCGTGTCGGGATGTTCGTTGCGAAGAGGGAGCGGCCT